CTCCCTTTTACACTGCTGCTACTCTCTGTTTATTATCTATGCATAGTCACTTTAATAACTCTACCTACATGTACATATTACCTAAATTACCTCGACTAACCGGTGCCCCCGCACATTGACTCGGTACTGGTACCCCCTGTATATAGCCTCGCTATTGTTATTTTTACTGCTGCTCTTTAATTATTTGTGACTTTTATTTTGTATTATTTTACATCTTATTTTTTTGTGTGATTTTTTTTTTCTTCCCTGTAGCTCAGTTGGTAGAGCATGGCGCTTGCAACGCCAGGGTTGTGGGTTCGTTTCCCACGGGGGCCAGTATGAAAATGTATGCACTCACTAACTGTAAGTCGCTCTGGATAAGAGCGTCTGCTAAATAATAATATGCCATTTAGCAGATGCTTTTATCCAAAGCGACTTACAGTCATGTGCGCATACATGTTTATGTATGGGTGGTCCGGGAGATCGAACCCACTACCCTGGCGTTACAAGCAGTGGCGGCTCCTGAAAAAATTCTCAGGAGGGGCAATTTTTCTGATGATTTAGGTGACCTACACACATTTTAAAAAAGATATGTCCAGCAACAACATGAAGACAGGGGCAGCATATAAGTCAATACCAGAAGCATTTATTGACTGATCTGGGGAGATGGATTCCAGTTTCTGTGACAGATTATAAATAATCTCTGATGCCTTTGTTATATTAGCTTTTGGTTGAATGTACTGTCGTAGTAAATATATAATGTTATAGCTTGGTCTGACTAAAATCTTGTGCATGACCCATTTTGTGTTGGGCGTTTGTTTTCAATCAATGCTGTTCCTATCCTATAACAATGGACAAAAGAGTCCTATCTTGTCAGCCTTGTCAGCAGGTGGCCAAGGACAACACCCACGCCATAGGTGTCTCAGTTCTTCCAACTCACGAGTTCTTGCTCTGAGGACACACACACACACACACACACACACACATCATCACTGATAACACACACACACACACACATCATCACTGTTAAACACACACACACACACACACACAAAAATCCCCTCTCTTTAGGCTGAACATTTGAAGACAGAGAACCCGACTCAGAGCCAATGCAACAGTGGAGGGGACCTCGCCCAACTCATCAGGACCAATCAGAAGATCAGAACTACTAGATTCAACCTACATCATTTATTGTATAAAATGTCTGCACACAATGTTTTCGGGGCTCTCTTCAGATAGCTCCCTACGAGTTTGACGAACGAGTCCGTGCACGCGATTCCAGATATCTTTACCTCTGAATAAACTGCCTTTATTATACCATATCCACCCTGTCCAAAGTCTCTACTTGGTCTCAGTTCTCCAGTAAACTTGTGATTATCAACAGTACACAACGGTAACAAACAATTGGGGGAACTCACGGGGCAGATAGTAAGGTCGCAGTGACACAGAAAGCAGTTCAATGTCGGGGCTCGGGGGTACAGAGTCGCTCTCTTACCAGGATCTTACCAGGATCGATTTTCCCTGTGACTGTCAGATCGCGGTCCGCTCTGACCAGGGTGAAGCCGGCCGGCTCCACTTCTCTGTCCGGGACTCTGTCATCCAGCCAAGTCTCCCAGCTGTATTGGATTCCGCTGCCAGCAACGTTTTCATTATTTAGTCCGTTCGTAGCGGGTATGTACACGATCAACAAGATCAGTCCAAAACCCACCACTGGAAATCCATGGTTGGCAGAATGTTTGTAAACTAAGTGTACAAATTAAAAACATAAAATAACGCCACTAAGTGTACAAATTAAAAACATAAGATAACGCCACACTGCAGGTCGCAACAGAGACGCTGCTAGCCGCTATTTTCTTAGTTACGTTCATGGTTACGTCACGTATGACGAAAGCGCGTAAGTGCAAGCCCACAGACACCCATAGAGAATGTATTGAAAGCTTTGAAATTTGAAAAAAATAGATTTTACATGACAGGCTATGAGAGACTTCTGGGCGATTTTCAACCTGACTGAAATTGCCCCAAAAACGGGCGGGGCCATTTGAAGCACGACTTTAGCCTGATTTGACATTTAGTGGCAGTCAGATCAGATTACAACACTGATAACTACTGTTGCCGTGATATAATTGATTAGAAAAAAAATCCCTTCCTTTTCCCGTTTGGCAGTGCGTCGCCCATATCGCCCTATTGAACAGGCCGTCCCTGGTTACAAGCACCATGCTCTACCAATTGAGCTACAGACGACCACAATGTCTAAAATGTAAATGTAAACGTGATTACAATTACATTTACTTTTGATACTTAAGTATATTTAAAACCAAATACTTTTAGACTTTTACTCAAGTAGTATTTTACTGGGTGACTTTCACTTTTACTTGAGTATTTGCTATTAAGGTATCTTTACTTTTACTCAAGTATGACAATTGGGTACTTATTCCCAGGGGCGGCCTGTTCAATAGGGCGATATGGGCGACGCACTGCCAAACGGGAAAAGGAAGGGATTTTTTTTCTAATTAATTATATCACGGCAACAGTAGTTATCAGTGTTGTAATCTATACGTCTGATCTGCCACAGTGCCACACTGCCACTAAATGTCGAATCAGGCTAAAGTCGTGCTTCAAATGGCTCCCCCCCCTTTTGGGGCGATTTCAGTCAGGTTGAAAATCGCCCAGAAGTCTGTCATAGACTCCCATGTAAAATCTATTTTTTTCAAATTTCAGAGCCTTCAATACAATCTCAATGGGTGTCTGTGGGCTTGCACTTACGCGCTTTCGTCATACGTTACGTAACCATGAACGTAACTGAGAAAAGAGTGGATTGTTTGAAAGAAGTTCCTTTTTGTCGGCGAACAAATGAAGATAAATTGGCAACGAAACAATTAGGACCTCCCAGACCAAATTTAATAATTCAACAGGTTTCTACTAAAGGCGGAAAGTCCTACACCCGAGGATTTTCCAAAAATTGGTACGAACGAAAAAAGACATTGCCACTCACTCAACTGGATGACGAGGGATACAGGCTAGCTGTCCGCCGCCACAACGATGAGGTTAGTGTTGATAATCACAAGTTTACTGGAGAACCAACTGAGACCAAGTAGAGACTTTGGATAGGGTGGATATGGTGTAATAAAGGCAGTTTATTCAGAGGTAAATATAGCTGGAATCGCGTTCACGGACCCGTTCGTCAAACTCTTAGGGAGCTATAAATTAAGCCCCATTACTTACCATATCAGATAAGAGAAATTGCTGCAGCTACATATATTTTACATCCTGGCCCTACATAGTTCACTATTTGCATCACTTACCAAAATATTACATGTGGTCATATATGCTTGGAAAGTGGAGATGCCATAGAACGTCAAAAAAGTAAACATTGCTGGAGACACATTGCCGTTTTGGAGAAGACATCGCGTTTGCTAGCGAAGAGATTTGTTGTGGCAAATGAACTTGGGCTGGGAATTGCCAGGAACCTCACGATAAGATATATGCATCAGCATTGCGAGTCTCATGATTCTATACGTATTGCGATTCGATACTGTGATTTTATTGCGCACCATATGTCTGTTGCAGAGGGATCAGAAAGCCATGAGAACGAGTTTTGATCAGTCATGGAAATAAAAGTGCTGAAAACAAATTGGCTCCCAATGTGAAAAGATTGAGAACAAGCTATGAAGGAACAATAATGGTGTTTTGGTGCAGGTACAGCCAACTAGCGCTAAAATATTGCGATATTGTCAATACAGTATATCGTAAAGTATCACTATGTAACTCGATTTCTTTCACCCCAATCCCTCAAATTAACGGTAAATAACTGAATTGTTTGCCCCACATTTAGCTAAGATGATTAGCTAGCCAGCTAAAATGTTTTATTTAGTTAGCAGTCGCATCTACAATAGTTTACTGTCAATAACATGTCTCCAAAAATGACGTGGTGTCTCCAATTGTGTTGACATTTTACAATTGCAATGCGCATCCATGAGTATCCACTTTCTGTAGCTCAGCTGGTAGAGCATGGTGCTTGTAACGCCAAGGTAGTGGGTTCGATCCCCAGGACCACCCATACACAAAAATGTATGCACGCATGACTGTAAGTCGCTTTGGATAAAAGCGTCTGCTAAATGGCATATTATTATTATTATTATCTGAAGAGAGCCCCGAAACATTGTGTGCAGACATTTTATGCAATAAATGAAGTAGGTTCAATCTAGTAGTTCTGATCTTCTGATTGGTCCTGATGAGTTGGGCGAGGTCACCTCCAGGCTACTGTCACTGTTGCATTGGCTCTGAGTCGGGTTCTCTGTCTTCAAATGTTCAGCCTAAGAGAGGGGATTTTTGTGTGTGTGTGTGTGTGTGTGTGTGTGTTTAACAGTGATGATGTGTGTGTGTGTGTGTGTTTAACAGTGATGATGTGTGTGTGTGTGTGTTTGTGTGTGTGTGTGTCCTCAGAGCAAGAACTCGTGAGTTGGAAGAACTGAGAGGCCTATGGCGTGGGTGTTGTCCTTGGCCACCTGCTGACAAGGCTGACAAGATAGGACCCTTTTGTCCATTGTTATTGGATAGGAACAGAACTTATAACCAGCTCCTGACCTAAATAGATCTTAGCACAACATTTTACTCAACATATCATATTCCATATTCACTATAACAAATATATTTACTACGACATTAGCAAGAACCGCCACATCCTCAGCCGACTAATCCAGTGTGTGAAGTTTTGCGGAGTGTTTGAGTTAGCTTTGCGAGGCAAAGATGAAACTGAGGGCTCCACCAACCCTGGTAAGCCAACACTTTTGAGATCAGTCAATAAATGCTTCTGGTATTGACTTATATGCTGCCCCTGTCTTCATGTTGTTGCTGGACATATCTTTTTTTAAATGTGTGTAGGTCACCTAAATCATCAGAAAAATTGCCCCTCCTGAGAATTTTTTCAGGAGCCGCCACTGCTTATTCCACCACTGATTTTAAGGCAATGCAGAACATTTCTATTTTGAGTGAGGAAAGTCCACTGGCATGAGATGGGCCAGCTATGGGGGACTACATACCTCTGCCAGGGTGAGCTCAGTGTAGAAGGAGGATGTGTCTACATCCAGGTACATGGGGATGGACTGGTATTCTGCACAGCTGCACAAAGACAGAGAGACAGGAAACTGTCAATACTTAACAACGCTACAGCCACACTCCTGCAGCTTGACCCTCACACTCACTGCAATGTATGCAACACACCGGTCAATACACAGTACTAGGGCTCAGAGTTTTTCCTGATGGTCCATGCCCAGTACTAGGGCCCAGAGTTTTCCCTGATGGCCGATGCACAGTACTAGGGACCAGAGTTTTTCCTGACCAAATGACCAGGAATACCCTAAAGTATGACCTGTTGATATGTAGGCCTCAGTGTATAAACATTACCTGTAGGGTCTGGTGTTGTCATCAGTGACAGTGTTGCACCAGGAGGCCAGCCCCAGGGAGAGGGTGATGCTGGCCCCTCCAGACAGGAACAACACACACAGGCTCAGGATCAGGGTCAGGAAGGCAGAGAACAAGGTGCTGGAAAATGAATACAATAATAACATTGGTGACAGTAAACGAGTGGAAACATTGTAATTTGACATAAATCGTTATAACTGCGTAATAGCAGTTAGCCTATGACACATAGGCCTAATAATGCATTGCACAATTGGATATTTCATAATGGTCATGATGATTATTATCAGGTTATTTATGTTATTGATGTTTTCATTTGTATAATTGTTTTTTTTATAAAGATATATGCGCCTACTTTATGTGCTATTGATTAACTATTTCAAAGCCCATGTAAAGTGCACTCACTCGTCATGCCGTCCGTGGAGATAAAAGATGCTTCGCCAGCCCTGCGCAGCGCCGTACAGCACCGTGAAAACACCGACAAAAGTAGCAAACTGGCAAGCAGCCGGTGGGCCCCATTGCTGTACCATCAAGTGTGAAATCTCACCCGGTTCCCCAGTAATTTCGGTTCGATTCTCCGTCCTCCATGAACCCGTGGTGAAAAGCGCACATCGCTCTTTGAAAGCTGAGCCGTTGAGCGCAAGCGGGACAACCACCATCAACCCTGCCAGGACTGACAGGGTGTGGGTTGCGCAGTGAGCCACCAACAGTCGCCGATCAAGTTCCATAGTCCAAAAGATCGATCAGAACTAACTAAATACAGGATGTCTTCAGGCAGTGCCGTCCCGTTTATTCGGTATTATCTGCAATTGTTAAACTACCATCTGTCACACTTCCAAAATAAATCAGCGGATATTTAAAGCACAGCCTGCTTGCTGGCTCGCATTCCGTTATTCAATTCTCCCCTTGCAAATGTGCCAGTGACGCACTGGCCAACTGGCCTAGATATTGGTGCTTTCAAGACAACTGGGAACTTGAGAAAAAAAACGAGGTCAAATCATGACGTCAGTGATCTTCAGGTTGGAAAGTCGGAGCTCTTGAAAGATGCCGGAGTTTCTGATTTGGAATTCCAAGTTGGATGACCGTTCAAAACGATTTTTCCCAGTCGGAGCTCGTTTTTTCCCGAGTTCCCTGTTGTCTTGAACGCACTGAAGTTGGAAGTCGGAGATTTCCGAGTTCCCAATTCCCAGTTCCCAGCTGTTTTGAACGAGGCATAAGATATGCAGTGATATACATTTCCATTTCACACCACACACTTGTACAGGTTACACATTTGTGTGAAACAGGACAAATATCAGCACCCCCTATTTGACCTTTTGAGAATATTTTTTTTTTTTGTTATACAGTATAAGATGCATGGGACAGAATGTAGGGCGGGGTCGAAAGGGGTGACAAAGCCGACTCCCACCCTCCTGTAATATCAAGTCGGTCAGTAGGACAACGTTAATCATATCAACCCTCCTAACAATGGACCAGTGCAAAAGGCTCATTTGCACTTTTTCCTTAGAACTATTGAATGCTGATTATGTCCTATAAATAAGAAATAATGCAGCCTATGATATCCATAATTTATGAATTATTGCATTTGTTCCAAACAAACATCTACAACCTTCTAACACTCATCATCAATTCACCAAAGAGATAAACATAGACAACACCATTTCACTTTCGTGGTCCTCTGTAGCTCATCTGGTAGAGCACGGCGCTTGTAACGCCAAGGTAGTGGGTTCGATCCCCAGGACCATCCATACACTAAAAAAGTGTATGCACGCATGACTGTAAATCGCTTTGGATAAAAGCGTCTGCTAAATGGCATATTATTATTTATTTACTTTACATGATTGCTGGATGCATCACAAAGTCCCTGTTCCTACAGCACGTAGCGCTAAGCTAAAATAAGTTCCGTTGCAGTCAAATGGGTTGGGTTCCTCTCACCACAGAAGAAGAAAAAGCAGGAAGTGCCTGCATGCACCAATGTTGTGGTTGTTTGAATGTTCAGTATTTACGGGCTAGGTGGACAAGTTCAAGTGTCTGTATTTTGTGTAAAGATCAATAGACTATAAGGTAAGCCGCTATTACACTTTATTTTTTTTATATAACGGTTAACATATGACAATGTCAATTGAAGTTACTTTGCATCTTGTTCACGCGCGAGCTAGCATCAGCAAACCCCTTTTTCTTGCTTGCTTGTACATGACCTAGTAGGATACCCAGGTAACAGCTTAGTGAATGAGTTGAAATGACTAACTAGTTCTTCTTTTAAAAGCAATTGTGATGGGGGCTCTCAGATTTCGGGTTTAGAGCATCTTCATTTCTTTAATCATATCTAGTTTTGTCTTAACATTTAGTGTTGGTGTGTACCACCTAAGTAATACAATGTGTTTAGTCATCTAATATCATGTCTTCTCATGTACTTATTTTCCCATCACTACCGGCCATGAAGTTCCATGGCGAGTCCAGAGACACCAGGGGATGAGAGTATGGAGCTGGGGGCCGGGGCTGCAGTGGTAAGCTGTTCAGGCACGTCTACCAAGCCTGGCCCCTCAGGTGCCAAAGTAGACTCCCAGCTACAAGATGCCGTCCACTTAAAAACAGAGGGGAACAAATTCTACAAAGAGAAAAACCTTAGGTCTGCCATTGGACGTTACCACCGTTCGTTGCTCGTTCTGCGTAGTTTAGACTCTGATGTCACTGCGGCAGTGAAAGGGTTTGGTCCTGAGGCTCCTGTACTTACCGCAGGACAAGAAGAACTACTTAGGAACACACAGATCGACTGCTACAACAATTTAGCAGGTATTACAGGCCTTGACATGTTTCATGCAGTAGATGAGTTGTTTCAAATCCCGCTCTTTCTGGACTTACCTTTATCTTCTCTTTTCTGTCTCTCGGTCTCCCCCTCTCTCAGCCTGTCTGCTGCAGAGGGAGGGTGTAGACTACACACGTGTCCAGGAGTACAGCTTGCGGGTGTTGCAGTTGCGGCCAGGTGACATCAAGGCCCTGTACAGAGCAGGAGTGGCCAATCTGGAGATGGGAGACGCACAGAGCGCCAAGCAATACCTCACTCAGGCCAGCAAAGGACAACCCAATGGTAGCTCAGCTCTTTGGTTACCATTTCCCTGTTTGGGGGCTGCTGTCCCTACCACAGCTCGTTGGTTACCATTTCCCTGTTTGGGGGCTGCTGTCCCTACCACAGCCTTTGGTTACCATTTCCCTGTTTGGGGGCTGCTGTCCCTACCACAGCCTTTGGTTACCATTTCCCTGTTTGGGGGCTGCTGTCCCTACCACAGCCTTTGGTTACCATTTTCCTGTTTGGGGGCTGCTGTCCCTACCACAGCCTTTGGTTACCATTTCCCTGTTTGGGGGCTGCTGTCCCTACCACAGCCTTTGGTTACCATTTCCCTGTTTGGGGGCTGCTGTCCCTACCACAGCCTTTGGTTACCATTTCCCTGTTTGGGGGCTGCTGTCCCTACCACAGCCTTTGGTTACCATTTCCCTGTTTGGGGGCTGCTGTCCCTACCACAGCCTTTGGTTACCATTTCCCTGTTTGGGGGCTGCTGTCCCTACCACAGCCTTTGGTTACCATTTCCCTGTTTGGGGGCTGCTGTCCCTACCACAGCCTTTGAGTAAAACACAACAGATTATTGATGAGTTGTGAGAGTGCGTTATAAGCATGCTGTGCTATCCCCCAACAGAATGAAGTAGAACACAATATATTGTATTATTGTGTCTCTATGCTATTCCCATTCCCCTAATGTTGATTGAAATTGAAATCACTTTATTTGTCACTGTCTCTCTTTGACAGACACTAATGTGAGGAGGCACCTGCAGCGAGCGGAGGAGAGGCTTAGCACGGAGTACCAGAAGGAGAAGGCTCTGTACCAGGTCATGTTCTCCTCCAGTCGGGGAGGGGGCCAGCGGAGGAGTCACACATAATTAAGTTCCCATCAGGAGGGATGTTCTGTTGTTCTGACCCTGAGGATTGAGAAGAGCACTGGAGAAGAAAGAGGAACCAAGCCTGGACTGGACACCTGAGAAGAGTTACAGCACGTTCGAGGGAATCGGCCTGAGCAAGGTGCTGCGCAGGTTTGCTAATATGGATCACATAATTACTAGTTATTTACGAGGCAAGATGAATCATTTTTTGTAGATCAGTGATTCTGTGCAAAGCCTTGCTCAGGCTGATCCTATCGAAGAGCCTGTTATGCTATAGGGAATATTTGTGCCTGATGACCAACAGGGAGATGGAGCTAAATTATTGGAGGTTCAGCATAAGGTTTGAAGGTCAAAGCGAGGGTGCTAAAGAGAGACTGTTTGTGCACTGTTCAAACTCAATCCTGTTATGCCTTCTGAAAGTGGTTGTTTCTGGTCACGCAATCAGTCGTGTTCCTTTTTTTGTACAAAATGTTTTGATTAAACGTAATAAATATTTTTGGGAAATTACAGCCGATACTACAGTGATATACACTGAGTTTACCAAACATTAGGAACACCTAATATTGAGTTTTGCCCTCAGAACAGCCTCAATTCGTTGGGACATGGACTCTACAAGGTGTCAAAAGCATTCCACAGGGATGCTGGCCCATGTTGACTCCAATGCTTCCCACAGTTGTTAAGTTGGCTGGATGTCCTTTGGGTGGTGGACCATTCTTGATACACACGGAAAACTGTTGAGCGTGAAAAACCCATCAGCGTTGCAGTTCGTGACACAAACCGGTGCGCCTGGCACCTACTACCATACCCCGCTCAAACGCACTTATCTTGTCTTGCCCATTCACCCTCTGAATGGCACACATACACAATCCATGTCTCAATTGTCTCAAGGCTTAAAAATCCTTCTTTAACCCGTCCCCTTCCCTTTATCTACTGATTGAAGTGGATTTAACAAGTGACATCAATAAGGGATCATAGCTTTCACCTGGTCAGTCTATGTCATGGAAAGAGCAGGTGTTCATAATGTTTTATATACTCAGTGTAGAAGTGTTGGAGGTGGATGGAAGTATTCAGAGTCAAAAGTTTAATTAGAAGTTTCCTTTATTAATAATTATCCAAGATACACACATCTGTTTCAAATAACATTTTATTCTTAATATTATTACTTTATTGATATCCATTTCAAAATCCTGAGCACAATATCAATTTATAGCACAATTTGTTTGTTGATTTTGGTCTTTATGGCCAATATGATTGTACTTCAAAGGCAACATACAGTATATAACGTTTGATTTGATATACACTCAGAGAGGAGAACAAGCTCACAGACTCACGATAGCGCACAGAGATAAGTCACAGAGTTGCATGCAGAGGGGACCACTCACACAGTCACACACTACTGAGTTCAACAGATTCAAACATTGGCACCCCCTTATCAACCAAAATACAACCGACTGAAATACTGACTGTAACTTTTAGTGGCAAAAACACTATTTCTGAGCGCAATCATTCATTGTGATCATCTCACTTTCTTGATGTCTTGTGTTTCAAACTCAGAGACCTCACTGACCTAAACACCCTTCTACTCAGGTCCCTCAGTGAGCGCGAGCGTGTGAGGGTTGCCCGAGAAGGAGGAGGTGATGGAGAGAACGATGGGGAGGAGAGAGGAGGAGAGAGGGAGGGACAGCTACCCTCCAGACTCTGAGAGCGAGAGAGGAGGAAGAGGCTGACAGTAGAGGACAGGCGCTTGTCTTCTTCCCCTCTTCCTCCCAACGCCGACGGACCAACCCGCTCCATGCTGAGCTCCATGCCCCTGCTGATGTCCAGGGAGGACGTCCACTGTGCCCCCCTCAGACGCTCCTCTTTCTGGGCTCGAGGCTCCAGCACGTCCCCCTGGGACTCACTGCGGAACAGAGCCCGTCTGGACAGCCTCAGGCTGGAGCTACGCTTGTCCCAGCCACCACCACTACCACCACCCTTCCCTTTGCGTTTTGAGGCACTGCTCTCTTTCTCTCTCCTCTCGGCCTTGGCCTGCTGCTTCTCCTTTTGGTCATCTTTCTCCTTTCTCCTGATCCCCTCTCTCTTCCACCTCTCCTTGTTCTCCTCTTCCTCAGCCTCTTTCCCCCATGAACGCCCTTCGAAGCCCCTCCAGAGTTTGGCCGCCCCCTTCTTTGGCGTCTGGGCCGCACCGTGACTGCCTTCCTCTCCCCAGTTGCTGCTGTAGCACCTCTCTTTCCTGTGGAAGCTGCTCACCGTCGATGCCCTCACCAACTCCCTCGACGCATGCTTCCCCTGGTAGAGCCCCTCCCCTTCCACCCTCTTCCATCCTTCTCCCTCCCCATCTACCCTCCATCTACCCCCTCCAGCCCCTGCACCCTGCCGTAGCGACCCCCCTCTGGGCCGGATGCCGCCCCCTTGTGGTGAGCTGCTGTCACTGACTCGAGGCAGGGAGCACTGGAAGGGGTCATCTCGTCGGAACACAGAGAATGGAGTATTGGCGAGGGGGGAGGGCTGGAGAGGGCGGGGTGGGGAGCGTACCCTGGGGCGGTCACCGGACGAGGGGGAGGAGGCGGGGTCAGATGGGGAAGGGGTTTGTTGGCAGTGGAAGGTGTGTGTGTGGTGGTGGGTGACATGATGATGGGTAGGTGGGTGGGTTGAGGTGGACTGGTAAGGGTGATTGGGGCTACTGGAATGGGGACTGGAGGAGTTGGGAGGAGTGAGGCCGGAGTGGGACTGTGGGGAGTGGGTGACACTGAGGGACAGCTGGATCGGCCTCTGGGGGTCGAGGTAAGTCTCATTACTGGCGTGGAGGTGGCGGACGCTGGAATAATCATGATGATGAGACTGGTGGTCATTCTGAGCTGTCTGGCGGGAGGAAGGGGAGGAGCTTTGGGCTTTAAACTCTGACCCCTGACCTCTTCTCTCGGCGTCACTCTGGAAGCAGTCGACATCCAGCTCCACACCCTGCTCCATCAGGCCCACCACCACAGCCCGGGGCAGGCCAGAGAGACGGGAGATCTCCCCAACCATCGCTGAGTCCTCGCTGAGCTTACTAGGGCTGGCGTCCGGGGCATTGACGCTAGGTTGACTCCTTGTCACTTTCCCTGGGGAAGAATCCAGTCCACTCCAGTCCAGCGAGCGGGAGAACCCTAGCCCTGACCCAGCCCCTGACCCGGTGACCTCCAGAGAGCTCCGGTGATTGAGGTTGGAGGGACAGGTTGAGATGCGTGGCCGCGACCTCAGGGCAGGAGTGGGAGTGGCAGCGGTGGAGAGGGAGGAGGTGGAAGGAGAGGGGGAGGCAGTGGTGATAGCATGGTCACTCCGTAATCCACCACTAGTGCTAGTGCTAATACCTTCCTTGGAGTTTGAGTCTAAACCCAGGTTTTTGTTCAGATTGGGGCTGAGGTTGAGACTGAGGTTGAGGTGGAGGTTGATTTTGAGGTCCTCTCCCGTCACAGAGGGCAGGTGGCCCAGGTTGATGGAGTTCCTACTGGCCTTCTTACCGATATTGCTGAGGCTGACCCGCGCAGAGTTACCCAGAAAAGACTTGCAGGGTGTCACACTGCCCCCTGTCAGGTTGGAGGGGGTACTGCGGCTCTCGAAGGCCAACAGCGACTGAGTGGAGCCGTGGCCAGGGGTTCTGGGGACCCTGTGGCAGCCTGGCCCTGGGGTGGCGGTAGGGGTGATGTCAGAGGGGGCAACCCGGCTACGGTACTGGCGAGCCAGCCTTGTGATGTACTGCTCCAGCTGGGTGAAGGTGGAGGGGTGAGGAGGCTGGGGGGTCCCGAAGAGGGGCGTGGACTGAGATTCCTCAGCCTGGGCAGAGGAGTCCGGACTCGGGGAGAGACGAGAGGAGGGTGAGGGATCCTGGCTGGAGGTGAAGAGGGGGCTCTGGAGGGCCACGGCATGGAGGGGGCTGGGGTACGGGTACACCTCCTTGGTCCTCCGGGACACCAGGTCAGAACAGAACCTGGGGTCGAGTTGGGGTCGGGGGTCAGCGAGTGGGAGGAGGGAGCCGGGATGGGGGTCACCAAGGCTAGAGCACAGGTCAGACAGGAAGAAGAGGCTGTTCATTTCCAGGTCACCTGGGTTCAAAGGACGAGAGACAGAAAGTTGATGAATGTCAGTCAACTTATAAAGAATCAAAAACATTTATCTAGGACTATGGTCCCAGGACTCTCTGGAAAACAGTGACAATTATCTAGGACTATGGTCCCAGGACTCTGGAGAACAGTGACAATTATGGCTGAATGGCTCTACTGGTTAAATACAGATGAACTGTACTAAAGAGTAAGTGCGTTTATGTGAGTGCATTTGAATGTGTCCATATATGTGTTATATCTGACCCGTAGATACTGGTCTCCTATCAGCGATCTTTGTGGTCTCCTCAATGCGCTGAGTTCTTGGCTGCTGCGCGGCCTCCGGCCACTGGGTGTCACTGGGGTCTGCAGAGAGGGGCCGCTGCTCCCACAGCCTGAAGGCTCCCCCTGAGGGTGGTCCTGGTCCAGCCCGGACTAGCCCACATGGTACTGGACCCCCCTGGGCCAGGACTGCCTCACTGGACACAGAGTAGCAGGAGTCTGACAGGGAGCTGCCACTGACCGAATAAAAGCCTACCGAGGGAGGGAGGGAGGTGGAGAGGGTGGGAGAAATAAAGCGAGGGGAAGAGAGATGGAGAGAGAAAGATAAATATAGAACGAGAAAGAAAGAGGGAGTGTAGGTCCAGAGAAAGAGTGATTGCGAGAAAAGAGTGAGTAAGTGGTGTTGAGAAGATAACATGAGTGTAAGTAAAGGAACAGGGAAAGAAAAGGAGAGGGTTAATATTTAATACGGCTTTGCAACACGGTGTATCACAAAGTCAACGAAACTGGCTCAGAAGGTGAGAAGTGTTGTTGGCCAAAGCCAGGGCCAGATTCCCAAACGGGCACGCAGGGCCCCCCCAGATAGCATATGAGCACGTCAGTTGTGCCCCCCCCCCCCCCCTCCGATAGCGTATTATGAACATGTCGGTTGGGGGCCCCCTGGAGTTCAGGGCCCCCCCAGATAGAATATGAACACGTCATAAGCCATTTATTTTTCGGTTGGGGGGGCCCCCTGGAGGTAGGTATCTCAGGGCCCCAGATGTGATAATCCAGCCCTGGCCAAAGCCCTATGGGTGTCACAGACCACCCCCAAAAGACCCCCCATGGTAGGACCACACAACCACACAGTCCAGTACCTGAGCTGGGCCTGGAGTCATAGTCCACCTGGACTGCACCATCAAGGTCCGGGGGGGAGAGCAGGTCAGACGGGGCATCCCAAGAGAGGGTGGACCAGCGTGAGTCATCCCCACCACCCTCATCACCTCTGGAATGAACCGGCCCTTCTCCACCAGAGTTCCCCCCACTGTCCTTGTCCAACATGCTGGTGTGGCATGGTAACACTGTTTCTGAAGGGGGAGAAGGAACCTGAAAAACAGAAAACGGGTGTTCAAGTCACAACATGTCTTTAAAGAGATGATAATTAGAGATTGGATCTCTAATGTTCTTATTTACCAAACACTGATGTCATCAGCCTTACTGGAAGTTCTAGAACACTCGTGTTTCAAGACTCAGACACAAAAACAACATGACGTATTCTTTCTCCTCAATAGCCAATTCATGACTTTCTTCTTACTTAGATGAACGTGATGACTCATGACCTCTGAAGTGATGCCCTATATTAGCCTGATAGGGGTGGGGGGGGACAACGGGGCTTTGTTCACAGTCAGGCCTGATCAATCCTCTGTTACTACGGAGATAAACAGGAGACAATACAGGTGACTCATACTGCCTAACTGAGAAGGGAAGACGAGTTGAGTCCCAAATGGCACCCTATTCCCTATGTAGTGCACTACTTTTGATTAGGGCCCATAGGGTGATAGTCAGAAGTAGTGCTCAAAGGTAGTGCACTACATAGGGAATAGGATGCCATTTAGGATGCAACCTCACTCAGAGGGGGAGAGAGGGGGACTTAAAGGAAGAATAGGGGAAGACAGATGACATAACAAGGAGCAGGAGAGAGGGGAGGGGGCAGGGGGGCTGACGGGGGGTGTGGGGCAGGGGGGCTGACGGGGGGTGTGGGGCAGGGGGGCTGACGGGGGTGGGGGCGGGGGGATGACGGGGGGGTGGGGGCAGGGGGGATGACGGAGGGGTGGGGGCAGGGGGGGATGACGGATGGTGGGGGCAGGGGGGATGACGGGGGCAGGGGGGATGACGGGGGGTGGGGGCAGGGGGGATGACGGGGGTGGGGCGGGGGGATGACGGTAGTGTGGGCAGGGGGGATGACGGTAGTGGGGGCAGGGGGGATGACGGAGGGTGGGGGCAGGGGGGATGACAGGGGGTGGAGGGAAAAAAGTTAGACTTTGATCCTGCTTATCTCTTCTCCTTCAGCTTTACAAGCCATGTTTCGTTTTCTTTCTCTCTACATTTTCCACATTTTAGGAAGTTAGAAACGTCATTTTATAAGGGGAAGTGAGTGGGTGCTTGAGCGTGGGGGAGCTACTGGTGAGTGAAAAGAGGGGATTGAAAGAGCAAGTGAGTCAGGGAGAGAACAAGTATATGAAAGAGGTAGTGGGGGAGGGGGTTGCCTGTGAGAGGCTGAGAGTGGCATCTTAACCCCCCACCCTCACCCCCTTGATGGATACCCCCACCCCCACTCCATAATAACTTAAAGCCTCCCCCTCCTCACCATAGCTACAGCTGCTCTCTCCTGCTCCGGTTCCTGCTCACTCCACCCACACAACAGACCTAGCAGAAGTATATCTAACTCATCCAGAGCCTGCCTGCCTGCCTGCCTGCCTCACACTAAAACACAAATAGCAAATGCACTAAGACTCACACTAACACTAGCTTGTGCAAACACACAAACAGACACACAGAAAGCGAGCACATACACACCGTTGCGGGCAAACACACACACAGTTGTGCAAGCGCACACACACACACACACACACACACACACTGATAACCGTCAGGGCCATGTACACCCCCACACTCTTCCATGGACATAATGTGAACCATGTTACCACAGTGTAACGTTACAGTGAGGTGGTTATGATCAAATCAGGAGGAGAGAGAGAGAGGCAGGTGGGGGCCCCTCAGTGCTAAGAGCTCTGTAATATGATATCCCTCTATGTGAGACAGAGAGAAGCAGCCATTTTCCCTAAAGGAACAATATGTCCACACAATGCACAGACAAATGACAGCAAATACTCCAATAAGAATGAAGGACTACATAATATGAATGTACATAACATACTTTTGTGACGTACTTTCATGAAGCATCTACAGTATGTAGGGATTACAAACACTTTATGAATGCTCTATAAATACTTTATAAGTTGTTCTTTTCAAAATGGGACGCATCATTGTGATAACGCTAAATACTTTTTTGAGATGTCATGTTGGGAAAGGTAGGCTACATTATTAACAGCACTAGCAGGCAGACATTGGTTACTGATAAACATATGCTTATGCATTGCGCACTATGCATTATTGATGAATTGTGTTTACCGTAACTGAAGAAGTAGTGGAGCCAGAGGAGCCTGACGTTTCAGTCCAAGATAATGTCATGTTTATCTGTGTGGGCTGGAGGTTGATATAGGGCCAGCAATACATGTAATGGTCCAAATGTACATAGAAGATTGCTGGTGAGAGTGATCACAGTGTGGGCTTTGGCAGCAAATCAAGTGTTGATGAGGTGCAACAGTACTGTACTACTGTTACCCCACTGTGATAGTTAAACTAGCCAGAGAGAGAGAGAGTGACTAACTAATGCAGTCTGTATCCCCAGTCATCTTTCCCCTCTTCCCTCTTCCCTCTCTCCTCTTCCCTCTCTCCTCTCTCCTCTTCCCGCTCTCCTCTTCCCGCTCTCCTCGTCCCTCTCTCCTCTTCCCTCTCTTCTCTTTCCTCTTCCCTCTCTCCTCTTCCCGCTCTCCTCTTCCCTCTCTCCTCTTCCCTCTCTCCTCTTCCCTCTCTCCTCTTTCCTCTTCCCTCTCTCCTCTTTCCTCGTCCCTCTCTCCTCTTTCCTCTCTTCTCTCCCCAGTGGGCAGAATTGGAGAGGTGATAACATTGGTCACGTTGGAAACAACAGCAGAAGCAACTTGTCTCTCGATTTGTTGTTTAATATGCTAATAGGGTCTGCGTTGGCGGATGGAAGGGCAGCTACAGAGCTACTCTCTATGGTGTTGGTGATGACTAATACCATTTAACATAGCATAGCTGCTGAAAGTCACAGGGAATCTATAGAGAATACATTTGTGCAGTGTTTTTGAGAAGGAAAAATCATTAAGTAGAATGCTGTGCTGATTCCTTCCCTCGGATCAGTTGACCATGCTCTATTTGATTTATAAAAGGGAAAGACTTGACTTGTCCCTATTACTGGAGTTAAGTGACTGTTTACCAAACACTGTTACAACAAAGCAGTATGGTAGCCTACCCTATATGAGGACAGGAGGTTCACAGACTTCAAACTCAGTTATGAGGCAGTGTAGGGCTCTGTGGCCTTCTGCATTCTATTCTTAGTAGTGTACCAACTAGGCCTAACAGATGTCCAAATGGTACAATGAAAGCTGAAGGCCGCATCCATGGTGAAAGAGTTCAAATGAATAAGATCTTTATTCAATAGGTCTACTTCATCATGTGTGCCAAGTTGTCTTACTATGGGGCTTTCCCAATCAAATAATGTTATCTCACACAAAAATATCTACGTATTCCCATACTACAGTAGCCTATTTACAAAGAAGACTTTTGGCCTATACAGAATATAGAACTCTGTAGGCATCTGCCATCTACAGTATGACCTGACCTAGGTGTATGATTTTATCTATAGGGTGTGTACCAAGTGTACATTATTTACACAGATACATTCTATGTCATGTCCTTGGGAAAACTGGAATGTGAAAAGATGTGGACATTGACAATCTCATCATATGAGATCCATAAAGGGGACAGAACCATAACACCCTTTGTATTCTACATAACCTTGACTGATACAAGACGGAATTAGAAGCTGTGGAGGCGGATGGATGACTGTCAATTCTATTAGACAGGTCAAACACAATTGTGTAATCAGTAGGCTATAGCTCCGTGCTTATGACTCCATCGCTCAATCAACGGAAAAGGCTATTGAAGCGCAGCAGTCTGTTTGATGCAACGGGATGAAAATGCCCTACTGGCAGATCACAATGCATTCATATTTAATAACAACCAATCTTGTCAAGCGATCTGGGACAACGCACTGACCTGTTGCCTGCGGGATGTCGCAGAGCCATCGGAGGCTGCGCTCTCGAGGTTTTCCTCCTGTTGATCGGTGATGACAGTCACCGTGGTACCGGTGCTGCTGGTGTCTTTGAGGTCCAGCGCCGCATCGATCATGTCCAGATGTTGGCCCCGGAGCAGGTCCAGCTCAAGGATCCCGGCCAGGGTCGCTTTCAGCCGCTCGCCAATCCGAACCCGCTCGGTGCCAGACCAGAGCGAATTCACACAACTGCGGCGGCCAGCCATTGTGGAGACTGAATCGGGGGCGCTTTAGACTATGAGCTCAGTCTCAATGACAATGGGCTATTGTCCAGCTAAAGTCAGTGCAACATATGTTCACACGATCGACAATATAGCAACCAATGATTCGTTGGCAAAATAGCCTACTTAATTAAATCTATGCCATATTACATTGAAGCGTGTTGACTAAAGAGTCACATGTATAACACTAAAGAGATTATCAAACCATATTCCATCTTAATCCTCAATATTGGTTTCGTATTATGATCACCCAACTGTATCCGACCATTCAGTCCTTCATGCAAATGATGTTCATGATCGACCTGATGTAACAATGCTAGAAATAACGTTACATTGGATCAAGAAAAAATGTGTCCAGGGGGAGGAGCCGAGGAGGTAACGTACCAAAGCTTGAAAGGGATTGGCCAGGGAAGTTTTCGAATGAACGCCTTGAAAATCCCTTGGCCGCCAAACTATTCCAAAACACACAGGAAAAACTTCAAATACACGATGAGTGATGGGCTATAATAACGGTGATAACGTTCACTACGTTCATAGCTTAGTCTACAGAAGCATAATAACACAAAGATGCAAATCCTGTTAAAAAAATTGTTACAAAGCCTCCTCAAATGAAATATTTAGATTGACAAGTTTACTATTATTGTGAGTCTGAAAATGAAATGTTCAAGTTACAGTTGCATCAATCACCTATTTGGGTTGTATTGGACAAGTTCTGCCCCTTTGGATTCGGACAGGTGCACCTCCCCCATCTCCACCCCCTGCTCTGTTATGTCAACCTTCAACCAGCAGAGAGCAGCCTTGTGACAACACGGGGTTCATTCCAAGAACAGTTTTGGTTTTGGCCTACAGTAGTTTATTTGATCTCTAGATCTATTCTAAAATTAATGTTTTCTCACTGTAAAACAAACCTGAGAGTATTTCAAGGGGGATTGTTCAAACTCAAATTATTTAAATGGAGCAATATTATATTACCTAGAGAGCAAGATACACAAATCCATAAAACCCCACTTTTCCCCCTTCGGTTTTTCAAAGTGCATACAATGCAAAGGGAGATGGATAAAGATAACTAGAGCCCGACCGATACATCGGTTGACTGATATTAGCCTTTCACATAAATATTTGTATTGGTCTTTATTCCACAGATAAAGCGCCGATATTATATACATAGAATAAACAAATACCTCTGCTCATAGCCTGTTCAACCTCTCTTTCGTATCGTCTGAGATCCCCAGAGATCTAGAGTGTCACCTTCAAAGGGGGTGACACTCTAGATCCATCCTGCCCTGCCTTTCGAAAGTATTTGAAAGCCAAGTTAACAAACAGATCACCGACCATTTCGAATCCCACCGTACCTTCTCCGCTATGCAATCTGGTTTCCGAGCTGGTCATGGGTGCACCTCAGCCACGCTCAAGGTCCTAAACAATATAATAACCACGATCGATAAAAGACAGTACTGTGCAGCCGTCTTCATCGACCTGGCCAAGGCTTTTGACTCTGTCAATCACCGCATTCTTATTGGCAGACTAAATAGCCTTGGTTTCTCAAAGAATGTCACTCTTGCTGCTGGTGACTCTCAGATCCACCTCTACACTGACAACACCATTTTGTATACATCTGGCCCTTCATTGGACACTGTGTTAACAAACCTCCAAACGAGCTTCAATGCCATACAACATTCCTTCCGTGGCCTCCAACTGCTCTTAAACGCTAATAAAACTAAATGCATGCTCTTCAATCTAACGCTGCTTGCACCCGCCCGCCCGACTAGAATATCGGCTTCCTATTTCGCAACAAAGCCTCCTTCACTCATGCTGCTAAACATGCCCTCATAAAACTGACTATCCTACAAAATAGCTTCCAACACTCTACTCAGCAAATTGAATGTAGCCTATCACAGTGCCATCGGTTTTGTCACCAAAGCCCCATATACTACCCACCATTGTGACCTGTACGCTCTTGTTGGCTGGCCCTCAATACATATTCGGCGCCAAACCCACTGGCTCCAGGCCATCTATAAATCACTGCTAGGCAAATCCCTGCCTTATCTTAGCTCATTGGTCACCATAGCAACACCCACCCGTAGTCTACGCTCCAGCAGGTATATCTCACTGGTCATTCCCAAAGCCAACACCTCCTTTGGCCGCCATTCCTTCCAGTTCTCTGCTGCCAATGACTGGAACGAACTACAAAAATCTCTGAAGCTGGAGTCACTTATCTCCCTCACTAACTTTAAGCATCAGTTGTCAGAGCAGTTTACCGATCACTGCACCTGTACACAGCCCATCTGAAATTAGCCCACCCAACTACCTCATCCCCATATTGTTATTTACATTGTTATTTATTTTGCTCATTTGCACCCCAGTATCTCTATTTGCACATCATCTTTTGCACATCTATCACTCCAGTGTTAATACTAAATTGTAATTATTTTGCACTATGGCCTATTTATTGCCTTACCTCCATAACTTACTACATTTTCACACACTGTATATATATTTTCTGTTTGTTATTGACTGTATGGTTTGTTTATCCCATATGTAACTCTGTGTTGTTGTTTTTATCGCACTGCTTTGCTTTATCTTGGCCAGGTCGCAGTTGTAAATGAGAACTTGTTCTCAACTGGCTTACCTGGTTAAATAAAGGTGAAATAAAATAAAAATGTGCGGTAATTGTTTGACATTTTCAATGGTTGCCTGAAGAACATTGAACATCATCCAGCCCTAGGTCACAACATGAGAGGGTAAGCATGGTGGTTTGACAGGTAAGTAGCTTGCCACAGCCAGCCTATTTGACCAAGCAAGCAGCCCTGTCCTCATCACATTCTCACTTAGTTGACGTTAGCTGTCTAGCTAGCCAGCAAGATAGTTAGCTTAGCTATCTAGCCAGGAAGGTAGTTGTTAGCTTAGCTCGCTAGCTAGCAGTCTGTGCTACTTATGTGCTAACACTGGACTGGCGCCAAAGTGAACACTCGTCCTCGATACAAAAACAACACTGTTACTGTCTGGGCCTATTATGTTAGCTAGTGGGCTTATTTATTTAGTTTTCGAAATATGCAATCGGCAAAAAGCAAGACATTTGGCGCAGATTTATCATTTCAGCACATGTGCTTGCATTCATGATAAGATAAGTAGCTAGCTAAATTAGAAGGAGTGCCTCAAACCAGTGCCGCAAACATTTCCCTGCATAAACGTTTTCAGTCATCAGCGCATACCATTTGCAGTTAAAATGCATAGCCAATACATTTAGTATTGATGGTTTCTTTAAGAAAACATTGTTGTAATGAACAGCTAGCTTGTGCCCGTCATAAATTGCCATTAAGTGTTTATTTACGTGACCTTTTGTAAAGACTGTAGTAAATCTACTCAAGACAAATGCTGATGCTGACACCTGGTGGTGATATTACGAATGGCATGTTACTGCATTTCAACGCTTATTTGTGAACAGTGCGGTTTCAGATTTACTTTGAGACAAAGTTTAATTCATTCAATCACCCCACCCCTTGTGGTGGTTTAGCACAAACACCTTTGCATACTTCTTATCCACTGCCATAGATAGACGTCTTTAAGTTGTACCTAAGAAGGTAAACTTAACAAGTTTTGTATTTACTGTCGTATTTATAGAGGATATAGTTGCTTTTTGGTGGATATCCTGTGAACAACAAATAAAATGTTCATAAATAATGTTCATTTAAATATTTTGTTAAGAAATCATCATTTAGAGTATCTGTTATTCTTTGGAGCACAATTTGAAGAAAAAAAATATATGTATGATTTTCATTCCACCTCTAAAAAACAATATATTGGCAGATATATCGCTAATAGGTGACTTTTGCCTCCCTAAAATTGGCATCGGACCCAAAAATCCCATATCGGTCGGGCTCTAACGATAATGCACAAGATACTGCACAGACAATCCATGCCAGAATGAAGCATGCAACCTGACAACCAGCATTATGGGAATATTCTATTCAGGCCTTTGTCCATAATGATCACATGTGTGGTCAGCTGGAGCTGGCTATCAGTCCAGCCAAGGGTCAAATAAGTATGTGTTTGTGTGTGTGTGTGTGTGTGTGAGAGAGAGAGAGAGAATGAGAGAGAGAGTGAGAGTGTGAGCGAGAGAGAGAGAGCGAGATAAGGTGAAAGAGAGAGATCTAGAAGTTTTCACCACAACCCTTTGAAACAGAACTCTTGCAGACAACTCCTGGTGATTTGGCAATATGGTGTAGGTGTCCCATTCCCTAACGCAAACACTATTCACACACACACAGACTCCCATCATTCCAGAATGAGGCCTCCATATATCTTAGTTTTCAAATGTACAGTGATTAATACAAATATGATTATAAACAGGGTGGTTCGAGCCCTGAATGCTGATTGTCTGACAGCCGTGGTATACCACAGGTATGACAAAACATTTATTTTTACTGCTCTAATTACATTGGTAACCAGTTTATAATAGCAATAAGGCACCTCGGGGGTTTGTGGTATAATGCCAATATACCACGGCTAAGGGCTGTGTCCAGGCACTCTGCGTTGCGGGCCTTATTGCTTAAATATATCACATATTGATTGTTTAAGAGTAAGTAGATAGTATTATATTATGTAACTCTTCCTTTCAAAACCATACAATTATCAAATATAAAAACCATTTGCTACAGTTTGAGGTTTACATCTTCTGGAGTTGTTTGTTATTGTTCAACAGTGAGCCCTCATGACACCAACGTCTGAGATATGCTGTAAGTGGTCTGAGATAACCAGTATGTGTGAAGTGGATCTGAACCAATCACGAGGCCAGGGCTAATACACAACATATCATTAGGACGAGGAGTGGGTCCAAGCTTTGTTCACGTAAGCATTCCCATAGCTTAGCCACATATCAGCCCGCCTCCCTATAAAAGCCAGCAGTGAACAGTGAAGCATTGGGGTTTGTGCAAACTTCCACCCGAGGGGACTATTACCGTCAGCCTGGGTCAAGGACCGCCGCCGGCACAACAAGCAGCCAGCAGCCACAGCAAGAAACAAAACCACCCAGAGAAGAAAAATGCCTCCCTTCGAGAAATCTATGGAGCTGATGCCTTTCAAGCAAAGAAAATGCCTTGGTTGGTGCTTCTATTCTAGTCTATTGTTTTATTCTATAGTCATTTTTTATGATAGCTATAGTCTTCTTGATAAATTATAATTATGGTGATTAAGATGATCATAGCCTATCATTAAAGAGCGCATGAAAAATGTTGCTCGACTCACCTGGTGTTTTAGTTCATTCTAACACCCTATAATATAGCTTCTAGTGGCCTATAATAAAGTGGTAATGTTCTTCTGTTATGCTTTTTCTAGCAACAAGAAAGCATGAAGTGTTCAGTATTCGCACCAAATTCCCAAACAAGTTACCCGTGAGTAATTTTGCTGCTCTTAACATTTTGGTAAAATATTGCGTCCAATCAAATGCTAACAGTTGTCTATTTGTGTGCTCTAACTGTAAAGGTGATCGTAGAGCGTTACCTCCGTGAGAAGACCCTTCCCCTATTGAACAAGACCAAATTCCTGGTTCCATTCGAGCTAACCTTGGGTCAGTTCCTCTGTCTACTCAGGTGAGCACTGATTGAGTGAAAAAGGATTTGTATTATGAGAAAACCAAAGTGGATTTGCTGACAGTCTGTGTGTGTGTTTAGTGTGTGTGTGTGCGCATGTGGTTTCCGAGATTGCGTGTGCATACGGTATTGACCATGTCTTCACGGGACACATGTGATAACCCCTCTTCCTATCCTCTACCTCTCCTCAGGAGTAAGATTGACCTGGAGTCCACCCAGGCTCTGTACCTGTTGGTGTCGGAGAGGAGCATGTCCTGCATGTCGTCCAGTATGGGAGAGGTCTACTCCCAGTACAGTGACCCGGATGGCTTCCTTTACATCACCTACGCCTCACAGGACATGTTCGGAGGGGACGTGGACGCTAGCCCTCCCTGCTGAGCCCAAACCATGGGCTCCTTCTCAATGCTCTGAAAGATATGTCCTCTCCTCGCTTGCTCTCTTCCACTGCACTGATCTGGAAGAACTGACCAGGTGAAGCCAGTCCAAGTAAGGATGAGCTTCCACCATATTGTTTTCACCTGTCAAGTCTTTGACGATGAAGTGACAGTGTACGGGAGGAAACGGGGAGAGGTTGGATTTTCAAGCGATTGAGATTGAGCTATGGACTCTGTTTTTTTCCCTTCTACCTCACAAATGGACTGCGAATCACTGTACTGCACCTTCGTCCTTCTCTTGGTTAGTTTCTGACCACTACCAGCTCTGCCAGAGTTGGATTGAGATGATTGGACTCTATTTCATTTATTGATTTATTCAATGAGATTTAAGAGATAGAAAGAAACCTCTCTAATAACTCTTTAATAATTTAGTAAAATATCAGTAGAGATCATTGTCGTAACACCAGAGAGAAATAGGTTGGAGAAGGATGCCCTACATTGTGGGTACTCACCCTGACACAAGTGAAATTCCCTCCTGTTGGGATATTGTATTACTTCCAGGAACCACTGAGGTCTGTTGGGTGCTCTGGGGTCCCCCCAAGGGCCTCTGGGGTCCCCCCCCCCCCCATATCTCTTCTGTTACTTCTTCCACCCCTCAAAAGAAACATGTTGAAACTGAGGAAAATAAGGTCAATGGGAAGATCTCAATTGCAGACTCCTCACGTTCTCTCTCTTCGTCTCCTTCTTAAAACCCATTGGAGGAGAAGGCCAGAGGGGAGGGACCTCTAGCTTTCAAATCCAATAGGTTTTGAGAAGGAGATGAGGAGAGAGGATGTGAGGAGTCTGCTGGTCTTACTACTTAGCACTTAAAGCTCTCTATTCCATCTTCCTCATGAAACATTATCATTCCCATTTTGTGACCTTCAGGCACAGTGTTATTACACACAATGTTACAAGTTAGACAAAGTGTTACGTGTGTTATTTGGACTGTTTATACTCAATGAAGACTTAGATGTGTTCATGTTGTATATCTAACAATGCTGTGCTCTGTGAAATCAAATGTAATCAAAATTCCCAAATAAACTCCCTGTCCTTTTAATGTATAATATGGTTTGATTTTTGGCCAGTCAAACAAGCTTGTAATTTACCATTCACCATAGCATCATATAACCATCATAACAGCATGTATTTTCTGTTGAAGGACAAAGTCATGAATGCATGACTTCACATGCATCACCCAAGTTTAGGTAACTTCAGAGAGTCATGAGTTATATTAGTCATGTATGATTCCTGGAACTAGACCTGTGTCCCATACAGACAGGCTGCCATGACACACACACACTGGACTTACACACACACACTATGTACTTACACACACACACACACACACACACTATGTACTTACACACACACTGTACTCTCACACAAAGCTGCCATGCTGCTTCTCAGCTCTGTCTTAGATGTGACACCTTTCTACACATAGCTGTGTTACATAACCCCCTGGCTGCCTTTAACAGTACGGGTCAGGAGGGGTCAGTGTGTCACAGGGTCATCGGGGGGAATGGGCGTGAGGAGGGGGCCGAGCATAGAGATAGATAGAGGACTCTAGTGCCCCAAACAAACGGATTTAACATCAAAGTCCTGTAACTTTGACATTGAAGACCACCATATTTATGTGATCTAAACCTTGGCGTTATACCTGTTTGAACAACACACTATAGGTGGCAGTGTGTACCCCTTCAGTTTGTTTGCCAACTTATAGAAGTAGTAGAAGAAATTGACTACTTCAAAATGGAGATGGCCTCAATGGCACTGCCCAGGCTCCCACAAATGGACAGATACAATGATGCAATGTCTATCTTAGTCTATGGGGCAGAGGTATTTTCAGAGAAGGACAGAATGACAGTGACCCAGAAATGGATTGATGGAGGTAGAGAGAAAGAGATGGAGAGAGAGACAGCTACACAAACAGGGTTAGAGACAGGTATACAAACAGACAAGGGGAGCGAGACAGAGGAAGAGAGAGGCAGTGGTAGTGTAAGGGTTGAGTTTTTTTTTTTTTTTTTTTTTTTTTTGTCATTTAGCAGACGCTCTTATCCAGAGCGACTTACAGGAGCAATTAGGGTTAAGTGCCTTGCTCAAGGGCACATCGACAGATTTTTCACCTAGTCGGCTCGGGGATTAGAACCAGCGACCTTTCGGTTACTGGCACAACGCTCTTACCCACTAAGCTACCTGCCGCCCCAGTTAAGAGGAGGATATGCACACCCACTCACTTCACACCATCGTGACCATTCTAGCACCATTTGCACAATGTGTTCTAGAACTGGAATACTGCTTTTGAAGAGTGGTTTAAACCGGACAACTGGGTGGGTCTCTCTCGACTGTACATTCAAGCCATGGTTTAGTCAATGTTACGAGTGGCAAGGTTATTTCTGACACACTGTGCATGGCGTGCAAGGTGCTCTATTTAATCAAGTGTGTGGAGAACACAGAGAGATGCTAAGGAAGACTTGTGAAATAGCTCATTAGTGCTGTGTCATGGGGCTTACGTAATGTGTCGTTGCTTTACCTTAGGGTACTGATTCCCATCTGTCTTATTCTACTACTGATATTAAGATGACTTTGAAGCATGTAAGCAAGATCATTTGAGCTGTAAACAGATTATTCTACTAAGTTGAAGTGTACTGTACAGATACTTTCAACACATACATACAGTAGCCAATCACAATGCACTGTATTGATGGAACAGTATCTCACCCATATCCATTACTCACAAGAGGAACTATAGCATTTACAGGGCAGTGACTCCTCAGTCAGTAGAACAGTAACAGATATATGTAGTAATAACTCAAGACACAAGAGATAACCCTGGTCCCAATCAAAATGAAACAGGTATAAACCGGTTTCAAACCTAATCCAGTCACACTGAGGCATGTTGTGGGGATCATGTGGAACAGGGTCAGAGCATGACAGAGTATGGGGATCATGTGGAACAGGGTCAGAGCATGACAGAGTATGGGGATCATGTGGAACAGGGTCAGAGTATGGGGATCATGTGGAACAGGGTCAGAGTTTGGGGATCATGTGGAACAGGGTCAGAGCATGACAGAGTTTGGGGATCATGTGGAACAGGGTCAGAGTATGACAGAGTTTGGGGTTCATGTGGAACAGGGTCAGAGTATGACAGAGTTTGGGGATCATGTGGAACAGGGTCAGAGCAGACATAGTATGGGGATCATGTGGAACAGGGTCAGAGTATGGGGATCATGTGGAACAGGGTCAGAGCATGACAGAGTATGGGGATCATGTGGAACAGGGTCAGAGCATGACAGAGTATGGGGATCATGTGGAACAGGGTCAGAGTATGGGGATCATGTGGAACAGGGTCAGAGCATGACAGTGTATGGGGATCATGTGGAACAGGGTCAGAGCATGACAGAGTATGGGGATCATGTGGAACAGGGTCAGAGCATGACAGAGTATGGGGATCATGTGGAACAGGGTCAGAGTATGGGGATCATGTGGAACAGGGTCAGAGCATGACAGAGTATGGGGATCATGTGGAACAGGGTCAGAGCATGACAGAGTATGGGGATCATGTGGAACAGGGTCAGAGTATGGGGATAAATAATAAAAATAATATGCCATTTAGCAGACGCTTTTATCCAAAGCGACTTACAGTCATGCGTGCATACATTATTATTATTTTTTTGTGTATGGGTGGTCCCGGGGATCGAACCCACTACCTTGGCGTTACAAGCGCCGTGCTCTACCAGCTGAGCTACAGAGGACCACACATCATGTGGAACAGGGTCAGAGCATGACAGAGTATGGGGATCATGTGGAACAGGGTCAGAGCATGACAGAGTGAGGGTTTGACACAAGGCAAAACATGTAACTCACATTCCTGTCCCTGGCCCATTCTCTACGAGCTAGATGTAATTTGAGTGCCATGTATGACGAGAAAGATCTATGATCACCATAGAGACAAGGCATTGAGGGCAAAACAACTAGGCGGGGTTGGGCGGGGGGGGGGGGGGGGGGGGGGGGCTGTCATCGTGATGGTGAGTTGTGAGAAAGTAAACATTGTCAATTGCAATCAATCAAGTAAATAGTGTGAGTGGAAACATATGGTTACTCTCTCTTGTACTCTGTTTGAATCAAAGATATGGAAATAAGAGCATTTGAATGATGCAAAACAGGCACATCTAGACTTGCCATCTAACAATATCTTTAGGGTTCAGTCTAGTAGTTTTAAAACCTGTTTTTGAAAGCTTCAATGGTTTCAACAAAACATTTGTCTGTGTCTGTTTATGATTTGTGTTAACGTTCTGGAACTTTCTCAACTGTGTTTCCAGCATTCTAAATGATCAACACATGTTCACTGTGAATGTGTTCCAGAATCACATAATCAGTTCCTTCTCTCTCTGTCAGTATCTTTAGTTGATCAATAGGCCTACAGCTGCATCTATCCACCCTTGTTCAAAACATATTTTAAAGCAGATACATAAGCAGTCCTGTCATCAGGCGCTTGCTTCCAACTCAGCCGACAGTGACCGGTTCTCACCTACAGGGGGCACTTATGTATTCAATTCAATCTAGGTTGACATTTCTAAATAACATGATGACCAAACAGTCTCCACGTGTGCAATAGTGCGCACGTTGTGTTTGTCTATCCCCACCAGATGCGATCTGGACATGCAGGTTGAAATATCAAAATGAATTCTGAACCAACTATATTAATTTGGGGACAGGTCGAAACATTCATGGACATTTTGCTAGCTGGGATATAAACATTGGGTTGTTATTTAACCTGAAATGTACAAGGTCATTTTTTTGCTGGATCTTTGTAGAATATCTACCCATTTTGAGTCACACAAAATCGTGTGTTCTCTACTCCGACAATTAACCCACAGATAAAAGGGGAAACCTAGTTAGTTTCTAGTAATCTCTCCTCGTTCAGTCTTCTTCTTCTGTGGATTTTATATGGCAGTTGGCAACCAACTTAATCGGTGCATTACCGCAACCAACCGTACTGGAGTGTGGACCTCCATCTTTCAATCACCCACGTGGGTATATGCTCCTAAAAAGCAATGAGTAGATGGGAGAGGCGGGACTTGCAGCGCGTCAAGCGTCTAAAATAGAACCACATTAAATTTTAGCGCCTGGCTACGCAGACACTCGCGAGCAGTTTGGATGAAATTATTGAATAACGTGTAAATTGCAACGCTGCCGGTGAGGTCAGCATGAAAAGTTTTCCAACATAGTAAATACTAGACTACCTCCTTTGGATAAATATTTCCTTTTTATTCATCTGAGAAAATAATCAAATGGAAGCATCTGAATGCGTCGCATAGTAAACAGACAGGAAATACAAAAATATAGATAAAACAATTCTAAATTAGATTATTTTTTCTTCAAAAAGGACGAGTTAATTAATGTCTCTTTGGATCAACATATGGACAGTATATGTTTTGGATCTGATACATTTGTAAAACATTTATTTATCAAGTTTCCCCATCCCCTCATGCAGCAATCAACCCATTCTGTTCCGTTAATGTCCGTTCATCAGTTCCTACTCCTCACCCGCCCAACCCTCCCTCAGCTAATCTTCAGAAACATTTCCCCCACACCTCAAAACAACCCCTCCTTAACCCAGCCCTCCCCAGTGTCTCTCTGGCTCATTAGATTGAAGTTTTCCCCCTTCCTCCCAGTCCCATATCACTCTCCCATATCAATCTCCTGGTGGCGTTTAGAAGGTGGCACCAGGTGTTCCGGAAGCTTCCCCGGCAGCTCATGCCCCTCCAGCTTCACCTTGATCAGGTGATTGGCCAACGCAAACTCCTCGTCGTCCAGGTAACCATCCTTATCCACGTCGGCCAGCTTCCAGATCTTGCCCAGGACCGTGTTGGGCAGCTTGGACTTCACCATCTCCTTCTTGGCTGCCGCGCCCGACACTTTACCGTTGATCGGCGACAGCGTGTAGAAGATCTCATCGTACGAGGGTTTGTCCCGGCCCACCACCCACTCCAGCTCGTCGATGCCTTCCCCGGCGCCCTCTCCATAGCCGTGGCCGAAGGGGCCAGACATGGTGCCCTCGAAGGCGCCTCCGTGGACAACTTGGCTGGGCATGGCGGCTTCCTCCTGGCGGACCAGGGTCATGAGGCGGGCGATGTCGTTGGCCAACATGTCCTCCACAGCCTCTAGCAGCTTGGGCTTCATGGTAGAGAACTTAGAGAAGTCGTGGCCAGCCAGGAGCTCCTACAGAGACGAAGGCGAGGGGAGATGAATACTATGTTAAAGGTCTGAGGTCATTAACAAAGATTATGTTCATCATTGGATGGTCTTCATTTCTTCTACAACATAATACAGAGGATGGGATAACACTTCAGTTTGTAAAGTCACACTGATTAACCTCTGGTGTGGACATCTGTACGGAAACTATTCCATCAATAGGCTCCATCTCACCTGCATCTTCTTGAGTTTAGGGAAGTCTCCGGGGGAGATCTGATGTTCCCTCTCTATCTTCAGGTACGTCTCTCCCAGGTTGGCAATCAGTTCCTTCTTCTTGTTCTCCTTCCCAAACATACTGGGCATCTCCTTCTTCAGAGAGCTGATGATGTAGGCATGGACCTGGACAAGGGTTCAAAGTTCACACAACCTATAGAAAGAAGCTATTGACCCAGACTGATATTCTGCCATAATAAACCAGCTGATGATGTAGGCATTGACATGTACAAGGGTTCAAACATCCTTTAGAAACTACCTGTTGACCCACAACAAAATACTACTAACTTTAACTCTGTTCCTCTCTGCTAAAGTCCCCTCATACCTTCCCTACACCCATCTGGGGAACCCTCCCCCTACCCGTCCCCATGTTTCACCTTAGCCAGCCGTGCCCTCTTGATGAGGTCGTTGAGTTTCCGTATCGCTGCGTTCCGGGGAAGCCCCTGGATGTCCTGGAACAAGTCCTGTTCCTCAGCCTCAAACAGCTTCCTATTGTCAGGGATCAGGAGAGGCTGGGCCCAGAACGACCCGATGTACACCCTCACCACCTGAGGACCACAATACACACACACATACATACACTACCAGTCAAAAATGTGGACACACCTACTCATTCAAGGGTTTCTTTATTTTGACAATTTTTTTACATTGTAGAATAATAGTGAAGACATCAAAACTATGAAATAACACATATGGAATCATGTAGTAAACAAAAAAGTGTTAAACAAATCAAAATATATTTTATATTTGAGATTCTTCAAATAGCCACCCCTTTGCCTTGATGACAGCTTTGCACACTCTTGGCAGCACTGTATATATATGCCATAGGGAATAGGGTGTGATTTCGGACGCACCTTTGTCGAAGAAAATGAAATAATGAGTCACCTCGGGGGTGTTGATGATCTTCCCCAGCGACCACATGAGGGCGCCGTAGACTCTCATCAGCTGCTGCGTGTTGATCTGGTCAGCCTTGTTCAGCACCACGCGCATCTTGTCCTCGTGGTTTTTCAGGGCGCAGATCACCTCAGAGAACTCGTCTGAGATGTCCAGCTTGTGGGCATCAAACAGGAGGATAATGCGGTCCACACGTTCCGCGAACCACTCCAGTACCGCTGCAAAGTCATACCCTGGAGAACGACAAGGGGAGGGGGGTTACGGTGGAGTCACACACACACACACACCAGTCTGGACTGTGTCTATCAACAACACTTATGTTGAGGAGGAACCCCAAATGAGATTGTGGGGAGAAAGATGAGATGGCGGACTGACAAACTGAAGAGGAAAAGGGAGTATTGAGTTGAGGGTTGTGGTGTATTCTGTGGGTTTCACACTAACAAATCAAATCAAATTTTATTGATCACATGCGCCGAATACAACAGGTGCAGACATTACAGTGAAATGCTTACTTACAGCCCTTAACCAACAGTGCATTTATTTTTAACAAAAAAAGTAAAAATAAAGCAACAAAAAAAGTGTTGAGAAAAAAAGAGCAGAAGTAAAATAAAATAACAGTAGGGAGGCTATATATACAGGGGGGTACCGGTGCAGAGTCAATGTGCGGGGGCACCGGCTAGTTGAGGTAGTTGAAGTAATATGTACATGTGGGTAGAGTTAAAGTGACTATGCAGAAATAATTAACAGAGTAGCAGCAGCGTAAAAAGATGGGGTGGGGGGTGGGGGTGGGGGGGGGGCAGTGCAAATAGTCCAGGTAGCCATGATTAGCTGTTCAGGAGTCTTATGGCTTGGGGGTAGAAGCTGTTGAGAAGTCTTTTGGACCTAGACTTGGCACTCCGGTACCGCTTGCCGTGCGGTAGCAGAGAGAACAGTCTATGACTAGGGTGGCTGGAGTCTTTGACAATTTTGAGGGCCTTCCTCTGACACCGCCTGGTATAGAGGTCCTGGATGGCAGGAAGCTTGGCCCCAGTGATGTACTGGGCCGTACGCACTACCCTCTGTAGTGCCTTGCGGTCGGAGGCCAAGCAGTTGCCATACCAGGCGGTGATGCAACCAGTCAGGATGCTCTCGATGGTGCAGCTGTAGAATTTTTTGAGGATCTGAGGACCCATGCCAAATCTTTTCAGTCTCCTGAGGGGGAATAGGCTTTGTAGTGCCTATTGATCCTATAATTGACAACACTACTGACCTACATACTGAAACTATAGACCCTATGCAGCATGTTTCAAAATGTCTCTGATACTGTCCAAATATTCAAACGTATTTAGTTCCATCCTATTTAACCTTAAAAATAAGTTAAAAAAACACACAAAAAAAACAGATGAGGCTGAAAAGAAATAGGAACAGAGAGGCCTTTTCCATTTCTGAACAGAAGCCTGGGGAGTTCTGGCACGGCGATCCAAGGCTCTTTAAAAAAGACAGAAAAGGAAAGAAAAAGTAATGGAGAGGGGGAATTATGGTTTTCATTAGGGCCCGTCATCTGATCAGAGAAGAATGCAGTCAGTCAGTCTAAAAAGCTAATCTACGCAGCTGGCCACACCAAACAGTACCAGATCTGCTGCACATGCATTCCAGGGGGAGGCTTTGTGCATGTGTGTTGTAGTGTGTGTGTGTGTGTGTGTGTGTGTGAGTCAGGGGGGTGGAGGGGAGGGGCCAGTGGAAAGAGTGAGTGAGAGAACAAATGTGAGCAACAGAAAGTGATTGAAAGAGACAGAATCACCGGTAGAGTGAGGGAAAAAGGAAATCATAACACTTCCATATCAAGCAAGACAGGAGAGAGAGAGAGAGAGAGAGAGAGAGAGAGAAAGACAGAGACAGAGTGAGAGAAATATTTAGAGAGACAAAAAGAGAGAGAGATAAGTCAGAGGCCTGTGGGATTTAGAGGACATTCCATCCATCAAATGGATAGTTTGAAACACAACTGTCCCCACACAATGACCGCTGCACCACTCTCTCCAGTCTACCCACAACTGCTTCTAAAACACACACACACACACACACAGTCCTCTACCAGCCCCCGGCACTGTCATACCCCCGATGAACAATACAGTCAGGCCTGTGTGTGTCTGTGGAATCATAGTGGTCTGAGGTATGCATGTGGTATTCCAGTATGGCGTTTCACCCCCCAACGCTAAACAGGGTCACCTTGACACACACTTTCCCCTCATCTCATAGCTCTTAGCTCTGTTCATCTTTCTCACTTCTTTCCTTGTCTCTACTCTCTTGGGATCTCTGCCCAGCTCTTTAGCAGTCTTGTTTAGCAGTCTTATGGCTTGGGGTAGATGCTGTTCATGTCTGGAACCAACAGGACCCTGAACAGCCTCTACCCCCAAGCCATAAGACTGCTAAACAAGACTGCTAAATAGTTAATCAAATGGCTAACCGGACTACCTGCATTGACCCTTTTGGACTCTACCCACACATACTTATACTGACACCCCAACACACACAAAAACATGGGCACACATGCATACTGACGCCACACACACACCACATACGCTGCTGCTACTGTCTATTATCTACCCTGTTGCCTAGTCACTTTAACCCTACCTACATGTACATAGCTACCTCGTACTCCCTGTATATAGCCATGTTATTTGGTATTGTTATTCACTGTGTATTTATTCCTTGTGTCACTATTTCTATAAAAAAATCTTTATCTTCAACTGTGCATTGGTGGAAAAGGACCCGTAAGTAAGCATTTCACTGTTAGGCTACACTTGTTGCTTTGATCTCTAAACCTTTCACTTGTAGTGGGAAAAATGTCCCAATAAGAGATGATATTACCAAATATTATCAGCAGAATGAGCCAATAAGGGAAAATATTGGCTGAGCAATATCAGAAGAATGTGCAACGTAGGGGTTACGGGGAAATTCACAGTCATCTCAGTTCTAGTCAGCTTCCCTTCCCAGGACCCCAAACATCATACTTTACTTGCACTTCCCAACAGAAAAGAGAAGTATTCTATACTATTCTGTCATCTTAGGAGAGCTTTAAATGGCCTGTGTTACCTCTGACCCACTTAGTGGTTGACACAGCCAGGCTTGACACCTCTATTGAGATAACTCTGATAAATGACAGTGGAAAAAACATAAAAGCAAGTGTTTTTGCATGCGTGTGAGGCTGACCTCTGCTTATCCTCTGTTTCTCCCCTGACAGGATTCCAGGGGTATCAATGATACTGATGCTCTCCAGGACCGGGTTGGACATCTGAGCACACGTAAATCTGCAAGGAGATGGAGTGGAGGGTGGAAGTGAAAGAGGTAGAAAGAAAGAGAGAGGGATGGGGGAGAGATAGGCAGGGGGGGACATTAACAACCAGTTAGGTGAGGCTGTTGAAACAAAGCTAGGCATTAATGTAGGTCTAAACTAAGCTTACAGTCAACCTGTCACAGCTAGAAATGGGAACTGAATGGTTTGCCTGGAAGTGGGACAAAACACAATTCAAACAAGGAAAAACTGTTTTCTGTGAGAGTTGAATGCTGCATAATTTCTTCGATTGTCCATAGAATAACCTTGACTCACTGGCCAAGCTTAAACAATACATAATGTTATTTTCGTTCATTAGTCATCCCAAACATAATGGTTTTTCAGCCTAAAACTTCAAGTGGGTAAGTGTATAATTGAGAGCAAACCACGACACACACAGAGAAAAGAACATGTTTTGTATCTGGAGAGAGAGGGCTAGGTCGGTCAAACAGAAGACCGCAGTTTCCTCAAGCAGGAAAAACGATTGTTACGTTTTACCACTTTTCCTTCTCATCCCAGAACTCTGCTGCCCCACCGCTCCCAAATAACTCATATTCTGGACATTACGCTACAGGCATTAGATCACAAGACTAGCAGAACTAAGCTCTTAGCTTACATTCTCACAGAAACACTCATAGGAGAGTAGATCTAGCCTACAACTGGACCCTTTACAACAGACGTTTCATAGAGTGGAGAGGGAGAAAATAGACAATTCAAGGCCAAACAAGAAGTCAAAGAACTAGGGGGGTGAAAAATCCTGTGGTAGAGTAGTATCATATTACAATGGGAATATATGTCTCCCCACAATGACCACATGTACATATCCCAACCAGAAGCCATGGATACCATGCAACATCTGCACTGAGCTAAAGGCTAGAGCTGCTGCTTTCAAAGAGCGGAACACTATTCCGGACGCTTATAGACTCCAACCACCTAAGTCATAGACTGTTCTTTCTGCTACCACACGGCAAGCGGTACCGATGCACCAAGTCTTGAACCAACATGACCCCCAACAGGACCCTGAACAGCCATAAGACTGCTAAATAGTTAACCAAATAGCTACCCGGACTATCTGCATTGACACCCCCCCCCCCCCCCCCCCCCCCCCCCCCCCCCCCCCCCCCCCCCCCCGCACTAAATTGTTTGACTCATCACATACACTGCTGCTACTGTTTATTATCTATCCTGTTGCCTAGTCACTTTACCTCTACCTACATGTACATATCTACCTCAATTACCTTGGTACTGGTACCCTGTGTATATAGCCAAGTTATCGTCACTCACTGTGTATTTGTTCCTTGTGTTTGGGATTGTTGGGAAGGGCCCGTAAGTAAGCATTTCACTGTTAGTCTACACCCGTTGTTGATGTAGCATGTGACAAATAAAATTTGATTTGACAGTCCAAGCCTTCCCGTTTATCTAACATTTTCTACAAAAGGGTCAGCACAACTGCGCTAACCTCAGAATCTCTCTCTCCACCACACACTACTCAAACAGTAACCCCCATCCCTGCCTCTCTACCCCTCTCTGAACCCCTCATCAGGCAGCCCCACAACTTCCCAAAGTGAAGAAATACTATGAGGCTTGAGGACGTGGTGGACATTGGGTGCAAGACAAGTACACCTAAGTACTTTACAACACATTTCCCTTTGAGATGTTACTGGAAGCCCCCGTGCAGTAATGTGCAGAGTCAGTCAGTCAGTGTCCTGAAATAACAGGCTGAGTTCAGTAAAACGGAACCCCATCCCGCTGACTCTTACTACTCCCATTGTGAACACACACACACACACAGAGAGTGGCCGATGGCTGGTTGTGGTAGTTAAAGGACAACGCTATGGTTATAGACCTATAATCATCTCACCATCTGTGTCTGTGCTGCCCTCTCGGTTACGATAGTCCTCAGTCTTGTTGTGAAAGAGCCCGTCTCATGGGCCTTGTGATGCCTTGCTCATCTCAACAATTAGCCTCTAAGTGAGACTAATTATCAATTGACCCTCATTGACTTTCTCTGCTATGAGCCAACGGAAATCAATTGTACAGAGGCACCCTGGGTAATGTAGTACCCCAGAACAGGGGTGAGCAGCAGTGTAGTCCAGCATCAGTGTTGAGCACATTACTTCCTCTAAAACATGTCCATTCAGACTGTGTCTGCAGCACAGAGAGACACAAGGCCAGGTTTATCTGACCATCTGTTTGGGTGCTGTGTCTTGTGGTGCCAGCCAAGCTCTCACAGAGAGGATAGGCCTTCTTTCTAGTGGATACTTCAGCAAAGGACACTACAATAAAACAACCTTGAGGGATTGTGTGTTTAAAGTAATTATAAAAATAAATAAAATAATCGCTATTGTTACATATCGGGATAACGATTTCGTATAGTATCGTTTTTGACAATATCACAATATTATTTTGGCACTAGTTGGCTGTACCTCCACCAAAACGCTAGTATTTTTCCTTCATAGCTTGTTCTCCATCTTTTTCTTTTTTTTTTTAAATAGGGAGCCAATTTGTTTTCAGCACTTATTTCCATGACTGATCAAAACTTGTTTTCTCATGGCTCTCTTGTCCCTCTGCAGCAGATATATGGTGAGCAATATGTTTGGAACATCAAATCGCAATAAAATCACAGTATTGAATCGCAATTCATATAGAATCGGGAGAATCGCAATAGCCTACATATCGTATCGTACCTTAGTATTTTGATATTATGGTTTATTTAGTTATTTGATTTTATTGGGATCCCCATTAGCCGACGCCTATCGTGAGGTCCCTGGCAATTCCCAGCCTTAGTCTGAAGTCTGAAAGATTTACATTTTAGTCATTTAGCAGACGCTCTTATCCAGAGCAACTTACAGTTAGTGAGTGCATACATACATTTTTTCATCCTGGCCCCCCGTGGGAATCAAACCCAAAACCCTGGCGTTGCAAGCGCCATACTCTACCAACTGAGCTACACGGGACCAAGAACACACATAAAGCCCCAGAACAGACAAACTCTCATTGATTGTTGTCATAATGCCACGTAGAACAGACTAGAACAACTGACTGTTGTGTCAGAATGCGCCATAGAGCAGTCGGGATCGCTGAATCGCTTTGATTTGTCATGACAATTAGTATTTGAACACACAAGAAGACCTGTTGAGTACTGACTAATCCGCTGCGTTTAGACAGGCAGCCCAATTAGTGACAAAATATCTGATCTGATTGGTCAAAAGACCAATTAAGTGGCAAAATATCCTCAGTGGGAGTTGGCCAGCTGTTACTACTGTGCTGTTACACACTGTTCAAATAGCCAAGGGGAAAAGGTTGTCTCAACTTGGCAAGGTGACTTTTCCAGGTGGGTTAACAACAGGTGTGTGTGATGGATGGAACAGAGGCTACAATCTGTTGTGGTGATGAAATAAAGGGGTAAACACCTTGGGCTAAATGACAGGAGGAATGATGCAACAGTAGAGATCGTTTTGTTTCAAAGAGTCCCAACATGCAGTGGCTTGTGAGGGAGGTATTATATGGAATGCTGAGAGAGGTGTCACTGTCAATGACGTTATGATTGTCACCTGACACTTCATCAGATCAGGTGATCAACAATCAAGCAACAACGTTTAGTGGTATGTTCAGTAACTAGTAATCATTCTTTCAAGTCATGAAATGAGTTGCTGCCTGTTAGTCCTACCGTATGAGGTATAGCCTATTTGCATACTGTACTTTACAACAGGCATAAGCTCCTCTACTAGGGCGTGGGAACTTGGCATGAGTATTTACCTGTTGAGGAACGCGTTCCCAAACGCGTTGAGTTTGCGGAAGGGTTTTTTGGGGTCGACAACCAAGGCGTTGCCAGGTATCATCCCGTCCTGGTCACCGTGCATCACGGCTATGAAAGAGTCTGTCGTCGGCTCGGGCCCTATCCTCATACCGGGGAAGTCTTGCTCCATCAGGTGCCGAATAAAAGTAGTTTTCCCGGTCGAGTACTGACCGACCAAGAGAACCATGGGTTTGTTGTCGAAGTCGGCATCCTCGAGCGCCGGTGAGTGGAAGTCGTGGAATTGGTAGCTGTCCTCTAGGGGAAAGAGTTTAGTCCGGTAAAGTTTCTTCAAACCTTGCGAAACATCCTGGAACGGTTCTGGCGTTTTTTTATCCCTACTGCGGAACATGGTGGGCTGTTGTGCTGGTTTGACACAGCAGTGTCGCTTTGGAACTGAAAACAGCAGAGAGAGATGGCGATATCGCGAAGTTGTTCACGCAACTATCACAGTAGTAGGGTAACGTTAGCTAAAGTAGGCGAGGTCTTGAAGTGTTGATTGTCCCTCCCTCCTGACGAGCCACACGCCCCAGCTAGTTTTTACCACTAGTCAATCAACCACCAAGCCAATCCCTCTCCAGTAACTGGATAATTAATGTATGTATCTAGCCAGCTATTGTCAATCTTTTGTAGAAGTCTAGAGCGTAATTTCTCTTAAACGTTGAATAATAAACACACGCTATCCTTTAATAGGAGGAACACATCACTTTTACCTGTCCTTTTGAGTTCTGTGACCGCATTCACCGGCTGGCTGACACTTGTGTGACACGCAGAAAGCGGAAGTGGAATGTGAACTTCAAAATACAAGTCCCAGCGAATGAATGAAGTACGTAGGCCTATCATCGCTCAAAAATGATGAAGATAACGAATGAGGATGAAGAAACAGGCAATTGACTCCTCGTCATCTCACCCAGTCTTGTGACAGCTGCTGCACATTGCTGGCTTGGCCCTAAGGTTTGGCGTCACTATTCTGCAATTCATTAAAAGTTGGACTCAGCTCTAAATTGCCCTGTCTGATAGCGTGTTCATTGTGGCCCAAATATGTGGTAGGCTGTGATAAAGACCAGATACACTGAAAGCGAGAGATAAATACAGTAAATGCCAGTATCTTTATTGTGAAAATAAACACTATACACATTTATTAGAATGAAAAGGCCTACTCAAGTACATACAAGTGCACAGACAACGTCACATACAGTAGATTTAGGTCAACACAGTGCATTCAGGGTGACGACCAGAGGTGTCTCTCTGCCCATAACAGCAGCTCCACTGGAACCTTAAGCTCTTCCATATGGAGATGCTGTTACAGCCAGCGGGCACCAGACACTGGAGTTATTGTGCACGTTATCACACAGCCATAAAGCCACATAATTCAATAGTAAACAATTTTCATACTCTTATCACAAATCTCAAACGGTCATGTCATATAGCGTGAGATTAGACTGCCCCCTGTTGGTCAAGGGTAATTACAACACAGAGCTTCTGTGCCATAAATCTGAACATGTGATGACTGAACATGTGATGACAATGCATAAAAGCATGTGATAATGCAGCTAAGACACTATCAAGAATGATACATACTTTATTTTTATTATTACCTTTGATCTACCTTATTGCTAATTTACAAAACAGATTGTGTATCACTCAATTGTAGCAATAAAATCATGGTGATTGTGCCCACCAGCGCAATGTTCTCAAAGGGTTGGTTCCGTTCAGCACGTTCAGGAGGTTATCTGGGTGTCCTGTAAAGGGGGGGGGGGTCAGCTATTCAACTTCAATCAATGAAATACTTGTATATACATTCATGATTCAATTACATTTGTTGAATTCAGAGGATTTCAAACAGTACTGAACTTTTACTATGATAAAACAGTTTCTATTAGTTAATTCTTTATTTCCAGAATCCTAGGCCTTCTCTAGTTCCAGAATCTTAGGCCTTCTCTTTCACGCTGTCCTTCCCAGAATCTCTCTAAGACTTTGACTCACTGATCTTTACCTCCCACCCTTCCAGCTTTGCAAAACAAAACAATAAAACAATTCACGAGAGAGTGTCTTTGGCCCCTTATTGACTCCTTCAACTTTGTTCACCTTTCTGTCTTACATGTTGCTCTCTTTCTATGTTTTTAAATTCATTTGAGTTTCTTTGTCTGATCAGTGAATTCACACATCATGAAAGATAATCATGTAAATCGCTTAGACTTACAAAGTAGTTCATCCGTTAAATCAAGTATGGAAACAAGTATGGAAATCAGCTGACTCTCTTTGTGCCTGCCAGTTACAAGAAGAAATTAAACTTACTATGAATGGAATGATCTATTACACTTTACTACATTTCCTCATCTCATCCAAGGGGATCTCATGATGTAGACAGGTTGAGATTTAAACATAACAATTTAAAAACAAACTGAACCTACTCACCCTCAGGAACTGAAGTTCAGTAAAGTACTGGTCAAGGAAGTGAGTGAGGGTTGCTTAAAACTGTGAGAAGGAGAGAGAAATTAATCATTATACGTACAGTAAATATGTAACAGGCCCTGCCCATAAACTTTGCATCCTGTTTGAACACCTATAGTCATGCAGTAAGACCTTCGCAAGCACACAAAGCCTACACACACGTACACCACAGGATATTGGTGGCACCTTAATTGGGGAGGACGGGCTCGTGGTAATGACTGGAGCGGAATAGAGTGGAATGGTATAAAATACATCAAAGACATGGTTTCCATGTGTTTGATGCCATTTAATTCGCTCCGTTCCAGCCATTATTATGAGCCGTCCTCCCCTCAGCAGACTCCACTGACCTACACACACATACACACGTACACACATACACACATATTCGCGCACACACACACACACACACAGTTTGTACTGCTATTCTTGTGGGGACCAAATAATGAGTTCCCATCCAAAATCAAACCCTAACACTAACCTTAACCCTCAACCTAACCATAACCCTAACCTTAAACCTTAACCCCAAACCCCTAACACTAAAAGTATACCTAACCCTAACTCCTAACCCTAAACCTAACCGTAACCCTTAACCTTACCTTAATTATAATCCTAACCCTGATTGTAACCCTAACCCTAAACCTAACCCCTAAGCCTAAAATAGCAAAATGTCCCCACAACTTTCCTTGTTTTACTATCCTTTTGAGGACTTCTGGTCCCCACAAGGATAGTTAAACAAAAATACACACACACTAAACCCAAATAGTAAAAGTAAACACATGCTAGGGAATCAGATAGACCTATAGATACAAAAGTGAAGCTTACCCATAATAAAACATGGCAACATTAAACACGTTGTCCTCCACAAATGATGCAGTGCCCCCCTTGGGCCAATCAGTGTCATTTTGTAAATGACTGATGGATCTCTATGGCAAGAACCATCATTCAACCAAGTTTCGTCAAAATCGGCCCAGTGGTGTCTGAGATGTCGCGTGGGTTAGCTAGACTCATATCCCTGAGCATGTGTGCCAAATTTCATCACTCTGAGTCAAACAGATCAAGAGATATAAACATGTGCCCGTTATAGCGCCACCGTGGGGTCGATATGAATGTTCTTGCATATGTTGAGTCTTGACAGTGTTTGCAACATGTGTACCAAATTTTGCTATAATACGAATATCCTTGGCTGATTCATATGCATTTATGTGCCAGACCACGCCTCAGTGAATGTTTATTGGCCAATACCGGCCATGTTGTTTTAGGTATTAGTCTGGAAAATATTGCTTTGAGAGACCTTTGACCATAGATGTCACATATCAAGTTTCGTGCAGATCGGTCATTATGTGCCAGAAGAGTAGCATCAAATATATTAAAGGTTTTCCCTTCTGTCTGTGGTAGCGTTTTAATCGTTTTTTCACAAAATTCAAAATGGCAAATGGGTTCCTTGAGAGGAGAAGGACCGTTCTTTACATACCTGAGGGACCTACAGTATGTACTGAATTTCATGACTTTAGGTCAAATGGGGTAGGGGCGTATTTTATTATAGCGCCACCATCTGGATCTGTATGGCAAAACGCATCATTCACGTAAATTTAGTAAAAATCGGGCCAATGCTGTCTGAGATATCGCGTGTGACTAACGTAGGGAAGAACATCCTAACGAATGGATTTCATCTTCGGGGACAAGCAATAATGTATAGAAACCCTGGATTGCTTTTGCAATGTAGTGGCCATTGAGAGGCTTTGAAGCCACGGGTTGGCCATATTAGAACTCCAGTAGGAGCAGTCCTCTATAGGAATGAATGTAATTCTACAGTATTTCAATGAAATGTTTTAAGGACAAAATTACATGTATTTAAGTATTTTCTGTTGTAGTGGGGACAGTAACATTAGTACAACAAATATATAATATACTTTTTTATTTTATTTATTTTAAGGAAAATGTTTTAATATTTTTTTTATGTGAATGTTTAGCTCACATAATGTAATTTAACAGTATGCATTAAGGTTTTCTGTAATATAATAAAATGTCAAAAACGAATCTACACATTAATAAATGCATTTATATAGCTGCTACTGTTACTACTACTACTGCTAATCTACTACTACTACTGTTACTGCTACCACTACCGCTACTACTACTACTGTTACTGCTACCACTACCGCTACTACTACTACTGCTACTGCTACTGTTACTGTTACTATTATCACTACTACTTCCACCACTACTACTACTACTGTTACTGCTGCTGCTACTACTACTACTACTACTACTGTTACTGCTGCTGCTACTACTATCACTACTACTACTACTACTATCACTACTACTGCTACTACTATCACTACTACTACTATCACTACTACTACTACTACTACTACTACTACTATCACTACTACTGCTACTGCTATCACTACTACTGTTACTGCTGCTACTACTACTATCACTACTACTGCTGCTGCTACTACTACTACTACTACTATCACTACTACTACTGTTACTGCTACTACTACTACTATCACTACTACTGCTGCTGCTGCTACTACTACTATCACTACTACTACTACTACTACTACTACTACTATCACTACTACTACTGTTACTGCTACTACTGTTACTGCTATCACTACTACTACTGTTACTGCTACTACTACTACTATCACTACTACTGCTGCTGTTGCTACTACTACTACTACTACTATCACTACTACTACTACTACTACTATCACTACTACTACTGCTACTATTACTACTATCAATACTACTACTACTGCTACTACTACTACTATCACTACTACTGCTGCTGCTGCTACTACTACTACTACTATCACTACTACTACTACAACTACTATCACTACTACTACTGTTACTGCTACTACTACTACTATCACTACTACTGCTGCTGTTGCTACTACTACTACTACTACTACTACTATCACTACTACTACTGTTACTGATACTATTACTACTACTACTACTACTACTACTACTACTGTTACTAGTATTGCTGCTACCGTTACTGCTGATGCTGCTGCTTCTGCTACTACTACTACTACTATCGCTACTACTACTAAACTACTATTTACTATAACTACTACTACTACTACTACTACTATCACTACTACTACTGCTGATGCTACTACTGCTATCACTACTACTACTATCACTACTACTACTATCACTACTACTACTACTACTACTATCACTACTACTACTTCTACTACTACTGATGCTACTACTACTACTACTACTACTATCACTACTACTATATCTACTACTACTACTATTGCTACTACTACTACTACTACTACTACACTACTACTACTACTACTATCACTACTACTGCTATCACTACTACTACTACTATCACTACTACTGCTATCACTACTACTACTACTACTACTACTACTACTACTACTATCACTACTACTGCTATCACTACTACTACTACTACTACTACTACTACTACTACTACTACTACTACTATCACTACTACTGCTATCACTACTACTACTACTACTACTGTTACTAGTATTGCTGCTACCGTTACTGCTGATGCTGCTACTACTACTATCACTACTACTATAACTATAACTACTACTACTACTACTACTATCACTACTACTACTGCTGATGCTACTACTGCTATCACTACTACTACTATCACTACTACTACTACTACTACTATCACTACTACTACTACTACTATCACTACTACTACTACTACTACTACTACTGATGCTACTACTACTACTACTACTATCACTACTACTATTATCACTACTACTACTATCGCTACTACTACTACTACTGCTACTACTACTACTACTATCACTACTACTGCTATCACTACTACTACTACTATCGCTACTACTACTACTACTATCACTACTACTGCTATCACTACTACTACTATCACTACTACTGCTATCACTACTACTGCTATCACTACTACTACTACTACTACTACAGCTGCTGCTGCTACTATCACTACTTTCACTACTTTTGTTAAATTCCTGATAATTCGATTTTTTGGTTAGCTTTGAGAACAGGGCCTTGTTTCCCAGAGCCGTCGTAGCGTTAAGATCATTGTTAGAACCTTAAGTGCTGTTATTGTGAAGTGGAAACGTCTAGGAGCAGCAACGGCTCAGCCGCGAAGTGGTAGGCCACACAAGCTCACAGAACGGGAACGCTGAAGCGCGTAACACGTAAAATCGCCTGTCCTCTGTTGAAACACTCACTACCGTGTTCCAAACTGCCTCTGGAAGCAACGTCAGCAGAAGAACTGATCGTCGGGAGCTTCATGAAATGGGTTTCCATGTCCGAGCAGCCGCACACAAGCTGCTGATCACCATGCGCAAGGACAAGCGTCGGCTGGAGTGGTGTAAAGCTCGCCGCCATTGGACTCTGGAGCAGTGGAAGCGTGTTTTCTGGAGTGATGAATCACGCTTCACCATCTGGCAGTCCGACAGACGAATCTGGGTTTGGCGGATGCCAGGAGAACGCTAGGTGGAGGAGTAATAATTGTCTGGGGCTGTTTTTCATGGTTTGGGCTAGGCCCCTTAGTTCCAGTGAAGGGAAATCTCAACGCTACAGCATACAATGACATTCTAGACGATTCTGTGCTTCCAACTTTGTGGCAACAGTTTGGGGAAGGCCCTTTCCTGCACAAAGAGAGGACCATACAGAAATGGTTTGTCGAGAACAGTGTGGAAGAACTTGACTGGCCTGCACAGAGCCCTGACCTCAACTCCATCTAACACCTTTGGGAAGAATTGGAACGCCGACTGCGAGCCAGGCCTAATCGCCAACATCAGTGACCGACCTCACTAATGCTCTTGTGGTTAAGGGCTTGTAAGTAAGCATTTCACTGTAAGGTTTACACCTGTTGTATTCGGCGCATGTGACAAATACAATTTGATTTGATTTTAAGTCCCTGCAGCAATGTTCCAACATCTAGTGGAAAGCCTTCCCAGAAGTGTGGAGGCTGTTATAGCAGCAAAGGGGGGACCAACTCCATATTAATGTCCATGATTTTGGGATGAGCTGTTGGATGAGCAGGTGTCCACATACTTTTGGTCATTTCGTGTATCTATCTAGGAGCTTCTCCGTCGACAGTATTGTCGAATAATTCTGATGTTAAGGTAAGATTTGAATGGAGAAAGCTGGATTGGTGCATCTCATTAGAAAAGCACCACTATTTTGCCATGTGGTCCCGTGTAGCTCAGTTGGTAGAGCATGGCATTTGCAACGCCAGGGTTGTGGGTTCGATTCCCACGGGGGGCCAGTATGAAAACGTATGCACTCACTAACTGTAAGTCGCTCTGGATAAGAGCGTCTGCTAAATGACTAAAATGTAAATGTAATATAGCTTCCAAAATGTAAGATGGCTGCGCGGTGGCTTCATTACAGCGCCCCCTGTCAGTCATCCAGGTTTTACACATCACCGGGGACAACTATAATGAAAACTGTTATACAGATACTGCAGGTGTAAGGTCCACTAGATGGCAGCATTGTGCTGTGAATGAGAACGTTTTCGGAAAATGCGGTCATGTTTTATCCCATTGGGCCTCCGTACATTTTCGCTTGTGACTAGACGGGAAGCGGTGTTTGTTGACTGATTCCGAATGTGAGTTACTAATGTTGCCCAAACAAATAATGCTATTTAGTAAAAATAATGTTTATGAAATGATTGATCTCTATCATTTTCACAAGTATAATGTGTTAGTCACCCTAGTTATATTGTCGAGACCATCATCAATTTACTTTGCAAACTGTTTTTCTTGTTACAGCTATCAGGAGAGGCTATGTTGCCCAAACAAATAATGCTATTTAGTAAAAATAATGTTTATGAAATGATTGATCGCTATCATTTTCACAAGTATAATGTGTTAGTCACCCTAGTTATATTGTCGAGACCATCATCAATTTACTTTGCAAACAGTTTTTCTTGTTACAGCTATCAGGAGAGGCTAACTGAAATTAGCCATCTCATTCGTCCATCAAGCTAGCTAGCTGGCTAACAATAGCTAGCTATATGTAAACATAGATAATACGGCAAAGTTACTGGACAATTCTTCTTTGGTTTATGAATGATTTTCAGGTGGTGGTCTGTGTAGATACTAAAATGTTTCCTGCGGGACGTTACTTAAGTGATGCTGCTTTGTTATTTTCATAGCCAGTTCAATCCAGTCAAATAGCTTCACAGCTAGCACATTATGGACCTACAGTGCCTTCGCAAAGTATTCAGACCCCTTGACTTTTTCCACATTTTGTTACATTACAGCCTTATTCTAAAGTTGATTCAATTGTTTTTTCCCCTCATCAATCTACACACAATAACCCATAATGACAGAAAAAAACAGGTTTTTATCAATTTCAGCTAATTTATTAAAAATAAAAAAACTGAAATGTAACATTTACATAAGTATTCAGACCCTTTACTCAGTACTTTGTTGAAGCACCTTTGGCAGCGATTACAGCCTCGAGTCTTCTTGGGTATGAAGTAAGTCGCTCTGGATAAGAGCGTCTGCTAAATGACGTAAATGTAAAATGAAGCTTGGCACACCTGTATTTGGGGAGTTTCTCCCATTCTTCTCTGCAGATCCTCTCAAGCTCTGTCAGGTTGGATGGGGAGCGTTGCTGCACAGCTTTTTTCAGGTCTCTCCAGAGATGTTAGATCGGGTTCAAGTCCAGGCTCTGGCTGGGCCACTCAAGGACATTCAGAGACTTGTCCCGAAGCCACTCCTGCGTTGTCTTAACTGTATGCTTAGGGTTGTTGTCCTGTTGGAAGGTGAATCTTCACCCCAGTCTGAGGTCCTGAGCACTCTGGAGCAGGTTTTCATCAAGGATCTCTCTGTACTTTGCTCCGTTCATATTTGCCTTGATCCTGACTAGTCTCCCAGTCCCTGCCGCTGAAAAACATCCCCACAGCATGATGCTGCCACCACCATGCTTCACCGTAGGGATGGTGCCAGGTTTCTTTGGCATTCAGGCCAAAAAGTTCATTCTTGGTTTCATCAGCCCAGAGAATCTTGTTTCTCATGTGAGAGTCTTTAGGTGCCTTTTGGCAAACTCCAAGCGGGCTGTCATGTGCCTTTTACTGAGGATTGGCTTCCGGCTGGCCACTCTACCATAAAGGCCTGATTGGTGGAGTGCTGCAAAGGATGGTTGGCCTTCTGGAAGGTGACCAAGGCCCTTCTCCCCCAAGTGCTCTGTTTGGCTGGGCAGCCAGCTCTAGGAAGAGTCTTGGTGGTTCCAAACTTCTTCCATTTAAGAATGATGGAGGCCACTGTGTTCTTGGGGATCTTAAATCCTGCAGACATTTTTTGGTTCCCTTCCCTAGATCTGTGCTTCGACACAATCCTGTCTCGGAGCTCTACGGACAATTCCTTCAACCTCATGGCTTGCTTTTTGCTCTGACATGAACTGTCAACTGTGGGACCTTATATAGACAGGTGTGTGCCTTTCCAAATCATGTCCAATCAATTGAATTTACCACAGGTGGACTCCAATCAAGTTGTAGAAACATCTCAAGGATAATCAATGGATGCACCTGAGCTCAATTTCAAGCCTCATAGCAAAGGGTCTGAATACTTATGTAAATAAGGTATTTCTGTTTTTTATTTTTAATAAATTTGCAAAAATGTCTAAAAACCTGTTTTTGCTTTGTGATTATGGGGTATTGTGTGTAGATTGCTGAGGATTTTTTAAAATGTAATCAATTTTAGAATACGGCTATAACGTAACAAAATGTGTAAAAAGTCAAGGGGTCTGAATACTTTCCGAAGGCACTGTATGTAGTAACAACCCATGTAACTAGCTAACAAGTTATTCGGGTAGTATGTAATTGGTTCAACCTGATTCTAAATAATTTAGACTAGTATAGTTAATACTTGTTTTTGGCTACTTTACATGACCAGCTACTTGCCTACAGTATCTGACTCCAAAGTGAAACTTTTCTTCTTAACGTTCATGTTCTCTCAGCAAGATGGCAGAACAAACAACGTTGGACAGCCTGCTGGAAATGGGTTTTGACAGAAACAGAGCGTAAGTACCTAACTGAGTTAATGTGGGAATTTTTCTACACACTAAATATCATGATAAGATTATGTGATCAACTCTGATCCTGTCTGTCTATCTTCTGCTTTCAGGGAAAAGGCTGTGGCACACACAGGAAACCAGGGCATAGAGCGGGCCATGGACTGGTAAGTCAACTAGTAGAGGCTTTGGTGAGCTTGCCTCAGAGGCTTCTTCATCCACAGATAAATGTGACGGATGGTCAGTTAAGTTATTCACATTGAATAACTGATTCATCATGTTTTTCTTCCGTTATGGCTTCCTTCCACAGGTTGATGGAACATGAGGGTGACCCAGACATTGACGAGCCCTATGTACCTCCTGTGGGGAACGTGCTTGGAGGAACTGGAGGAAGTGACCCACAACAGCCCAGTCCAGCAGCCCAACCCACAGCAGAAGGAACAGACCCTGGTAAGTGGTCAATGGTCATGGCAGCATATTGTATTGTTATGATCTCATTATAACTATTGCTTCAGCTTCCCATTACTGGTTAACATGGTTGTTGGTTTACATTGTCTTCTTGTCCCTCGCCTCATTTATGTCAACTCTACCTTTTAGCTACAGATGGTGGTGACCAGATGATCCATGACGGGGATACCAAACGACCAATGACAGAGGAGGATAAACGTGAGCAGATAAAGAGGTCAGATAATTCACCTCCACTGAGGTTCTGTTTACACACTTATCTTGTTCTGTTTACACACTTATCTTATTCTGTCAGTGGGGAAACGTCCTGTCAGGTTTGGTCAATAGATGTTACTCAAAGAGATTTTCAAGTGTCAGCAAAAGCTTTCAGTAGAAAATACAATGAGACAGCATACAATGCAACCTGTGTCTGTGTTTGTGTCTGTTTCTTTGTGTGTGTGTGTGTGTGTCTGTCTACTTTCTGTGGGTACCAGGCTAGAGGAGCTGATGCGGGTGAAGCAGGAGGAGCGGAGAGAGAGGGAGCGAGCAGAGGAGGTAGACAGAGAGAAGCAGAGGAGGAGGCAGGGCCAGGAGCTGCTGCAGGTCAAACAGAAACTGCAGGAGGATGAAATGAAGAAAATGGTCGACCTGCGCCGGAGAGAGAAGGACGATGACAAAATGGCCAAGTAAGCCAAGAAGTCAATGGGCTTGTTTGACATTACAGGCGACTGCCGATTTTGAACTGATCTACAGAATACCTTGCATATAAGTATTATTATTTGTAGATCAGCAAGTCATTCACAATTTACCCACAATGCATGACGGATGGATTTGATGCTCTTGAACATGGCCAATGGCTGTTGTCTCAAAGCAAATTAGAGGAGAGGATCCTTGAACAACCTCCTCCAATGAGCTTTGAGAGGAATTGAGGAAACAAGAATAGCTAGGAATGTTTTCAGACACAGCCAATAGTTACTTCTTCTAAACGTCTTAGTGCAAATAGGGTCTATTCCCACTCCACAACTCTTCTGTTTGTCCAATGAATGCCCTCTCTCTTTCTCAGGCAGCGGGTGCGAGACAAGATAGCACGCGACAGAGAGGAGAGAGCACTTAAGGTAGACTGCACCTACAGCATCTGACTCCTATGCTGAACTGTTGCTAAATAATGTCTTCATATCTTTCATAGAAAGAGTTGAACTCACTAACCCCTTCTACTCCTCTCTTCTCCCTCTCCTCGCCAGTTTGGAGGCGGTTCTTCCAGTACAGCTCTAACCTCCCCTTCAGCAGAGGGCCCTCCCTCCTCTCCGCCCAGTCAGGGCCCGCCTCCCGCCAAGAAGGACTATAACGAGTGCAGAATCCAGGTAAGGGGCCATGGATGTCTTCGGCCTAGTTCACATTCTGTTCATATTCACAACTGATGTACAACGGATTTTGGCACAACATATATTTTTGATGAGTTTGTCTCAACAATCAATGCAGTTTATTCATTTATCCTCCTGTTCTCAGGTGCGTATGCTGGACGGCTCGGCGCTGACCTCCGTGTTCAAGGCCCAGGAGCCGCTGGCTGCCGTGCGTGTCTACATCCAGATGAATGGCAATGCCCCCGAGGGCCAGGACTTCACGCTGCTGTCCCCGTACCCCCGCCGCGTCTACACAGAACTGGACATGGAGAAACCCCTACAGGAGCTGGGTGAGCAGACAGCCCTCTTACTGGGCGAATCTCCATAGTCTCTCCTTCATCTGAAAGGACCTTGAGAGGTCAAAACCAGCCAAAGACATACTGTTTTCATCTATCCTGTGTTGTCAGATCAGTGCAGTTATAGAGGAATCTAATCTGAGATTGAGGTGTGTTATAGTTTGTGTAGTACTGTTTTAACTGTTTTTTGTTATTGTTCAGGTTTGGTGCCTTCAGCTGTGCTGGTCGTTGCCAAGAAATAAGGGCCTGAAGTAAAACGATGCTTTATGAGCCAACATATAATTTATCACAACAGGACAGAGACCAGGATGTCAACTACGGATTGATTCTCCTTCAACAAACACTTTGAGCTTAAATCTTAAATAGCAACACAAAATGGATGACTTTATTGATTCTCATGGGGCCTAAAGTGTAAGACCTGCCTCGTGTTGAGACACTGCAACTTTCCACTGCATTGAAGTTGTAGTTTTTATAAGTTAAACAATTTGACAGTGGTGTTATTGCATAATCACTAAAATGTGCTTGAATAAAACAGACTTGGAGAGTTACATGGTGGACTGAACATACTTTAAAACTATCCATAAAGAATGTACTTGGACTCTACTTTCACCACAGGAATAATTGGTTAGTTTTATGAAAAAGCTGCACAACTTGATGACCTAAGTCAGCTTTGTATCTCACTGACTGGTGAGAGTTGATCATATGTGCATGACAGTTAAGAAAGATACACTCTTAAGAAATCACGTGTCATATCAAGAGTCCCAGAAATTCACATTAAGCACATTGTGCTTCACTGAAATGTTTTATTGAGCAATGTAAAAGTGAAGATTAAAAAGTTACATTGTCAGACATTTGCAGTGTATTTGTGCATGCCTTTTTTGGGTACAATGGATTGGATGCACTTTAAAACACAACGGAAATGGAATGTCATTTGAAAAACTGAGTGATAAAAAAGGCTAAATTTGTGTGGTGGATTTCACCAAACATTTAACAGTTTTCTACTCTAAGGTTTGACCAAACATTAACCAAAACATGACTGATGCTGTTGGTTTCAGACATGTACAGCACATCGTACATTCAGTTATAATTCCTTGCTTAACCTCTGAGTCCAGACGCACCGGAACACCTGCATTCAACAACATGGCTTCCCGATCTTCTGTCTGGAGGACTGGGACTACACTGGAGGACGCGACTGGGCAGAAACTTGAATGGTGATCCACGAGCATTGAATGAGGGACACAATAGATTGATCTTAACCTGCTCGTATACGAAAACAGCTCTTACTTCACAGCTATAAAACACCATTATGTACATTAGAAAAAATGACTAGCCTATATACTTCTGGAATGACAATGATACAGGAGGTGTGGAGAGAGACAGTTTTGCTTAAAGTGAAAGGGGCTGCATGTAGAATAGAATACAAAAATAGTTTATCATTAAAACAATGTACAAGAGCACATTTTCAAAGACCAAACAAGTATTAGAGGTCACAGGTCACACCCCTCCCTGTTCCTGATAAAAGATATGAGTTGCATCGCTAATGGCACCCTATTCCCTACAAAGTGCACTACTTTTGACTGGAACCCTATGGGGAATAAGGTTCCATTTGGGACGCAGCCATGGAGTTTAAACTGAGGTGGTGGTGAACACTGGGTCTTCAATGCTGAATCATCTCTGGCAACCCCTGCTGTCTGTTGGCGTGTCATGGCGTTTCTCTTCCCCTTTAGCTGGGAGGGTAGTAACCCTGATTGTAGTTCCAGGGTTGCTGGTAGCCGCCTCCGTATCCCCCATACTGTGGTTGCTGAAAGAGAAGAACACCTTAAAAAAAAGGGCAAGTGAAGGAACACCCTATCTCTGATCAACATTTTAGTGCAGGGGTATTCAAATCTTACCCTACGAGGTTCGGACTACTGCTGGTTTTCTGTTCTACCTGATAATTGCACCCACCTGGTGTCCCAGGTCTAAATCAGTCCCTGATTAGAGGGGAAGAATAAAAATAAAAAAAAGCAGTGGAACTGGCTTCGATGTTCAGATTTGAATTTGAGGGCTTTAGTGTCTCTCCTCTAATATCTGGCTAAATTTCAAAAGATGTACTGATCTTATAAGACTGTATGTAGCCTAGTTTGGTCTCATGTATCAGTTTGTACAGTGTAACAATCCCTGTCATACCTGATACCAGCTTCCGTATCCTCCGTAGCCTGCATGAGCCGCACTCATGTCCCCACCCATCATGGGTGGAGGTGGGGTCGTCATGGGAACATGGGGCATTGTGGGAGGGGCCTGTGGTGGAGCGGGAACAGCAGAGCCATCTTCTCCTTTATTCATCTTCTCTGGGTCCTCACTGTCTCTGCAGATCAATCAATACAACAACTGCGTCAATAACCAATCCATTAACAGTTTATCCCTTTGCTTCTCCAGTTTACGGTAAAGTCAAACATTTTTGTGTCACCACATCACACAATTTGAATCGGTCATAAACCCTTGCATGATATTGAAAGATATGCTATAATCTCACCCGTTCTCAGCCACTCTCTTCTTGTTGCCAAGCTCTTTCAGCAGCTTCTGATGCTCATCATAGACTGTTAGCACACTGCAGGCCATAGGACAGAAACAGTACAGTCATTTAAAACATGGTAAATTGCATTTCTCCTGGTTGGTTGGTTGATTTCATACCATTAAATAAAATATGGGCAGAATAAAATGCCTTGTTTAATTTTCTTTGGGTTCCTGATTGTATCTAAAAACAACAAACAATCCTATGACCCCTTACCTTCGCACAGAGGTCCCATAGTCCTCAGCGTACTGCAGGCCCCTCTGGGAGAAAAGGATCTTGGTCCGCGGGGAGAGGGGTGCGGCCAGCGCCCGCGTCACACACTGCTGCACCCCCTCGGCCGACCCTCTGGGGTCACCAGACACCTCCAGCTCCAGCAGGTTCAGATGCAGCTTCCCGTTATCCTGGAGGACATAGGGGAAATTGACAAGGGAAAGACAAATCATTATAAATTATGCTGTGGTTTAGATCAAGGCTATTTTCCATCCCCCTGATATTCAATCCCAATTTCATCTTAAATGTGATCCTTTCCTTTTTCAGTCAATGCTTAATCCTTTTCTCCCCTCAGAGTTCTCCCCCCCCACCTCTCAGAGTTCTACCCCCCACCCCCCTCTCAGAGTTCTACCCCCCACCCCCCTCTCAGAGTTCTACCCCCCACCCCCCTCTCAGAGTTCTACCCCCCCCTCCTCTCACCGGGCTAATCTCCAGCGCCTCCTGCAGGACTCCCCTGGCCTTGCTGGGGTTTTTGCAGAGCTTCAGCAGCAGCCTGGCCAGTTTGATGGAGTAGAACGCATGGAGGTGAGGCGTCTCTTTGGCCTGGGCCACCGCGTCCCTGAGCAGAGCTTCTGATTCGTCTAGCCGGCCCGCCCGTCTCTCTAGCCCCGCCCTGCGCAGCCGGACCATGGCCAATCCCGGCACGGAGGTTTCCAGAGCCTCCAACACATGCCGCGCCTCTGTTAGGTCACCTGGGAGGAGATGGAGGGGAAGAGGGCGTGAGTGGGCTACAACACTGGGTAATGGTGTCCTGTGTTTCATTTGAGGTCAAAGTGAAGAGGTGAACACTGTGATGTGTCTTCCTCTCTCACCATGCCTCTCCTCGAAGGTGGCCCACTGCAGGTGCATGGTGTGTTTGTGGGCCAGGTGGATCTCACAGGCTCGCCGGAACACTCCCCGCGCCTCGTCCAGACTCTGAGGTTCCAGGTACTGAACATACTGAGAAACATACATACAGTACACATTAGTTACACTGACATACAAACACGTTACTGACCCACACACCCCTGCAGCCCATCTTTACCTTGGTCCAGAACTCCTCGTAGAGAGCGCAGGCAATCAGACAGCGCTCAAACAGGATCCGTACCCTCTGGTCACCCCCGGCAACGATCCCACTGCTCTTTGACTCCTCCTTCTCCTCCTCTTCCTGGCCCTCCATGGCCTCTGGCTCTGTCTCGGTCTTCACCTCCTTTTCATCCCCCCCTCCCAGCTGGGTGAGCTCCCAATCCAGGTAGGAGTGCCAGGCCCTCAGCTGGGTCCGGTCCAAAGGCTTCACGTGGAAATACGGACGCTTGATCTGGAATGAAGGGAGGAATTGGAACAGAAGGGAAGTTAAGTCAATGTTTCCAACCAATGAAAGTACAGTACACCGATCGACAAACCTTTTCTGTATGGACCTCGCTTTGTGCAAGGGGGCATTGTCATGCTGAAACAGGAAAGGGCCTTCCCCAAACTGTTGCCACAAAGTTGGAAGCACAGAATCGTCTAGAATGTAATTGTATGCTGTAGCATTAAGATTTTCCTTCACTGGAACTAAGGGGCCTAGCCCGAACCATGAAAAACAGCCCCATACCATTATTCCTCCTCTACCAAACTTTACAGTTTGCATGATGCATTGGGGCAGGTAGCGTTCTACTGGCATCCACCAAACCCAGATTCTTCCGTCGGACTGCCAGATGTTGAAGCGTGATTCATCACTCCAGAGAACACGTTTCCACTGCTCCAGAGTCCAATAGCGGCGAGCTTTACATCACTCCAGCCGACGCTTGGCATTGCAACAATACTTAACCATGTATTAGATCGTAGGTAGGTAGTTAGCTGTAGTTAGGTATTGTATTTATTGTAGGTTAGTATTGTTGTTATTGTAGCTTTCCGTGGGTAATTTGTGGGTTAGTTTCGAGGCATGAGGCTAGCTAGCTAGCGGGTAGCTATTGGTAACGATTAGCAACGCTGGAGAGCTGGTTCCAACGGTAATGTACTCCTACCCAACGTTTAACTTTTGCTTAACCATGTATTAGATCGTAGGTAGGTAGCTAGCTGTAGTTAGGTATTGAATTTATTGTAGGTTAGTATTGTGGTTGTAGTAGCTTTCCATAGGTAATTGTGGACTAGTATCGAGGCACGAGGCTAGCTAGCTAGCGGGTAGCTATTGGTAACGATTAGCAACGCTGGAGAGCTGGTTCCAACGTTTAATTATTATTATTATTATTATTATTATTTTATTTTTTTTGCTGCGTTGTGAAGGGAACTCGACACGGACTTGAATTGTCTGTTTGGTGTGCTGACACACTCTTGGCAGTTTGTTGTGGCCAGGTGTTGATGCTAAGTTGTGTGTTAATGGATGCTAGCTTGCAGGTTGGCTACGGCGTCATAGCTAGGCTTCGTGGGTTGTTGTGGGTAGTTACTGTGTCTTGGCAGTGTCCTCGGCCGTGCCAGCTGTAGCACGAAGCTAGCTAGCTAGCCGTTCTTCAAACAGAGTCGACACAGTGGCCATTGCTAGCTACCCAACATGACCATTTGGCTGTACTGTAGTAGCTAACCACAATTAACTTGTCCTAGCTAGCCAACGTCTAATCATTGCTGCGTCATATAAGGAACTTGACACAGACACGAATGATCTGTTTAGTGTGATATCACAATATTGGTGGTTTGTTGTGACCAAGTGTTGGCGCTAAACGGTGTGTTATTGTTATTGGATGCTAGTCTGCTAGTTGGCTATGGAGTCATAGTTGGCTAGCTGAACAAAGTGGGTTGAGTCTACTCCTTTAAACATTGAACCGCTGTGGTTCACAACAATTCTGATTTCCAAAGGCGGAAGTTGGGAGAGTTTTTGTTCGGGTGGTTCAGTGAAACAATTTTAGTTTCCGAGCTAGAAGATTTGGTGAGGGAGGCCCTGCTCTCTCCACTCCCAGATGCTTAGCCCATTTCATTCCGATCTCCTCTGCATTTTTGTAGCCATTTGCTACAGCCTGTCAACTATGCCTCTGCCTATCCCTGTTCTCTCCTCTCTGCACAGGCTACACAAACGCACCACACCGCGTGGCTGCTGCCTCTCCAATTTGGTGGTCCCTGCACGCACCACCCACGTGGAGTTCCAGGTCGCAGGCAGCCTCTGGAACTGCCGTTCTGCTGCCAACAAAGCTGACTTCATCCCAGCCTATGCCAACCTCCAGTCCCTCGACTTCCTGGCGCTGACGGAAACATGGATCACCACTGAAAACACCGCTACTCCTACTGCTCTCTCCTCGTCTGACCATGTGTTCTCGCATACCCCGAGAGCATCTGGTCAGAGGGGTGGTGGTACAGGAATCCTCATCTCTCCCAAGTGGACATTCTCAATTTTTCCCCTAACCCATCTGTCTATCTCCTCATTTGAATTCCATGCTGTCACAGTCACTAGCCCATTTAAGCTTAATATCCTTGTCATCTATCGCCCTCCAGGTTCCCTTGGAGAGTTCATCAATGAGCTTGACGCCTTGATAAGTTCCTTCCCTGAGGATGGCTCACCCCTCACAGTTTTGGGGGATTTCAACCTCCCTATGTCCACATTTGACTCATTTCTCTCTGCCTCCTTCTTTCCACTCCTCTCCTCTTTTGACCTCACCCTCTCACCGTCCCCCCCTACTCACAAGGCAGGCAATACGCTTGACCTCATCTTCACTAGATGCTGCTCCTCTACTAATCTCACTGCAACTCCCCTCCAAGTCTCCGACCACTACTTTGTTTCCTTTTCTCTCTCACTCTCCTCCCACACTACTCACTCTGCCCCTACACAGATGGTAATGCGCCGCCGCAACCTTCGCTCTCTCTCTCCCACTACTCTCTCCTCTTCCATCCTATCATCTCTTCCCTCTGCTCAATCCTTCTCCCTCCAATCTCCTGATTCTGCCTCCTCAACCCTCCTCTCCTCCCTTTCTGCATCCTTTGACTCTCTGTGTCCCCTATCCTCACGGCCGGCTCGGTCCTCCCCTCCAGCTCCGTGGCTTGATGACTCATTGCGAGCTCACAGAACAGAGCTCCGGGCAGCGGAGCGGAAATGGAAGAAAACTAAATTCCCTGCCGACCTGGCATCTTTTCACTCCCTCCTCTCTACATTTTCTTCATCTGTTTCTGCTGCTAAGGCCACCTTCTACCACTCTAAATTCCAAGCATCTGCCTCTAACCCTAGGAAGCTCTTTGCCACATTTTCCTCCCTCCTGAATCCTCCCCCCCCCCCCTCCCCCCCTCCTCTCTCTCTGTGGATGACTTCGTCAACCACTTTGAAAAGAAGGTTGACGACATCCGATCCTTGTTTGTTAAGCCTAATGACACTGCTGGTCCTGCTCACACTGCCCTACCCTATGCTTTGACTTCTTTCTCCCCTCTCTCTCCAGATAAGATCCTGCGACTTGTGACTGCAGGCCGCCCAACAACCTGCCCGCTTGACCCCATCCCCTCCTCCCTTCTCCAGACCATCTCCGGTGACCTTCTCCCCTACCTCACCTCGCTGATCAACTCATCCTTGACCGCTGGCCATGTCCCTTCCGTCTTCAAGAGAGCGAGAGTTACTCCCCTTCTCAAAAAACCAACACTCGACCCCACTGATGTCAACAACTACAGACCAGTATCCCTTCTTTCTTTTCTTTCCAAAACTATTGAGCGTGCCGTCTTTAGCCAACTCTCTTGCTATCTCTCTCAGAATGACCTTCTTGATCCAAACCAATCAGGTTTCAGGACTGGTCATTCAACTGAGACTGCTCTTCTCTGTGTCACAGAGACTCTCCGCACTGCTAAAGCTAACTCTCTCTCCTCTGCTCTTGTCCTTCTAGATCTGTCTGCTGCCTTTGATACTGTGAACCATCAGATCCTCCTCTCCACCCTCTCCGAAATGGGCATCTCCGGCGCGGCTCACTCCTGGATTGCGTCCTACCTGACCGGTCGCTCCTACCAAGTGGCGTGGCGGGAAGCTGTCTCCGCACCACGTGCTCTCACCACTGGTGTCCCCCAGGGATCGGTTTTGGGCCCTCTCCTTTTCTCCCTATACACCAAGTCACTTGGCTCTGTCATATCCTCACATGGCCTTTCCTATCATTGCTACGCTGACGATACACAACTAATCTTCTCCTTTCCCCCTTCTGATCACCAGGTGGCGAATCGCATCTCTGCATGTCTGGCAGACATATCAGTATGGATGACGGATCACCACCTCAAGCTGAACCCTAGCAAGACGGAGCTGCTCTTCCTCCCCGGGAAGGACTGCCCGTTCCATGATCTCGCCATCACGGTAGACAACTCCGCTGTGTCCTCCACCCAGAGTGCGAAGAGCCTAGGCGTGACCCTGGACAACACCCTGTCGTTCTCCGCCAACATCAAGGCGGTGACCCGCTCCTGCAGGTTCATGCTCTACAACATTCGGAGAGTGCGACCCTGCCTTACACAGGAAGCGGCGCAGGTCCTGGTCCAGGCACTTGTCATCTCCCGTCTGGACTACTGCAACTCGCTGTTGGCTGGGCTCCCTGCCTGTGCCATTAAACCCCTACAACTCATCCAGAATGCCGCAGCCCGTCTGGTGTTCAACCTTCCCAAGTTCTCTCACGTCACCCCCCTCCTCCGCACACTCCACTGGCTTCCAATTGAAGCTCGCATCCGCTACAAGACCATGGTGCTTGCCTTTGGAGCAGTGAGGGGAACGGCACCCCTGTACCTTCAGGCTCTGATCAGTCCCTACACCCAAACGAGGACATTGCGTTCATCCACCTCTGGCCTGCTGGCTCCCCTTCCTCTGCGGAAGCACAGCTCCCCCTCAGCCCAGTCAAAACTGTTCGCTGCTCTGGCACCCCAATGGTGGAACAAGCTCCCTCACGACGCCAGGACAGCGGAGTCACTCACCACCTTCCGGAGACATTTGAAACCCCACCTCTTTAAGGAATACCTGGGATAGGCTAAAGTATTCCTTCTAACCCCCCCCCCCAAATTGTAAAGTGGTTATCCCACTGGCTATAGGGTGAACGCACCAATTTGTGAGTCGCTCTGGCTAAGAGTGTCTGCTAAATGACGTTAATGTGCCCTTGAGCAAGGCACTTAACCCTAATTGCTCCTGTAAGTCGCTCTGGTTAAGAGCGTCTGCTAAATGACTAAAATGTAAAATGTAAAAATGTATGGTGATCTTATTCTTGTGTGCGGCTGCTCAGCCATGGAAACCCATTTCATGAAGCTCCCGACGAACAGTTCTTCTGCTGACGTTGCTTCCAGAGGCAGCTTGGAACTCGGTAGTGAGTGTTGCAACCAAGGACAGACAATTTTTACGCGCTACAGCACTCGGTGGTCCCGTTCTGTGAGCTTGTGTGGTCTACCACTTAGCGGCTGAGCCGTTATTGCTCCTAGACGTTTCCACTTCACAATAACAGCACTTACAGTTAACCGGGACAGCTCTAGCTAGGCAGAAATTTGACGAACTGACTTGTTGGAAAGGTGGCATCCTATGACGGTACCATTTGAAAGTTACTGAGCTCTTCAGTAAGGCCATTCTACTGCCAATGTTTGTCTATGGAGATTGCATGGTGGTGTGCTCGATTTTATACACCTGTCAGCAACAGGTGTGGCTGAAATAACCGAATCCACTAATTTGAAGGGGTGTCCACATACTTTTGTATATGTAGTGTATCACGCTTCAATCATTGCTTCTGAGTTGCAAGGGATGCGTGTTTATGTGTTTCAGGGGTAACTCACAGCGTCCTCAAAGTTCCACCTCTTCCTGACCTCTCCCTCCAGATCTTGGTACACCTTCTCCCTGCGAGCCAATAGGAGCTCTCGCATCTTCGGAATCAGCTCTTCCTGATTGGGTGAAACATAACATGACAGTTATGATGACAGACTTTTAAATCAGTAACAAAGTTAAGATCCTATACCATAACCTCACTCCACAGCTTGAAATGTCTCCACTATATGCTATTATGGCAGCATGTTAAATCTCATGTTAAATCTTTATCCAAAACTACTAGTGATTTGTCATTTGTAAACCACCTCTGTAGGTTCCTTCTCTTCCCCAGGTGGTAACTCATCTTCCCCCTCAGCCAACTCAGACTTCTCAGTCTTGTGGCTCTGTTTAGATTCCTCAAGCAACCCCTCATACTCCTCTGCTGAGAGGACGTCCTTGGGCGCATGGGCATTAAGATGAGTCTTGAATCTGTAAGAGAGAGGAGGGATGGAGAGAGTGGAGAAGATTCACCGGTTCAGCAAATATGAGGTCCCGATTGAGAAGTGATTTTGATAATCATACAATTACCAAAATCTAGAATTGAATAAAAGGTTACGGTTTTATAGTTGAATAATTATTTTTTTCTCCCCAATTTTCAATCGTCTCATCGCTGCAACTCCCCAACGGGCTCGGGAGGCAAAGGTCGAGTCATGTGTCCTTCGAAACATGACCCGCCCGCTTAACCCAGAAGCCAGCCGCACCGATGTGTCGGAGGAAACACTGTTCTCCTGACGACGAGGTCAGCCTTCAGGCGCCCGGCCCGCCACAAGGAGTCGCTAGAGCGCGATGAGCCATGTAAAGCCCCCCCGGCCAAACCCTCCCCTAACCCGGACGACACTGGGCAAATTGTGCGCCGCCCTATGGGACTCCCGATCACGGCCGGTTGTGATACAGCCCGGGAACAAACCAGGGTCTGTAGTGATGCAGTGCCTTAGACCGCTGCGCCATTAGGGAGGCCCTATAGTTCAGAGTTTTGACTGATTTGAAGCTCTACTGTTTGTGAATGTGTATAATAATAATAATAATAATAATAATAATAATAATATGCCATTTAGCAGACGCTTTTATCCAAAGCGACTTACAGTCATGTAGGCATACATTTTTTGTGTATGGGTGGTCCCGGGGATCGAACCCACTACCTTGGCGTTACAAGCGCCGTGCTCTACCAGCTGAGCTACAGAGGACCACTTCTATAGTCTCACTTCTCATAGTGGCTGCTGTACAGCTGAGTGGGGACTCTGAGGACTCTGTCGTAGACCCCAGTGGCAGCCTTCATGTCTCCCTGCTCCTTCTCCCACTCGATGTACAGCTCCCACAGACGGTCAGAGTGGAAGTCCAGTCCAGCTGCCACCACCGCCTCCTCAAACGCACTGGGGAGAAGAGACAAGAGACAAGGATCAGGCTGATTTCTGATTTATATCAAAAGAGTTAGGGCTCCTTATCTTTATTTGAACATTAAGTCTGCGGATGAGAATAAGTACTGAATTAAAAAATGTGGAGTGTTCCGGCTAATATTGAAAGAAAAAAGCTGGCTAGCGTTGAATGTGTATAAGTGTGATACTGTGAGTTTAAGAGTATAGGAGTATGTACCTGCGAATGCGCTGAGAAGACTCTGGCAGGTTCATGTTGAGCGTGCCCAGTAGCAGGTTAATGTAGTGGATCCACAGATCTACACTCAGGGGGATGGCCTTCAGACCCTGAACACACACCTGGAACAACACAAAACAACATCACACATGAATGTTATGGAACTAAAGCCATTACATACTGCAAGAGAGAAGAAGAATGTGCCTTTTTTGTCAATGGCTATGAAACATGGCAGTCAGTAGGCCACATAACAAGACACACATCCATGTGCCAAACACACTCCTCCTCCTCATCATCCTCATACCTCCTGAGCTTTGTTGGTGTAGCCAGCACGTCGCTCCAGGTCGGCAAACTTCTTCCAGTATCCGTAGCACAGTGGGTACCGTGCCAGAAAGGCAACCAGCGCTCGACGTGATGCTGTCATGTGACTCTGGGGACAATTAGAAATCTGGGTTAGCTGCAAATTCACTAAGTAACAAGTGAGTTTAGTTGTCAGTTTAGTTTCCATCATTATTTGTGTGAAGTGTTGGTTTCCACTTCAACACATCTGAACAACAGTGGTATAGTTATCTATGTATTATTCATGCAGAAGAGCTTTGGATGTATGACAAAATGGCAATAAGAGTCTTGTGTGTCCCCTCAGCTCTTCTCACCTCTTGCTCACAGTACTGCAGCAGGTCAGTCCAGCTAGAGAAGTCCTGTGGATTGTCATGGGCCAGCTTCCAGAGTCGGTCAAAGTCCGCCGGAAACTCTCCGTCCTCTTCCTCCTCATTCTCCGCCAGAGGCATGTTGTATGCTGTCGCAGCTGCTGCTTCTGGAGCCTCAGAGGCCACTCCTCCACCATTCTCCTCTGATGCCTCTTCCATCTCCATTGGAGGTTGGATAGCCTCCATGGCTTCCGGAGCTATCAAATTAGAAATTGAGAAAGTTACACATGGAAGAAAATTGTTTTGTCTATAACACAAAGAAATGGCTGGCCTGCTCAATAAAGAATAGGCCTAATCAGATGTAATTTACAGATGAAATGTAGATTACTGCCATTATAAGGGGAATTCCAGTCACTGATGGTGTTTTTAGCCAATCATTCATTCGTATTTATAGCTACTACACACAGATCACTACACTCCTAATAATGGCCGGAACGGAGCAGCAGGGGGCATGATGCGACTACTGTCTGCATCTACAGTAGTTAGAGCAGATTACTATACTATAATAAAAGACCCGGTCTGGGAAGTACTAGCTAGTGCAGGGATGGGCACCTGCCGACCCACGGGCCACATGCCCCCCTTTTGTAGGCCCGCGGATCAATTTCCATAGACAAAACGTTCTTGGTTTTTTTGGAAGTCAGTCGGGGTCTCAACTTACTGTTGAGAGTTAGAATAGTAGAATACACAAGGTGCAATTTCAAAATGTGGTTGTGCATCAGCAGTGTTTCTCTTGTTATGTCAGTCACTGGCAGTCACTCAATTAGCCCATTTCAGCTAACATTTTTTAGATTGGTAAATTAGTCTAGTGGCCAGCTATCTAAATGTGCCTGTCTAATCTAGCCCGAAGACCCAACGTTGAATTGCATAGAATTCTATGTCGGGCAGAAATGTGCGTTTGAATCAGAAAAGTTCTCTCACGACCTCAAGCCAGAATGCTGAATAAAATGATACGGCCGAGCCTAACCGAACAGCAAACACTTCAAGCTGGTAGCGAGGAAACATGCTTCGGTCGACTACATTCGGCTTTTGCTTACATATTGTACATCACGTGCAATGCGTCAACAGATTGAAAATACAAGTGACAGAACCTACCGGCACCGCAAAAAGTTGGGTAAACAAAGCTTTCCTGTGGATACCCTATCTCCACCTCCTACCGCCAAAAGAACCGGTAAAGTAAGTGTAAATATCATTTTATTAAACATTCTGTCTTGTAGAGACTATTGCGTATTTTTTTACAGCGACTTCTTTCAGACTGATATTCATGGGGTAACCATGGTAACAGGCTGATGTTTAGGCAAGTAGTTATCATGGTCAAATTACCGACCCGGGGCCCCCATTGAATGTGTTAGTCACTCGCAGTCAGATATCATATTAAAAACTGCAAACATTTCTCTCCACCCCATGGCAAAATGAGTAGAAATGCATGAAATGAGTTATAAAATTGCAACATTTTCTCACTACCTCATGGCAACTTGTAGATTTGAAGCAAAGTTGCTTTAAAACTGCAACATTTTCTATACGCCCCATGGCAAAATTTATAGAATTTAGGGCTGACCCCAATTAGTCGACAGGCTGTTGGTCGTCAAAAATTGTGAAGCGCAAGAAGTATGAATGCCCTGACTTCTGCAGAGGCCGTATCACCGTAAATGCTGCATGGCCAATGCAGACGTCGGATTCACCATGCACCCAGATGCACAATGCACTTCTCTCTCCAGAATGCGCTCTCTCCCGCCAATTTGTGCACATTCATTGTTTCGTAACTTCATTGTGTGAATTGTTTGGGTTTGATTGTTAGTGTATATCAATTCCCCATCACATATATCACCAGTAGTACATTTACCATTAATTCCTAATCTACAATGTTTGTTATGGTAATTTCTGTTAATGATTTCAATATTATTATTCCAGTCTTACCGTTCTCATTGTCGGAGTGGACACATTGTTTGCAGAGCGCACAAACCCATGCTACACTTGTGAACAACACAATTTAGTCATTGCCTTTTGTTTGAAGCGCTCATGTCAATGTTGAGTAAGGACGCACACGCATGGAAGTAGGCCTATAGGCTACCTGGGCTGCGCGCAAATGTAGGCATATAAATGTGCCCATTTGGGGAACTGAAAAAAATAATAATATTGGCTTAACGCACCACCACTAATAACCTGTGGAGCTTCTCAAAGTCAGCAAGCAAACGAAGTCTGTTTTTACATCCATTGAGAATTACAATAGTTCCTCAATGTATTTGAAAAAATCTTTCCAACTCCCTCCCTTTCGATAACCACTCAGGGTGTAAGGGACAAATGTAATGCTCTGATCCAGTGGAAACGTCATAAAATAGGCCTACCTGATTACTTCTTATCAGTGCTTGACTTGGACTGAAATAGGTTCAGGTACTCATTTTGGGTGCTGGTACAGTTTATATTTAGGTGCAGGAGCTCCACAATACTTTTGAGCTAATATTCTATAAGAGGAATAGGAGCTCAAGCAGTAGAGAATTTGAGGTGCCGGTACTCCGCTCCGGTGAGCTCCTGCCCAAGTTGAGCACTGCTTCTTATCCCTTGCGCAAATAGCCTACAGCTGTGTCTGTCCCGAGCTCACTGGTGGGAAACTGAGGGCTCAGAATATTTTATACAACGTTGCAAGTTTGCTAGTGCAAGCTTCAGGCCAGACCCAAGTTAATAGTTAATACAATGTTTCAAGTTCATTGCAGACAGGCCATGCGTAGCCAATGCGATTTATAGGATATTTATTTTTATCAGGATATTTTCTACATGCAGGACATGTTTTTATTTGTTGGCTTTATATAACCTATTTTTACATAGTTGGAAATTGCAATAGAAGTTCCTTTTTAGGTTTGTATCATTTTCATTTAGATAGAATTTGTATCAACCACATTACAATGATTTTGAAATGAAGACGTTATTATAAATGAAATGTAACTGTTCAATGAAAATGTGCATATGAAAACCATAACTGGCACGCAGATCGGTAGAAATTGTAAGATAAATTGGCATTCCACATGAGAAAGGTTGCCAACCCCTCGTGTAGCCTATTACCGGCAACTTCAGGAGAGTAATGGCAGAATCTGCGAACGGCCGCAGGAGCGGAAGGAGAATAGTTGGGTCAGGTTAAGGTTCTTTTCTTCTGGTTATCTAGATCTCTGGCTCCCTCGAGGCATTTGTGTCTTAATTCATCAAACACTAAGCTCAACGCATATAGCTGATTTTATTAAAACACATAGGGTGTGTCTATATATGGAAAAACGTTTTAAAATGTTGACCAATCAACTGATCTAAAGAACATGACTTTCGGTCAACCAATATTTTTTTTAGTTGGGGACAGCCCCAGTAGAATTGCAGGAAATTAACTCTAAAACGTCCATTTTTTTTCTCTATCTGCTGTCAAGAGGGAAGCAGCTAAAATATTTTGCTACCAAGGTGGGGGAAACAAAATGTAGCTTAGTGCCCCCAAAAGGCTAGGGCCGGCTCTGACTACATGTGTAGGTATGGATGTGCGTATGCAGACCCGCGAGCCACTGTGGCCACCCATCAAAGTTGTCCATCCCTGAGCTAGTGCATTAACTCTGGTACTAGCTAGGGGAAGGCAACTTTCGGTTTCGCCAATTTGCGCAACGTAAACTCATGTTAGCCATGTCGGCTAGTTAGCTAGCCATCTTTTCACAGGCGTCGTTGCGACTGTTAGCGGACTGTGAAGATACAAACGACAATGCATATGATCCCTGCGTAACCAATGAATAACTTCGTCAATATATTTTGATTATTTCATGTTTTTACAACCTGAAGGAGCCTCCATTAGCCCGTTGTTGTTCAGGTCTTCTGAATCCGAGCCTTCTGCCGCCATGATAAAAATGACGTCACTTCCATGCGACAAGTATAGTCTGCAGGATGATAGAAGATTTCCGCTGAGCGCTGATTCACGGTCTGTTCTGATTGATTGATATATATATATATATATATATATCAATCTCAATCACAGACAGTATTCTTAGGGAAAAGGATCTTTGATCAGTGACTTTTCTTTAAAATGTCTGCCATTATTGTAGACCAAATTCGTAATCTGTATACACAAATTGCATAGAAAAGCTTTAGATGTACATATCTTTGGTAAGAACAAAACAAAGACATTAGATTGGGAATATACAGTTACTTTATTACCACCCCTATCTAATCTACGTAAGCCGCATTAATTCATAATTAAAAACAATGCCCTCTCACATTTGGTCAGGTTTATTTTCACTTGGTCTCATCTTATCACATATTACTGGCCTCCTTGGTTCCAAGTTCCAACACTCTTCCTGAGAATGCTGCAGTAAGATTTGAATCCTCAACCACAAAAGAATCAAGAAAAACTCTTCAAAATACTTGATTACCAACAACAGTAGGGAATACAACAACCCCATAACAATGCTTTGACCAACTAGGACCGGTCGCTTGTCTCCAGAGAGCTCACTGCATCTTTGTAAACAACATATATATTTCCTAAATAACATTTAAATTTTGACATAATTAAAATCAACACTATAAAGAGCATGACACTGAATACACTGGACCGTGACCCTGTACCACAACCCACAATCTAATCCCAATGCCTGGCCCTAACTGCTTTGAGTTCATTCTGGACCTCTCTTCAAGTGCATTTGATAATCAAGTAAACAAATTGAACATAGACAAGTCAGAAACAAAAATAAACGTGTCAAAACAAACATGTTATTAGGATGAGTGTCCAAAGTCAGTGGTTTTGGAATAATTCCCAAATATGAGTTTACTTAAAAAGCCAAATCCCCTTCCATTCAGTAGTTCAGACCGTACTTTATGTATTTGACCTCCAGCACATTAAACACAACATCGTAATGATGAGCTAAGCACGCACAATCTTGTCAGAAACTAATTTGGGGGCAAAATAAGAAGGAATGAGTAACCTTAAATTAGGAATCAGAGATAAGACTCAATACACTATGGCAATAAGAGAAATGCACATGACATTTACAGATCCTCTTGGATCAGTGCAGCATTCTTGGTTGGTGGGGAGTTTCTAAATCCCCCCCCCCCCCCCCCCCCCCCCTCCCTAATAAAACCTGAATAGAATGTGGCACATAAGCTGAAAGCAAAGGGAGCGGTTTGGCGTTCCTGTTGATTTCTCTTCAGTAATTACAGGGGGAATATATAATGGAATGAAAACATGAAAAATATTAAGAATTTAAAGTCATAAGAGATGGCCAGATATGGAATTAGAAACTAGACTGTGTGAATGAGTGTCTTCCTTTTGTTGTCAGCAAACTTATTCAAATGATATTTTACATCTAAAGTATACTTGATGGAAAACCTAAAATAATCATCCATCGGACTTGAATGTCTTTGAGTACTCTCAAACATTCACTACAATGATACCATGATTTGAATTGTGAAGAATGTTTTACGTAAATGCAGCTAACAAAGAATAATCTACCTGGTAACCCTTCAGTAAGTTGACCAACCGTCAGTTTAACAGAATGCAAGGTGGAGATGGAAGAGACACAGTTCAGATCTACAGAACAAAGCCCTGTCCACGTGTGTTTATGTGCCCAAGCTTGTTATGAAAGTGTGTGTGTGTGGATAGTCCTGTATCACCTGTCCAGTCTGTGTACCATATTAGAGCAGTCCTTCCAATATCTTGCTTGGTGCGTTACGATTGCAGCCCGTGTCCACTCAGTTCCTCCATCGCTCTCCTCCTTTCCTGTTCAGTCCGGTTCAGTCGTCCCCCCCTCCATTTTTAATCTCCATGGTTACTGAAGCAACACAGTCCAGTCCACCCCTGCGTTGACGCCCGGCTTGCGAAGGGTTAACACCGACATGGAGGCATCAAACTCCAACTCCAGCAGACTTTCCTTGCCATCTACAGAGAAAAAGATATCAGAAAATCAGAATAGAGCAATAACAGTCATTCGAGTCTGACCTGCCATTATACACACAGTGACACAGAACATATACTGAACAAAAATATAAACACAACAAGTGTTGGTCCCATGTTTCATGAGCTGAAATAAAAGATCCCAGAACTTTTCCATACGCACAAAAAGCTAATTTCTCTAAAATTTCAGTGCACAAATTTGTTTACATCCATGTTAGTGAGCATTTTCTCCTTGCCAAGATAATCCATCCACCTGACAGGTGTGACATATCAAGAAGCTGATTAAACAGCATGCTCATTACACAGGTGCACCTTGTGCCGGGGACAATAAAAGGCTACTCTAAAATGTGCAGTTTTGTCACACAACACAATGCCACAGATGTCTCAAGTTTTGAGGGAGAGTGCAATTGGCATGCTGACTGCAGGAATGTCTACCAGAGAATTGAATGTTCATTTCTCTACCATAAGCCGCCTTCGTCATTTTAGAGAATTTGGCAGTATGTCCAACCGGCCTCAAAACCGCAGACCACGTGTAACCACGCCCAGCAAAGGACCTCCACATCCGGCTCCTTCACCTGCAGGATCGTCTGAGACCAGCCACCTGGACAGCTGATGAAACTGAGGAGTATTTCTGTCTGTAATAAAGCCCTTTTGTGGGGGGAAAACGTATTCTGATTGGCTGGGCCTGGCTCCCCAGTGGGTGGGCCTATGCCCAGTCATGTGAAATCCATAGATTAGGGCTTAATTTATTTATTTTAATTGACTGATTTCCTTATATGAACTGTAACTCAGTAAAAATTGTGAAATTGCTGCATGTTGTGTTTATATTTTTGTTCAGTATAATTTATTGCCCAACTATTTCCGTCTCATAACTGCCTACTTGGGTATGAAAACCGGAAACATTCAAAACACACAATGACTTACTGGCAACTTAACTTGGCACACTAATCCATAGTATGAATAAGACAGTGTAAAAACTCACCAGGAGTCTTCAGAGTGGCCTTGTTGGGCTTACTGGCCCCCAATATGACAATCTTCTCAATCCAGGAGGGAGTGGTGAACTGGGAGCCAGGGGCCAGGTTTCTGCAGGGGGAGAGAGGGAATTCTCAGTTACACTCAACATAGACAAAAAGCAAGGAGTGTAATAATGAATAAACATAATTTGAGAGAGAAAAATTATCTGACAGACCTGGAGGACAGGGCGTTATTGGCAAAGGAAAGTCTTCTGTGGATGAACTGTTTCTGTTTGTCAAAGTTGAAGGTGTGGCCGTCGTCTATGTAGAGCTCGCCCTGGGCAAATCTCTGTAACGGACGTAACATATTAAAAAAGGTCAAATCCCAAATCCCACTTCTCCTGCTGCAGAAATCCACCTAAATGGGGAAAACTGAGTGTATAAGTGACAATGTGTGCGTTTGTGTTACCTTTGGGCTGAGAGCAACGAATAAGGTGTAGGGGTCATGTTCCATGCAGGATGATGACCTTCGAACCCTGGCCTTCCTGGGAATAATGGAACCACCGCGCTGGAATACTGGAATCTGGGAAAGAGAGAGTGTCTTTCCAAGCTTACACAATTCTCTCAACAGCACTTACAGGATGTGATGTTAACTTCATGTGACTGTTTAAATAAGCATGTAGTCCCCTGAGCGTGACAGAGCCTGACTGGTTGTTAGTGAGTGTGTTGTAGAGTTTCTTACAGAGCTCATGGTGACAGGGATGTAGAGGTTCTGGGCTCCGTTGTGTTTCTGGAACGTGTGGACGTCAAACCAGACCTGAAGGACATAGAACAGAGCAGTTAGCAGTGGGTTTCAATTAGATGGCTGACATATAACCTACATAAGACTTATAATAATGACATAACGTTATGACAGTTCCTGAGAGAGACTCACCTCTCCTTTTCCAGGCAGGTAGGGAGTAACACCCCTGGCCCCCTCCTCAGTCACGGGGTGCACCAGCAGATCTCTCCCTGAAACAGCAGGATAGGTGGAATGTGACTCAGTCATGGCATCAATCATAAAGGGTAAGCAAAGACAGGAATATCTATTGACACTGCGCTATACTAGGGAATAACAGATAAATATAACGCGCTCTCACTCACCAAGCAGGAACTGGTCATCCATGGAGAACGTGGCCGTATCCTGAGGATACTCCACCCACAGGGGTCTCATGACGGGCTGGCCAGAGTGGTGGGCGTGGTAGAACAGCTGGTACCAGTAGGGCAGGAGGGCGTAGCGCTGGCGGACAGCCTCCCTGATCAGAGCCGTGTTCTCGGGCCCAAACAGCCAGGGCTCCCTGCGGGGGGTGTCCAGATGGGCATGGGCCCGGAAGAAGGGCTGGTACGCCCCCGTCTGGTACCAGCGCACCAGGAGCTCGGTACTGGGAGACTTGAAGAAGCCACCCACATCAGCTAGGAGAGGGGGAGAGAGAGGAGGAGGATGAGGAGAGGAGTTAACAGAGGGAGAATAACCAATAACCATTTACAATGTGACGGGTGTAAAGAAACAGACAATGAACCATAATAATGTAAACAAGTCGATAACGGCATCATAAAATTGCGCAAAAGATTTTAAATGTATTAATTGCTTAGCTGTGACTTTTCGTGTAGAGGAAAATAGGGGCGTTAGCTAAGACTGAATCAGACTCACCTCCACAGAAAGACAGACTCACCTCCACAGAAAGAGACACCAACCAGTCCCAGGCTGAGACACATGGGGATGGAGATCTTCAGATGGTCCCACTCAGCAGTGTTATCACCTGTCCACACAGCACCGTAGCGCTGGGAGCCAGCGAAAAAGGCTCTGGTCAGGACAAACGGCCTCTCCACTCCCCCTGAACGCTCAATCAGACCCTCTGCTGTGGCCATTTGCTGAGGGGGAGAGGAGAGGGTGGATATTGCAAGTGCAAGCAGCAAAGCTCAGTAGAAACATTCAAACCGTCTAACAGTCATTTCTTCAAAAAAAAGTCTACCATTGCAATTGCAAGTCCCAGTTCTACAAGAGTGAAGATGAGTACAACACAGGCACACACTCACTCACCACATAGAGTCCGTAGAGGTTGTGGAGGTCACGGTTCTCCCAGTTCCCGTGCAGGGCGTCTTTATGCATGGTGACCTCTGGTCCGTTAAACACTGACGGCTCGTTCATATCGTTCCACGTATACATGTTCTCCATGGAACCCTGAGATCAGAGATATTAGAGCAACAGAATGACACATAGGGAATGAGATTTGATGGCAAAAGTCAAACGGGGGCAGAAGGGACTAGGGCTGTTGCGGTGATCATATTACCGCCACACCGGCGGTCACTAGTCATGAAGTCAGTCAAATTCCATGTGACAGTTTAGTCACGGTAATTAGGCTTCTCCAATGCTGCTGATGGTCATTAGTAGCCTACCAAACTTGCTAACTGCCTGGTACTCTATTGTCCCTCTAATCACGCTGACATCAATGGAAATGTAATCTAAAATCTAAATCAAACACTTCATTTTGCGCAACATTTCTATAGGCTATGCAATTGCGCGAGAAAACAGAGTGATGTCCTATATTAAAAAGAGGATCCATCAGCTTTCTATAGGCTAGGCCTACTATATTAATTTCTCAACTTTCCTAATATTAAGCAAATATTAAGCACATTGCTTATCTTCAGGAGTATAGCCTACCTGGCTGGCATGAAATTGAAAAACAGGAAAAGTGTCCTCCATTCGCTATTTAAGTGCAGAGATTACGTAATTTTCCCCCTGCCTGTTTCGAGACAGGTGCATGATAATGGTCCATTCTAAATCAAAACGAATTTCACGCATATTATTTAGTATATGTAAAGACAAGATTAGTCTGATGGGTGACAATATTAGCTTATCACTTGTGAATGATATATTATCACTTCTGAATGACGCCCAGCTTAAAAACGCAAGAAACAATGCCTTTTTTTGAGTGACTTTTTCGAATCAGTCGCACACCTCATTTAGCCTAGGCCATAGGCCTATATGTTTAAATAATGTTTGTATCACAACCAAAGTTGCCAAATAACTTCATTAAATGAAGCACATTAATCTGCTTTACAAGGGGTGTAGAGCCTGACTGGCATACAGTGAGGGAACAGTATTTGATCCCCTGCTGATTTTGTACGTTTACCCACTGACAAAGAAATGATCAGTCTATAATTTTAATGGTAAATTTATTTGAACAGTGAGAGACAGAATAACAACCAAAAAATCCAGAAAAACGCATGTCAGAAACGTTATCAATTGATTTGCATTTTAATGAGGGAAATAAGTATTTGACCCCCTCTCAATCAGAAAGATTTCTGGCTCCCAGGTATCTTTTATACAGGTAACGAGCTGAGATTAGGAGCACACTCTTAAAGGGAGTGCTCCTAATCTCAGCATGTTACCTGTATAAAAAGACACCTGTCCACAGAAGCAATCAATCAATCAGATTCCAAACTCTCCACCATGGCCAAGACCAAAGAGCTCTCCAAGGATGTCAGGGACAAGATCGTAGACCTACACAAGGCTGGAATGGGCTACAAGACCATCGCCAAGCAGCTTGGTGAGAAGGTGACAACAGTTGGTGCGATTATTCGCAAATGGAAGAAACACAAAATAACTGTCAATCTCCCTCGGCCTGGGGCACCATGCAAGATCTCACCTTGTGGAGTTGCAATGATCATGAGAATGGTGAGGAATCAGCCCAGAACTACACAGGAGGATCTTGTCAATGATTTCATGGCAGCTGGGACCATAGTCACCAAGAAAACAATTGGTCACACACTACGCCGTGAAGGACTGAAATCCTGCAGCGCCCGCAAGGTCCCCCTGCTCAAGAAAGCACATATACAGGGCCGTCTGAAGTTTGCCAATGAACATCTGAATGATTCAGAGGAAAACTGGGTGAAAGTGTTGTGATCAGATGAGACCAAAATAGAGCTCTTTGGCATCAACTCGCCGTGTTTGGAGAAGGAGGAATGCTGCCTATGACCCCAAGAACACCATCTCCACTGTCAAACATGGAGGTGGAAACATTATGCTTTTGGGGTGTTTTTCTGCTAAGGGGACAGGACAACTTCACCACATCAAAGGGACGATGGACGGGGCCATGTACCGTCAAACCTTGGGTGAGAACCTCCTTCCCTCAGCCAGGGCATCGAAAATGGGTCATGGATGGGTATTCCAGCATGACAATGACCCAAAACACACGGCCAAGGCAACAAAGGAGTGGCTCAAGAAGAGGCACATTAAGGTCCTGGAGTGGCCTAGCCAGTCTCCAGACCTTAATCTCATAGAAAATCTGTGGAGGGAGCTGAAAGTTTGAGTTGCCAAACGTCAGCCTCGAAACCTTAATCACTTGGAGAAGATCTGCAAAGAAGAGTGGAGCAAAATCACTCCTGAGATGTGTGCAAACCTGGTGGCCAACTACAAGAAACGTCTGACCTCTGTGATTGCCAACAAGGGTTTTGCCACCAAGTACTAAGTCATGTTTTGCAGAGGGGTCAAATACTTATTTCCCTCATTAAAATGCAAATCAAATTTATAACATTTTTGACATGCGTTTTTCTGGATTTTGTTGTTGTTATTCTGTCTCTCACTGTTCAAATAAACCTACCATTAAAATTATAGACTGAGCATGTCTGTCAGTGGGCAAACATACAAAATCAGCAGGGGATCAAATACTTTTTTCGCTCACTGTACATACTGTATGCAGATCATGAGTTTCAAGTTTGGGGAACATAATCTTCACCATAAAAATGCATTACATTAATGGTGTTTTCCAGCTAATGGAACATTCGCGCTTATAGCCTACTACCATGTGCGCATTGCTGCGCTTATAATGTGAAGAAATAGCCTAATAGTTAATCAACATTTTAAGCTAAACGTTCTGATCTGTTGTGTCAGCCACATTGCGTAAAAAAGTGTTTTTGATGCTAGTGGTTGTATTAATTTGGGATCTATCGCATCCCACAACTGTCCCAGACTATGTTTGGAATATTTTTTCTCACACAGAATAGGTCAACTTTTGTACTATGGGGGATAGTAGATTGACACAGGCTAGTGCTTTTGCTGTTCGTTAGGCCTACTCATCTTGTTGGCTGATGAAAAGTAAATGTGGACAGTTCTTCCAATATTTTCCATATGCACCTCGAAATTGGATAAGGACGAGCGCAGTTCCGTCCCTGTGAGAAAGACCCGATCACGTGATGGAGATGAGAGGTGCATCGGAGCAGGCAGCACTCAGGGAGAAGGGCTGCAAAAGGCATGGATTTCTTTAGGGTGCATTATGGCCACACAAAGGGGATGCTGCTGGTAAATTCGAGGCATTCTCAAGTGCTTCTCAAATTGTGAATGAGAGACTCATGAAGTGTGTACAGCCTGTGCAAAAAAAAAGCAGAGCTCATACCTTTCAAGCGACTTTTTTTCAAATCATTAGTCGCATCATGCAGCCTTACAATGTATTAAAAATCAAAACATATAGCCCAACGTTTGTAGAACAACTAAAGTTACATTTATCCCTCTAAATTAGGCATATAGGAACACCTATTTCTTTGTTAACCACTCAACACAGAATAGCCGCATGTGCGCACTCCCTCAAATCGTTTGAAGAAAATATCCTTTCTATTTTATTCAGCTTTGTTTAATTGTATTCTTCATACTATAAATTAATGCCACGGAATTCTAAGCAAATCTTGTCTGCTAAATGAACTAGTGTAGCCCACAGCCATTTGGCATAGCCAGATCAGGACCTAACATAAGGACAACTCAGAGTATGCTATTCTGTTCTTCTGAAATAGACTACATTTTCTTCATAGCAAGATTCTTTAGACCTGTTTAAAATAAATAAATGGATTTATTGTGAAGGTGTAGGCTATATTACATGGATTTAGACTTTTCAAAATATAGGATGTTCCAAAGGTCTGCATCAGTGGCTTGTAGGCTATGTGTGGATGCCAGGAGATGCTACATGTGTTTATGTTAATTAACTATAAATTACCATGAGACTGACAGTTATTTGCTTGACAAATCACCAGCTGACGAAATGTGACCGCCACAGCCCTAGAAGGGACTTACCTCATACTGATCGTAGGCAAACATACTGGCCCACCAAGCTCTCATCTCAGGGTTGGTAAAGTCTGGGTAACCAGAATTACCTAGAATAGAAAGAGGAGAGAGATGTTGAATAAGTGCAATGTGTTTCTCTTCGATTAGGGGTCAGACTAATTTCCCTGTTTCTTACCAGGCCAGCACCAGCCCTCGTAGTCTCTGCCATCTTTGTTTTTGACGTAGAACCCTTTGGAGCCGATCTCATTGTGGATCTTGTAGCTGCTGTCCACCTTGATGTGGGGGTCCACAATGGTCACCATCTAATGGTACAGGGAGAAGGAAAACAGCAAAACTGAGATGAGACGACTTGTCAACGTGTCTCAGAACCTTTGACTTTTTACATTCTTCATCTATAGTCGAGTCCCAATAAGACAGAACTGTTTTCGACAAGGGAGCCCTGGCCAGACAGCTGTAACACATGAATGTGCTCACCTTGCGTCTCTTGTCTACCAGACCCTGCAGCATGTCTTTGGGCTGGGGGAACTTGTGAGGGTCCCAGGTGAAGTAACGCTTGCCGTCCGTGTGCTCTATGTCCAGCCAGATGAAGTCGTAGGGGATGTCGTGCTCGTCGAAGCCCTGGTCCACCGCCGCCACATCCTCCTGGTCATTGTAGTTCCAGCGGCACTGGTGGTAAGCCAGCGCAGACAGGGGAGGGAAGGCCTGGGTACCTGGTGGGGAGAGAGTGCTGGGTGGTCATTTATAGACAGTTGTATTATGAGGGACCCTGGTGGCAGGCCAGCGCAGACAGGGAAGGCCTGGGTACCTGGACAGGTGTGTGAGGGAAGTGGCACGATCTGCGACACTAACCTCTACAGGGACTGGGAAAGTGGACAGGGAATATGAACTGGGTTTCTGTAGTGAGAGTCTGACCTGTGAGTGATGCGTACTGGGAAAAGACATCAGTGGGAGTGGGTCCCAGCATGATGAAGACGTCGATGATGCCACTCTCTGAGATCCAACGCACGTCAGTCTGTGGCGTCTCACTGGAGCCCTGAACGTAGTCCAGCATCTGGCCAAACACAGTCTATACAACCAGAGAGAACCAGAGTAGGGGTAAGAGGGTGTGTTTGTGTTCTCTCTGACTGTACCCTTCAATGTGTATACACAGGGTGGTTGAGAGGTGTGTCTCTCACTGGGAACCCTGGAGAAAAATATTTACTGACTAACTGTGTGTGTGTGTCTTACCTTGCCGGCGGTGTTGGAGCTGATGTCCACCCAGGTCTCAGCAGCGTTGAGCCAGAAGATGCCCATGGTGCGCTGTGCACTGTGGGACAGCATGACAGGGATGGCACCGTACAAGGCCATGGGGTTGAACAGCTCATACTGGAACACGTCTAGGTTAAACAACCGGTACGGATCCCCTCCACTGGAAAATGCATACGTATATATTATTGCATTGTCATATAGTCTGTCTTTTCGTCCTATTTAAAAATCTTCAACCTACAATGTTGAAAACAAAAGAAAATGCATCAACACAAACAGTTAAGAGCTTGTCCTGCACCGTCAGAAAATACATACGGTAGAAAACCATCTGAAAACATAAAGTAGTCTTAGTTAACTACGGTCTCAATTAACCAATATAAAGGGCCAATGTCAGTATCAGTATCACTCACTCAGTGGTTTTGAGTTTAAGGCTGTCTGCGTGTTCCGGGATCCCATAGACATGCTCCACCCCTGGCAGAGAGAAGTCCAGACTGATGGAGGAAGGGCCTGAGGGAGAACACAGCCAACCAGGACACACTACATTCAAAACCCATTCAGCATTGGTCACTGTGCCTAAAGCAAGTCATACAACTCATCCAATCATAAAATAATATCTCTAGGAGATGAGGACCCAGGATCAGAATACCAAGTCTTTGATTGCAAGCCTCCTCTTTCACCTGTCAATTTATCTGAAATAACAGGTCCACAGAGAAGTATCCGTACCATTGGGTTTGTTGTCTGTGTGCGATTTGAATGTCTCTTCCCACATTCCATCCTCCATTTTCTCATCCTGCTTTGCCGTCTAGGAAGGAAGGAACAAAATAAACAACGGTGGAGACAGATGGAAAGAATGGGAGAGGAGCATTGTGGTGGAGAGAGAGAGAATGGGAAAAGCAACGAAAAGAGGGGTTGATTTCGGTTTCAGTCCGTTGGCAAGGGCAGTAAGCAGTGTTACAAAACCTTCTCTTGTTCAGTTTATTGATCCTAATCAAATGCCTGGGGGAAACCTTGGTTAGTGTTACTTCTCCCTTCATGCCTCCCACACACCTCCTCCTCTCCTCCTGCCGGTTCGTTGGCAGCATCAGTTTCTTCTTTCTTCTCAGTTCCTTCTGGGTCTACCCGACTGTGGGAGAGAGAGAGAGAGAGAGAGATAGAGAGAGAAACGTCCCCAAAACAGATACACAACTGGCTGACAACTGAGTAAATAAAAATACCAATAGAAGCACACAGGGAAGAGAGAACAGAAATAAGGAAAATCATGACGGCCACACACAACCTTCTCACTAGTATAAAACTAGAGCTAGTGTCAAACTACTGAAACCTCTAAGATTTCACTCTAATGACAAAAGGGGAACAACTCCCTACCTTGTGGTTATTTCTTTAGCTAAACACCCAAAGGGACCACCAGTACCCTGCCTTACACATAGGCTTCCTCCGAGAACACACACTACCCCAGTGAAAGCACACACTGACCGGAACAAACAAGCCTTGAGGAGACATTGTGGTCTACTCAGTGCTGTGGGATTAGACTAGGCAGCCTCTACATATAACATGACTCTATTGGGTCAACGGTGAGTTGAAATGGCTGTATTATGAAGACATTTGAAGTCAAAAGAGAAGTGTGGGAGGAAAAAGGCTTGTGAACATCTCCTCTGAAGACAGGTAAAGAGCAGACCAAATGGTAGTGAGCCTAGAACTGGTTTTCATGCCTAGACAGCAAATGATTTAGTAAAAAGCTACCACGCCAAGTCACCACATCCTTGAGCCATTTGGGCATGTCATTTTTGGATGTCTGTCTAAACTTTGACACTCAACTCCATACTCCTACATTGACAGCACAGACTAATACAAACCTATAAAGCTGAAGGAATTTACCTAGAGAATACCCACTTTATATTTTCCCACACGCTATAAACTTTGGTTTTTATCTTATAGGAGATGCTGAAAGGTAGAAGAGAAGAACGGAACAGAATGGAGGAAAATAATGATGAAATGGAGAAGCAGAATACAAAGCAGTGAAAAAGCAAGAAAACAAACAAAAGAAACATGTATAATGTGAGAACATAAACACAAACTTGCATTGTGAAGGGATATGTGGGTCACTTACGTATCCTTGCGGATCCGGAGGTGCTCGAAGGCCAGCAGGCCACGGGAGTTAAGCGACAGAAGAACCTCCCGCCCCTCCATGATGTCCAATCGGAACGGTTTAGCACTGACGATCAGCCGCTGAGAGTCTGCCCCCAAAGACAGAACCACCCCGTTCTCATCCTGCGACAGGAGAGACAGACTGAGGAAGGAGAGGGAGAAGAGAGAGCGAGATGAGTGTGAGAGGGGTAAAACAATGGGTGGAATCAATAAGGCAACAGAAAACACCCAATACACATATCATTTAGATGACATTATTCTGTGCTATCTTGTCTCCACTGTCCATTCACACAGATGCATTCTCTCTTGGTTCTGGAGGCTATAACATTATCAACAAATCTACACCACTTCCTGAGAGCCAGGCCACTCATCTACTGCATGCCCTCAGGTAGTTTTCTCCTGCTTCCTCCATGAACTACATTTCCTTTTCAAATCAAATTGTATTTGTCACATGCGCCGAAAACAACAGGTGTAGACCTTACAGTGAAATGCTTACTTAAAAGCCCTTAACCAACAATGCAGTTTTAAGAAAGAATACCAAAAAAATCAAAAATCAAATCACACAAAAAAATACGATATAAAATAATACGAAATAAAAGTAACAAATAATTAAAGAGCAGCAGTAAAAATAACAATAGCGAGGCTATATACAGGGGGTACCAGTACCGAGTCAATGTGCGGGGGCACCGGTTAGTCAAGGTCATTTAGGTAATATGTACATGTAGGTAGAGTTATTAAAGGGACTATGCATAGATAATAAACAGAGTAGCAGCAGCGTAAAAGAGGGGGGGGTCTGGGTAGCCATTTGATTAGATGTTCAAGGAGTCTTATGGCTTGGGGGTAGAAGCTGTTTAGAAGACCCTTGGACCTAGACTTGGCGCTCCGGTACCGCTTGCCGTGTGGCAGCAGAGAGAACAGTCTATGACTAGGGTGGCTGGAATATTTTACAATTTCTAGAGCCTTCCTCTGACACCGCCTGGTATAGAGGTCCTGGATGGCAGGAAGCTTGGCCCCAGTGATGTACTGGGCCGTACGCACTACCCTCTGTAGTGCCTTGCGGTCGGAGGCAGAGCAGTTGCCATACCAGGCAGTGATGCAACCAGTCAGGATGCTCTCGATGGAGCAGCTGTAGAACCTTTTGAGGATATGAGGACCCATGTCAAATATTTTCAGTCTCCTTAGGGGGAATAGGTTTTGTCGTGCCCTCTTCACGACTGTCTTGGTGTGCTTGGACCGTGTCAGTTTGTTGGTGATGTGGACACAAAGGAACTTGAAGCTCTCAACCTGCTCCACTACAGCCCCGTCGATGAGAATGGGGCGTGCTCGGTCCGCTTATTATTCCTGTAGTCCACAATCAACTCCTTTGTCTTGATCACGTTGAGGGAGAGGTTGTTGTTCTGGCACCACACGGCCAGGTCTCTGACCTCCTCTCTATAGGCTGTCTCGTCGTTGTCGGTGATCAGCCCTAACACTGTTGTGTCATCGGCAAACTTAATGATGGTGTTGGAGTCGTGTCTGGCCATGCAGTCATGAGTGAACAGGGAGTACAGGAGGGGACTGAGCACGCACCCCTGAGGGGCCCCCGTTTTGAGGATCAGCGTGGTGGATGTGTTGTTACCTACCCTTACCACCTGGGGGTGGCCCGACAGGAAGTCCAGGATCCAGTTGCAGAGGGAGGTGTTTAGTCCCAGGGTCCTTAGCTTAGTGATGAGCTTTGAGCGCACTATGGTGTTGAACGCTGAGCTGTAGTCACTGAATAGCATTCTCACATAGGTGTTCCTTTTGTCCAGGTGTGAAAGGGCAGTGTGGAGTGCAATAGAGATTGCATCATCTGTGGATCTGTTGGGGCGGTATGCTAATTGGGGTGGGTCTAGGGTTTCTGGGATAATGGTGTTGATGTGAGCCATGACCAGCCTTTCAAAGCACTTCATGGCTACAGACGTGAGTGCTACGGGTCGGTAGTCATTTAGGCACTGGTTGCACATTTAACATGCTGGTAGAAATTAGGTAAAACAGATTTAAGTTTCCCTGCATTAAAGTCCCCGGCCACTAGGAGCGCCACCTCTGGATGAGCGTTTTCCTGTTTGCTTATGGTCGTATACAGTTCATTGAGTGTGGTCTTACTGCCAGCATCGGTTTGTGGTGGTAAATAGACAGCTACGAAGAATATAGATGAAAACTCTCTTGGTAGATAGTGTGGTCTACAGCTTATCATGAGATACTCTACCTCAGGCGAGCAAAACCTTGAGACTTCCTTAGATATCATGCACCAGCTGTTTACAAATATACATAGACCGCCACCCCTTGTCTTACCAGAGAAATTACAGTTTTAATGTCCCGTTGGTAGGATATACGTGCCTGTAGTTCGTCCACTTTATTATCAAGTGATTGTAAGTTGGCCAATAGTTTCGATGGCAAAGGCAGATTAGCCACTCGTCGCCGGCTCCTTACCAGGCACCCCGATCTCCTTCCACGATATCTCCTTTTCTTTCTACTGCTAATGACGGGGATGAGGGCCCTGTCGGGTGTCTGGAGTAAAAAAATATTTGTCCAGTTCAAGGTGAGTAATCGCTGTTCTGATGTCCAGAAGCTCTTTTCGGTCATAAGAGACAGTAGCAGCAACATTATGTACAAAAGGTTAAGAGTCCATAAAACAGCAGCTATCCCCCTCCGGCGCCATTATCAGTGGGGCTAATATGCTTTAACCCCATTGCTGGTCTCCGTCCTAACCAATTATTTCATTGCCCCCCATTTTCCTCAAGGGTTTTTCTCTGCATGTTCTACTCTGCTTTAGCCACTATCTCCTGTATTCCTGAGTTGGCTCTAGAACATTTCTCCTCCATATGTATTCCTCTGGCAGATAAACACACCCCTTTTAAACAATTCAGAGTCAAAGATAGCTCAGAAGAAAACCAAGGGCTGGATCTATCTGAGCTCATTCAGTTGAGAAATAAGGCCTGGGCCAAAGCAAGGAGTACTGACTGTAGTGGACTGGCAATCTTTCAGACAATTGAGAAACATATGTACTATCTCGATTAAGAAAGCTAAATCAAGCTACTTTTTAAGCTCTCTCTGACTCTGCTGGTGATACTTGTTGGAAAACAGTAAACACACTAAAGCGTACAAATTCCTCTTCTTCCCTGCCTATGCACGTTCTGTCTGACTCTGGCATCATAACTGAGAAGAATGGAATAAGTGATGCTTTTCAATCATCATTTTATCTCGGCAGGCTTTTTATTTGAGAGAAACTGTGGTTTAATTGACCCTGGTCAGTCAATCGACTGCTCTTCCATCTGCAAGCCTCTAGCTGACTCAACGGTTAACCCGTCAACTTCTAGTGAATCTTTGCTTTCATTTCAACTATTTACTATCTGTGATGTGCTAGATGTCTTGCTTAAGATTGATGTAATAAAAATCCACTGGGGCTGATATGCTTGATCCATTTTTGATGCAGCTCTCTGCCCCCCGATTGCTGAATCATTAACCCATATTTTTTACCTGATGATTATATCTGGTACTATCCCCAAGGTTTGGAAGGCGGCCCATGTACTCCCCCTTCAAAGGTGCTGACCCTTGTGACCTAAATAATTATCGGCCCATTTCTAAACTTTCTTGCCTCGCTAAAATATTAGAATCCTTGATTAATTCTCAGCTAAGATCTTTCTTATCTTTGAAATGTATTCTAAATGTACATCAGTCGGATTTTAGACCAGGTCATAGCACTATCTCTGCTGCATCCCTAGGTATAAATGATGTGGTTAACTGTATGGATTAAAGACAACATTGTGCTGCCCTCTTCATTGACCTGTCAAAGGCTTTCGATACTGTTGATCACTCACTGCTAACTCAGAGGCTTTCCTCAAATTGGCCTAGACCAGGCTGCATGTAACTGGTTGAAAAATTATTTGACAGAACTCAATGTGCATCTACTGATTGTGTTCAATCAGGTTTCTTGGATATTACGAAAGGTGTCCCGCAGGGGTAGATTCTGGGTCCTGTACTTTTTACATTAACAATATCAACTTGTCTGTAAAAAACTGTAACCTGCACTTGTATGCCGATGATACTGTTGTGTATGCTATTGCCCCCACGGTTGACCAGGCTCTATCTGAACTACAGACTGCCCTCATTGTATTACAGAATAGCGTTATTGACCTGTCTAGACCTGAAATTAGTATTGAATGCAGGTAAAACAAAGTATATGTTCTCTAGAGCGCATAAAAATAACTGATGATTTAACTATATGTACTTTGGATGGTGTCCATATTGAGCATGTCCCTGCTTACAAATATCTGGGCATCTGGATACATGAAAAGCTGTCTTTTAAAAAGCGTATTGAGTTAGTTAAAAAGCTGAGAATAAAAATGGGCTTCTTCTATAGAAATAGGTCCTGCCTCTCGATAAACAGTAGAAAGCAGATTATTCAGTCGATGTTCCTATCGGTCCTACATCATCTATATGAACGCAGTTGCCACTTCATTACAGCCATTAGATGCAGTTTATCATAGCGCACTGCGCTTGATTACGGGCGACAATTTTAGTACTCATCACTGCATTCTCTCCCAGAAAGTTGGTTGGCCCTCTGATGTCACGTAGGTTGATACATTGCTGTTTTCATTTATAAAGCCATTTTGCAAAAAGTCCCACTGTACCTACATTTACATTTTAGTCATTTAGCAGACACTCTTATCCAGAGCAACTTAAAGGAGCAATTAGGGTTAAGTGCCATGCTCAAGGGCACAGACAGATTTTTCACCTAGTCGGCTCAGGGATTAGAACCAGCGACCTTTCGGTTACTGGCACAACGCTCTTAACCACTAAGCTACCTGCCGCCCATCTTTACTAAACTTTAGACATACGAGTTACCACACCCAGTCTGGACATTCCTTTGGTCTCTGAGTAAACTAAAAGCTGATTTACCTTTCTTCCACCTTATTTGTCGAATGATCTTCAAAATGTTCTTAAATTTGATGTTTTGGTGCCTCTAGGGCAATTCAGACGGCTGATTGAGGACCTTATCATTGATGAATGTGTTGTTTTTTTTATGACCATGTTTGTCTTTCTGCTTGCATTTTTTATTTATATTGATGTGTGCATTTTCGGTAATTTATGTAATTCAGGTATCATCTGTAAAAGAGACCTTGGTCTCAGTACGACTCCTTGAAAAAATAAAGGTTACATAAAATTACAATAAAAAATCCACATGGCTCAATGTCACCCATCACCCACCCACTACTCTAGGTGGCTCTATGAGACTTACGGCTCTGTGGGAGGGTCGTTGATGAGCACATCGGGGACCTCAAAGCGAGGCTTCAGCGGCTTCAACTCGTTTATCTTCACCCTGGTCATGTTGCCCTGGAGACGATAGAGCTCGAGCAGCAGACGCACCTGAGGGGGGAGAGGGAGGGGTAGGAGGAGGGTAACAAAAAAAATGAGACCAGGTCCCAAAGGGGTTTCGAGCACACCTGTTAATACATGTATGGACGTACAATAACATCATATTACATCTGTCAATTAAAGTGTGTGTAACAGACCTTGTTGTTGTCATTGATGAGCTGCAGAGTGAGTTTGGTGTTGGTGAGCTCCAGGGTCTCCAGTAGGGCTCTGTACGGGGACTGGCCAGGCTTCAACGCTCGCTGACGCCTGAGTGCACAAACACACATTGAGTTAACACAAACTCTGATAAACATGTTCTATGTGGAGGTAGAAGTACAGTGGGGAGAAAAAGTATTTAGTCAGCCACCAATTGTGCAAGTTCTCCCACTTAAAAATATGAGAGAGGCCTGTAATTTTCATCATAGGTACACGTCAACTATGACAGACAAATTGAGGGGAAAAAATCCAGAAAATCACATTGTAGGATTTTAAATGAATGTATTTGCAAATTATGGTGGAAAATAAGTATTTGGTCACCTACAAACAAGCAAGATTTCTGGCTCTAACAGACCTGTAACTTCTTCTTTAAGAGGCTCCTCTGTCCTCCACTCGTTACCTGTATTAATGGCACCTGTTTGAACTTGTTATCAGTATAAAAGACACCTGTCCACAACCTCAAACAGTCACACTCCAAACTCCACTATGGCCAAGACCAAAGAGCTGTCAAAGGACACCAGAAACAACATTTTAGACCTGCACCAGGCTGGGAAGACTGAATCTGCAATAGGTAAGCAGCTTGGTTTGAAGAAATCAACTGTGGGAGCAATTATTAGGAAATGGAAGACATACAAGACCACTGATCATCTCCCTCGATCTGGGGCTCCACGCAAGATCTCACCACGTGGGGTCAAAGTGATCACAAGAACGGTGAGCAAAAATCCCAGAACCACACAGGGGGACCTAGTGAATGACCTGCAGAGAGCTGGGACCAAAGTAACAAAGCCTACCATCAGTAACACACTACGCCGCCAGGGACTCAAATCCTGTAGTGCCTGACGTGTCCCCCTGCTTAAGCCAGTACATGTCCAGGCCCGTCTGAAGTTTGCTAGAGTGCATTTGGAAGATCCAGAAGAGGATTGGGAGAATGTCAGATGAAACCAAAATTGAACTTTTTGGTAAAAACTCAACTCGTCGTGTTTGGAGGACAAAGAATGCTGAGTTGCCTCCAAAGAACACCATACCTACAGTGAAGCATGGGGGTGGAAACATCATGCTTTGGGGCTGTTTTTCTGCAAAGGGACCAGGACGACTGATCCGTGTAAAGGAAAGAATGAATGGGGCCATGTATCGTGAGATTTTGAGTGAAAACCTCCTTCCATCAACAAGGGCATTGAAGATGAAACGTGGCTGGGTCTTTCAGCATGACAATGATCCCAAACACACTGCCCGGGCAACGAAGGAGTGGCTTCGTAAGAAGCATTTCAAGGTCCTGGAGTGGCCTAGCCAGTCTCCAGATCTCAACCCCATAGAAAATCTTTGGAGGGAGTTGAAAGTCCGTGTTGCCCAGCGACAGCCCCAAAACATCACTGCTCTAGAGGAGATCTGCATGGAGGAATGGGCCAAAATACCAGCAACAGTGTGTGAAAACCTTGTGAAGACTTACAGAAAACGTTTGACCTGTGTCATTGCCAACAAAGGGTATATAAAAGTATTGAGAAACTTTTGTTATTGACCAAATACTTATTTTCCACCATAATTTGCAAATAAATTCATTAAAAATCCTACAATGTGATTTTCTGGATTTTTTTTCTCATTTTGTCTGTCATAGTTGACGTGTACCTATGATGAAAATTACAGGCCTCTCATCTTTTTAAGTGGGAGAACTTGCACAATTGGTGGCTGACTAAATACTTTTTTTCCCCACTGTACATATCGTGAACATCCTGGACCATAAGTGAGGAAGAGAATGGGGGTAGACTAGTTGAGGGATTACGCGTTACCATCAGTCACTGAACAAAAATATACAAAGATTTTACTAAGTTACAGTTCATAAGGAAATCAGTCAATTGAAATAAATTCATTAGACCCTAATCTATGGATGTCACATGACTGGGAATACACATCGCATCTGTTGATCACAGATACCTGTAAAAAAAAGGTAGGGGTGTGGATCAGAAAACCAGTCAGTATCTGGTGTGACCACCATTTGCCTCATGCAGCGCGACGCATCTCCTTTGCATAGAGTTTATCAGGCTGTTGACTGCGGCATGTGGAATGTTGTCCCACTCCTCTTCAATGGCTGTGCAAAGTTGCTGAATATTGGCAGGAACTGGAACACACTGTTGTACACATCGATCCAGAGCATCCCAAACATGCTCAATTGGTGACATGTCTGGGGCCATGCATTGTTATGCGGAGGTGATGGCAGACGATTAATGGCACAACAATGGTCCTCAGTATCTCATCACGGTATCTCTGTGCATTCAAATTGCCATCAATAAAATGCGATTGTGTTCGTTGTCCGTAGCTTATGCCTGGCCATACCATAACCCCACCATGGGGCACTCTGTTCACAATGTTGACATAAGCAAACCGGTCGCCCACACGACGCCATACACTGTCTGCCATCTACCCGGTACAGTTGAAATCAGGATTCATCCGTGACGAGCACACTTCTCCAGCTTGCCATTGGCCATCAAAGGTGAGCATTTGCCAACTGAAGTCGGTTATGACGCCAAACTGCAGTCAGGTCAAGACCCTGGTGAGGACAACGAGCACGCAGATGAGCTTCCCTGAGACGGTTTCTGACAGTTTGTGCAGAAATTCTTCGGTTGTGCAAACCCACAGTTTAATCAGCTTTCTAGGTGGCTGGTCTCAGACGATCCCGCAGGTGAAGAAGCCGGATGTGGAGGTCCTGGGCTGGCGTGGTTACACGTGGTCCGCAGTTGAGGCCGGTTGGACGTACTGCCAAATTCTCTAAAATGACGTTGGAGGTGGCTTACGGTAGAGAAATTAACATTCAATTATCTGCCAACAGCTCATTGTGTTGTGTGACGCACATTTTGGAGTAGCCTTTTATTGTCCCCGGCACAACGCGCACCTGTGTAATGATCATGCTGTTTAATCAGCTTCTTGATATGCCACACCTGTCAGGTAGATGGATTATCTTGGCAACAGAGACATACTAACAGGGATGTAAACACATTTGCGCACCATTTTAGAAAATATGTTTTTTGTGCATATGGAACATTTTTGGGATCTTTTACTTCAGCTCATGAAACATGGGACCAGCACTTTAGATGTTGCATTTATATTTTGTTCAGTATATATATATACATACACACACACACACTGACATTCTCCTTTGATTGTGTAAAATCTCCATCAAGGTGCTAAGTGCTGTAGCTGCGTATCGTCCAGGACTTACTTGCAGAAGGCACTCTGGTCACAGGTTTTGAAGTTCCCCCGGTCCACCGCCCAGGCGCCACTGAGGCAGGCAGCCAGACACAACACTAACAGAGGCCCCATCCTGAGAGGGCGGAAGAGAGATACATAAAATGGGAAGCAGAGGTTAAGAGGAGAATGAAATACTATATACATTAAGCCAGTGTTTCCCAACCCTGGTCCTCCAGTACCCCCAACACTACACATTTTTGTTGTAGCCCTGAACAAACACACCTTATTCATCTCATTGAGGGCTTGATGATTAGTTGACGAGTTGAATCAGGTGTGCTTGGCCATGGTTAAAATAAAAATGTGTACTGTTGGGGGTACTCGAGGACTAGGGTTGGGAAACACAGCATTAAGCTCTGCAAAGTTGCAGTGATAGATAATGATGCTGACAACAAGTCAAACAACTAGACCGGTGTTAACCAACTCCGGTCCTCGAGTATCCCCAACTGTTCATATTTCTGTTGTGGCTCCAGACAAGCATAACTGATTCTACTTGTCAACTAATCATCAAGCCATTGACTCAAGTCCCGTATAGCTCAGTTGGTAGAGCATGGCGCTTGCTACGCCAGGGTTGTGGGTTCGATTCCCACGGGGGGCCAGTATGAAAAAAAATTTTTTTTAAATAATAATGATGTATGCACTCACTAACTGTACGTCGCGCTGGATAAGAGCGTCTGCTACACGACTAAAACATTTTTTGAATCAGACGTTTTTGTCCGGGGCTACAACAAAAATGTGTGCTGTTGGTGGTACTCAAGGACCGGAGTTGGGAAACACTGGCCTAGACTATGAAATCCATGTGGGAATTTACACTACAATGGACTTTAACCAGGTATGCGTCCTCAAAAAAGGTTGATACAAATGCCTCTTGCTGTTTCCATATCCTGTTGGTTAACCTTATCTAAAATGTGTATAATGAATCACTAACGTTATAGCCAGCTATACCTGTTAATGAGTTCGTATGGGTAATACAATGCCCATCTTTGTCAAAATATTATCTGGCTAGCATAACTCCCTGTGCTGATTTGGGCTCGCTGCCTCGCTCTGTTCTAAACTGTTGGAGCATCTCTTCATATCAACTAACCGCTGACGTCGCTTCTTTGGTCCTGTCAAATCTTGCTAACTAGCTAAATCCTCGTCGTAATACAATTTGTAGGACACACAAGACAGAGACACACACGTGTTATGATACTTAACCGATCGAGTTATTTACCAATGTATGTCGATAGTTAGCTAGTTAGAGATCATCATCCTGAAATGTTAGCTACATAGAGGGCTCTCAAGCCGCTAACTTAATTCAAGAGGGCTCAAGCTTCTTCCTATGACTGCTGCTAGCTAGACAGTAAAAAGATAACTCCACCAGTCTACTCTCGAGTATAGCGAGCGAATGTCCCTGAATCACGGTACATTCGAAATCACTAGCTAGCTAAAAGCGTTATTTAACCGCCGAATTGGTTTGTCTTACCTTACTCTGAAGGCGGCCATCTTGGTTTAGTTCCAACCTTGGCCCTGCCCCGTTTTACATTGAACTAACAAAGACCGAGAAGAGTAACAAGATCCCGAAAAACTGAGTGGGAGTTTTTGCAGTCTTTAAATATGTAGGACCACATTCGATATTGGTGGATTCTGTTCAATATTTATAATGATCAATTCTCATCGGCAATTAGATTCGAAACTATTCTAGTCTTCCGGAATGTGTCCACCCGGTTTATCTCGCTCCTTGTATTTATTTATCCTCTCAGACACGGATACGTCTGTTTGAATTGGTAGTCAGTTCTGGAGCAATCCTCTGATTTATTTGTACTACTCTGGTTGCGCTGTGCTTGCTGAATTTCCCTTTAGGGACAAACACACTTACAGGCTCTACCAATATAAAAACACTTTGTGAAACATCTACACAGAGCATGTATGGTGTTTCAAACAAATTGTCCTGTATGTAATCACATTCAGCATATTTGAGTGATACCTCATGATGTACCTGTGGGATGTGTTTGTTGTTGTAAAATTATATCATCAATGTACCTTTCCAAAAACAGAGTTGTATTTCTTTGTCAATTCAGAAAATCAAGGACACAGACCTGCGAAACGTAGTCATGTTCAAAGGCCAAATATTTTAAACAAAAATTTGCTCAGATGTATTTATTGTATACTACATGTTTTTATCCCTCTAAAGTAACAGCTACCTACAAAACCCTACTCAATCTAGAAAATGATACAAAACATGAGAGATAAAAAGTAGACATAACATTCTCAGCATTTGGTGAACTACAGTGCCTTCAGAAAGTTTTCACACCCCTTCACTTTTTCCACATTTGGTTGTGTTAGCATGAATTTCAAATTGATTAAATTGAGATTTTTGGTCACTGGCCTACACACAATACTCCATGATGTTAAAGTGGAATTATTTTGGGGGAAATTTCAAAAAAGTAATAAAAATGAAAAGCTGAAATGTTTTGAGTCAAGTATTCAACCCCTTTGTTATGGCTAGCCTAAATAAGTTCAAGACAAAACATTTGCTAAACAACTCACATAATAAGTTGCATGGACTCACTCGATGTGCAATAGCAGTGTTTAACATGTTTTTTTTTTACTACCTCATCTCTGTACCCCACACATACAATTATCTGTGAGGTCCCTCAGTCAAGCAGTGAATTTCAAACACAGATTCAACCACAAAAACCGGGGAGGTTTTCCAATGCCTTGCAAAGGAGGGCACTTATTGGTAGATGGGTAAAAAAATAAAAATACAGACATTGAATATCCCTTTGAGCATGGTGAAGTTATGAATTAGACTTTGGACATGTATCAATACACCCTGTCACAGTTGCCGGAGAAGAAAGAGGCCAACGGTGACTTTAAAACAGTTACAGAGTTTAATGGCTATGAGAGAAAAATGAGGATGTATCAACATTGTAGTTACTCCACAATGCTAACCTAATTGACAGAGTGAAAAGAAGGAAGCCTGTACAGAATAAAAATATTCCAAAACACACTTCCTGTTTGCAATAAGGCACTAAAGTAAAACTGCAAATAATGTGGCAAAGAAATGAACGTCATGTCCTGAATACAAAGCGTTATGTTTGGGGAAAACACATCACAGAGTACCACTCTTCATATTTTCAAGCATGGTGGTAGCTGCATCATGTTATGGATATACTTTAAAAAGTGCAAATATTGTACAATCCAGGTGTGCAAAGCTCTTAGTCTTACCCAGAAAGACTCACAATTGTAATTGCTGCCAAAGGTGATTCTAACATGTATTGATTCAGGGGGTTGAATACTTATCTAATCAAGATATATTTGTGTTTTTTTTGTGTGTTTTTTTAAAACAAATATTAGAATTTTTCTTCCACTTTGACATTACACAGTAGTGTAAAGTACTTAAGTAAAAATACTTTAAAGTACTACTTAAGTAGTAGTAGTATCTGTACTTTACTTTACTATTTATATTTCTGCCAACTTTTACTTCACTACATTCCTAAAGAAATTAATGTACTTTTTACTCCATACATTTTCCCTGACACCCAAATGTACTTGTTACAGTTTGACACAAAAATGGTTCAATTCACACACATATCAAGAGAATGTCCCTGGTCATCCCTACTGCCTCTGATCTGGAGTGTTGGAGTGAGCCCCTGGCTATCCTTCAATAAAAAAACTAAAACTAAAAATTGTGCCGTTTGGTTAATCTAAGGAATTTTAAATGGTTTATACCTTTACTTTTGATACTTAAGTACATTTTAGGAATTCCATTTACGTTTGATACTTAAGTATATTTAAAACCAAATGCTTTTAGACTTTTACTCAAGTAGTATTTTACTGGGTGACTTTCACTTTTATTTGAGTCATTTTCTATTAAGGTATCTTTACTTTTACTCAAGTATGACAATTGAGTACTTTTTCCACCACTGACATTACAGAGTATTTTGTGTAGACCGTTGACAAAAAATGACAATTAAATCCATTTTAATCTCACATTGTAACACAACAAAATGCGAAAAAAGTAACGGGGTATGAATACTTTCTGAAAGCACTTTATGCTTCAGAGTGCATACAGAACTAGATGACAGTTATAGAGAAACAACCAAACTTAGAAAACGGCAAAGCAACATCTCCATCTCTCCATCCATCCCTCCCTCAGTTCTCTCCTTCCCTTGTTCAGAGCTGAAAACGCCAGCAAAGGTGCCCCAGCCGGTCAATGTTCTTATGCAAGACACTGTGGATGGGCGCTACGTATCTCGCCACGTCCCCGTCCCGTGCGAAATCCCGGCAGAACAGGCCCTTCTCAGCACTGAAGACAAACTTCTGTGGCATGGGGCCGTTGCCCCTCACGTACTCCCACACAGCCAGGAGGAGAAGCCTCACCTCGAAGGGCGTCAGGTAGGGGAAGGCCTCGTGGACGTTGCCCAGTACGGGGGGCAGCAGCTGGCCCTCGCCCATACAGGACACCAGCATGCAGGAGGCCTGGAGGTGCCAGGGGGAGTCCACCGCCAAAGGCTCCCTCGAAGCCTCCCAGTGGGCTAGCAGAGTGGCCAGCAGGCCCCGGAGCACCGCAGAACAGTAACAGAGAGCAGGACGCCCGGAAGCCACAATATGGAGTAACGGGAAGAGGACAGGGTGGGCCTCAAAGCAGCGGCGTATGTGTATGTCGCGTTCTACAGTGGTGCGGGCGTGTTCCTCTGGTGGCCATGACAGCTCCCCGTTGGCCACGTCGGGGCAGATATAATCCACCAGCGTCACCGCCATCATTTTGGCCGCCTCAGCGTTGATGGGCGGCGGCTCGTCGGGAACGACGGAGGGCTGGTGTTTTGGGGCACCACCACCGTTGCCGCCATTGCCAGATGGCGCGCTGCAGCACTGGACGGCAACAGCCAGCAGAGTCTGGACGTTCTGTATGACACTGGCGGGGTCGGGGTGAGGCCTAACGCTGCGCTGCTTCAGACCCTTCCCTATCACCCCAGCATGGAACACAGACCACACACTACCAGAGAAGTTGACCGTGGTGCCGAACCTGCAGTTGATGTCCAGCAGGGAGCCCCCCCGGTCAGGGGTCAAGGACGGGGAGATGGGGGTGTCCCCTCCAATGTCCTCGCTCTGCCCTCCAAACAGGTCAGCATTTCCTTTATGTAGAGTTCCCTCCACCAGCTGCTGCAGGACACATTTGAGGGTTAGAGAGGAGTAACCTGCCAGATGGGACAGGAGGAGCACGGAACAGTTCACCGCCTCTCCTCCCTGCCCTCCGTCTCTCCCCTTCCCTGCCTCTCCTCTCCTCCGCAGCGCCAGGAAGAAGTGTGTGACGGCGGCCCGACAGACGAGCAGCAGGTGGGAAGGCAGGGCGGCACGGGGGAGGAGGCTGCGGGACAGGAGCCGCACGGCAGCGTGGGATACCGCCGGGTCACCATGGAGGAGCAGAGGGCAGAAGTCATGGAGGTGTCCCGAGACTGCTGCTCCAACCTGCATTGCCATGGAGGACTGAGGTCTCGCACCTCCTCCTCCTCCCATGCCTCCTCCTGGACCCCTCCTCTCCTCCTCCTGTACACTCTGCACGGCGGAGGCCAGGTTGAGGAGGAGCTGGCAGAGCTGCTTGGGTCCCAGTGTGTGTGTGTGGATCTGGGCCACGCAGCGGGTCACTGCGGCAGGGATGAGGCCTGGCAGGCAGGCGGACAGCGGGGTGTGGAGCTGCCAGGCCAGGGTCAGCTCATCTGGGTTCCGGGCCAGGGTGAGCAGCTGACAGAGGGCCTCCGTGGCCACGCTGGGGCCCCCGTACACAGACAGCAGACACAGCAGCTGGTGCAGCCAGAGATGGCGCTTCCTCTCCAGCCTCAATGTCTCGGCACACAGCTCTCCCACGTGGGACTGCAGCTCCTCCAGGAAGGGGACCACACGGGGGGCCTTGGAGGAGGGAGAGTGGGGGCGGCTGTAGTAGCCGTCGTCCCCCTCTGAGCGGGTGTAGACCAGTTTGTGGAGGTGCAGCAGGAGCATCTGGAGGATGCGGTCGCAGGCCTCCCGGACCCCCTCGTGGGGGGAAGGCGTTGGGCCTGAGATGATGACGGAGGCGGGGGTGGCCGTGTCGGCGAGGAAGCGGAGGACGCGTGCCCCTCCAGCATGGCTCTGGGCGATGAGGTGAACGGCCAGCCCCAGCATGTTGTCCAGCTCTTCCCTGGGAAGCCCCTGTAGAACAGCCTGGAGCTGGAGCAAGACTGGAGGCCGTAGAGACTCCACCAGCTCAGCAGACACGGCGCCCAGCAGAGAGGGAGACAGCGCCGCCAGCTGGAGGAGGAAGGGCACTGCGCCTCCGCGGAGCTGGGCTGAGTGCTCCCAGGAGGTGGACCCAGAGCTGGGGGGTATAGTCAGGGGGCTGAGGCTCTCCTGGAACATCCTCAGCAGCTCCCGCCGGATGCTGTCAGAGTGCCGCGCCGCCAGGTGGCCAAGGATCCCCACCACAGAGCCTATCTTAGGCACTCGGCTGCTCTTGTCTCCCTGACGCTTGTCAGCCGTTCCGTGGGAGCAGAAGTCTTTAAGACCACAGGCCAGGACGCGGCTGATGATGGTGCCCGGGAAGGAGGATCCGATGTGGGCGACCACCCAGTCAAAGTGGGGGGAGTGCTGCACTGAGGTGTCCAGGAGAGCATCCACACATTGGTCAGGACACCAGGCTATCATGGCCGCCAGGCACTGGGTATAGGCCTCCATGAGGGAGCGTGTAGCTGCACAGGACATCCACAGCTGCAGCTGCTCGTTGAGGCTGGAGGAGTGGGGAGCTGTCCTACGGCCGGCATGCTTGGAGCTCAGCTGCCCCAGCAGATCTACAGCCCAGGTTGAGACAAGGGGAGCCCAGGCTCGGGGGTTGAGCCTGATGAACTCCGCCAGGACGCCATGGACCTCCGTGATGATATCCTCCAGGTTGGAGTCCCCGTCGCCCTCGCCGTCGGTCTCCAGATTGTGAAGAAAGGCTGATACGTGCTCGTTGTACACGCCCCTTAGGTGCTCAAGCACCGCCCCGCGACAGGCAGGCACAGATCGTAGTAGACGCACGGCACAGCGGGCATGCTCACGGACGCTGAGTTTACGACCCTGGGTCTGGTCCACGCCACTGATGAAGGATTTGATCTCCTGGGACAGCTCCTGGGGGCTAAACACACACACACACACACACACACACACACACACCAAAAGTTCACACAGTTGCAAAACATCTATAAACTAACAAATGTGATTCCAATTGGTATAATTGTTCTATTCTCTGACTAGAATATTTCGTAAATATGCTTGAAAAATGCTGACCACTGCATCTGTCCACAATACCCTTAGCATAATATCAGCCTTAGAACTTGTTGGTACAGTGGGGAAGCAGCCACATACTGTAGCTACAACTACTGGCTGGCTAGCATGCTAAGCAACAAACCTAAATGCATTTTGCGGTGTGTGACCGAGAGAGGTCTGCATGGTGACTGTCAGGAGAGTTCCGTCAAAAAAGGCAGACATAGTTCAACTTCCCAAACTGAAAATAGAACATTAACAACTCTCCCCTAGTAACAAGCTACGAATAATCAACCCTACACCTGAAATATGATTATCTTTTTAAAGTAATGTTCAGGAAAAATATCAAAAGGGCGCTCCAAAACCGGAAGTATTTATTTTCTTCTTCTATTACGTCTTCCAAGTGGTAATGCGGAAAAATACATATTTACTGCCATCTACTGGCCTGACAGAGTACTTCGAAACTAACGTCAGCACGCACGCTTCCAGCAGACACGCCTCTCGGATTTGTTAGCTTTATTTTCGAGTCAGCTGATCGTTGACTTCTGCTTCTGACTTCTGTGTTCGAAGTGAAAGCAAGCAACATCAAGGCCACGACACCGAATTTACTGTAAGTTATAAGAATTTAAATTTATTTAAATTATTATCTGGACAGAAATACTTGTGTGAGGAAGATAACCAACAGCACGCAAACGCTGTCTCTGTTGTGTGCCTTCTGTGGTCAGTTAACTTATCTAGCTAGCTATCTATTTCGTTGCACAATTCGTGTTTTTTTATAGACACCAAAACACAGTGAAATGACATCAGTGTCTAATTTATTTGTCAATAGATTGCCTAATATTTTGTGAGCTCATGTCTTATGAAAACAGGCCCCCTAAATATAACCCATAGGTTTTGTTTTGACTTTACAGGGTTGAGATCAAAGCTGTGTAAAGGAAATAACAGTAACCATGGCTCCAACATTGGTAAGTAAAGTCCAGTCCTAATGTTGATTGTGTCCACAGTATCTATGTAGTCTACCTGTTTGTTTTGGAAATATTTAAATATTGTTTGTAAAAGGCTGAGTTTGCATGAGTTATGACTGAATAACTTTTGATAGTTTTGTTCCCTGATCTGAGCACATTCCCTTTCAGAACTGCATATGTGGCAGTTGCATACTTCAACAAGAGGGTGTCTAGCAACACCCCTGTATTTGTAACCATGGCAATACACACATTGCTAAATCATACTTAATGGTTGTATTATTTTTTCCTTTGACAGTACGATGAGAAGCCGGAGCCAGGGGATCTGATAGAGATATTCAGAGGGACATACCAGCACTGGGCGTTGTACGTTGGTGACGGTTTTGTCATTCACCTGGCCCCACCCTGTGAGTAATAATCTTGATATAGTGCACTCAACAATTGATATACAGTGGCCTATATAGAGTACATACAATATGAGTTATAAAAAACTCAATTTTGGCACTGATGATGTCTTGTCTGTCCACCCCCCTCCCATGTCTCTTTGCTCCCCAGCCGAGGCACCAGGGGCCAGGGCCAACAGCATGATGTCTGTGCTCAGTGACAAGGCTCAGGTGAAGAAGGAAGAGATCTGGGACGTGGTGGGGCATGATGAGTGGCGTGTCAACAACCAGCTGGATCAGAAGTACAAGGTCAGTACCAGTAAGTACAGTATGGCTGCGTTCCAAATGACACCCCATGGGGCTCTGGTCAAAAGTAGTGAACTATATAGAGAATAAGGTGCATTTGGGACGCAGTCTGTGTGATCCTGTGTGGCTCAATTGATAGAGCATGGTGCTTGCAATGCCAGGATAGTGTTTTCGATTCCCGCTGGGGCCACCCTAATAAAAATGTATGCATGCAAGTTCGCTTAGGATAAAAGCGTCTGCTAAATGGCATGTATTATATTATTATTATTATTATTATTATTATTATAGGTCAGACCCATCCGTGAGATTCTGAGGGATGCCACGGCTTATGTGGACCAGGAGCTGTCCTACTGTGTCATCAAGGGGAACTGTGAGCACTTTGTCACAGATCTGAGATATGGGAAGGCTGAGTCTCGACAGGTAGGTACAGTGGACTGGTGCTCAATGCTAGTTGTACTGTGCTCAGCGTAGAGTAATCTTGTGAGCCATACGTGGGTGTAGAGTAACTGGTGTACTTGTTGTTATACATTCAATGCATCTATGCTGTGATACTGTTTCTGAATCAGTCATTCATTCGAGTCATTCAAATTAATGTTTGTATTTTTCTGCCCAGGTTCGGCAGGCTGTGGGAATGGCAATGGTGGGCTTCGGAGTATTTGCTTTGGCAGGTATCGCGGCGGCCATCTTTGGCGGTGGAAGCAAAAAGAAGAATGAAGAAGAAAAGGAAGAATATATGTGACAACCTGTATGATAGCTTCCTGAACAGCCAATCACCACTAAGCCTAATATAGATGAATTATTTAACTACAGTACTACTGCCCTCGTCACTTGTGTAATTCTGGGTTTTTCCGAAGGGAGGGTTGAGTATTTCCGTACATATTTTTTTAAAACTTTCACAGTTACACAGACATGAATTGAAAGCACGTAGGAAACGAGGAAAAGTGTCTCGTTATAATTCCAAGGTATACAGCCTTGAAGGTGCCATAGCCTTGTAGGCTGCTAGACTAAGCTAGCTGACTTAAAATATGTTGTCACTTACTTAGAAGCTATGAAGTTTCCCTACTAAAGTTTTAACATATTTATGTAGACTAAGATCTCTTTATAATGGGATAAAATGATATTAAACTGAAGTTCTAATATTTCTATCATGAAGTCAATTGGCTCTAGGACCCACACAACTACATCTAATGCTGCTTATATCGCTTTGTAATGACTGACAGCATTAAAAACAAAATCTTTAATTTTTTAAATGTTGGATTGAAAAGATTTGTAATCTTAACTGGTGTTTGATCTTTCAAAACTTGACCTTGCACATGAGTTTTGAAGAGTTTGTTTATGAAGTATATTGATAATAAACTGAACCTTAGTAGCATTTTAGCTTAGCTGATTTAGTCTTGACATCCTCTGTTTTAAGTATGTAAATGTTTTTATAAACATTGTTTGGTCTCTGATGAACTTATACTTGTCTTAGTAAACAAAATAAACACCTCTGTGCTCCCACTGCAAGTAAAAGGAATTTCAGTGGATTTGGATGTTGATACTTGGCAGAAGTAGAAATTGTTCTGAATATATTTGTAAAACAATGCACACCCTTTCACCTAAAACACACTGTATTTTATTGTAATGGTTTTATTTTGGAATTGTTCACGTTACACAAGATTCCATCTTTATAAAACAATGCATCTGATTTTACCATCTTCCTCCCATATGGACTTCCCTCCCCACCCACAACATATTTAAAAATCACAGAGCACAGCTCATCTGACCACACAACACCAGTAAATAGTGCTGCCATCAAATAAAGACATAAACAGAACCTTCCCTTGACCCACCCAACACTACCAATCTAACAAGAAAGTTGATGGTCCGAATGATCTTGCACTTTATGATTAGATTTTAAATAGCTAAGTGACTCCATAAATATACAGGAGTAAAATTGCATGATAACACTGTCCATGCTGAATATGAAGGATTCAGGCCAGTCATCCCACCACCACTACTAATAATAAGTGATTGGCTCAGAGGGGATCTAGCCAGGTCTATATTATTCATCTGCGTAGTTAATCAACAGAGACCAGGGCCACTTTCCGTAGGCAAACGTTGTGGAACATTGAAGATAGAAATATAATGAATAGACCTGACATGATTCCTTATTCTATGCGAGAGGCATGTTTGTTCTACATAACATATTTCTATCTGTTCCACAACGTTGTGCCTTGCTGAACGTGTCCCAGCATTACCCTTCAGGGAGGTGCCATATGCCGTTTGGTAGGTCAGTAACATACAGAATACAGACCCATTCATGGAGACTGTCTTATTTCTGCACCGACAGCTCATCTAAAACTTTCATAAACCATTTATGCGTATATGTAAAATAAACATTCAGCATATACACAATTTATTATATATTGTTAGAGACTATTTGACTTGAGCCCGTTTGAATCTGTTTATAATTGTATAATTAGTCTAGCAGTAGTAATTATCGCTTTATGGGTCAGTTGGAATGATCTATGTGCATTGTATTTGGGCAGTGGAAAAGTACAAAGGCTGAGTACCAGAATAATTCCATAAGGGTTGAATAGGAGCCATGTGTCTGGGTTAGAGCTGAATTATCATAATTACTGTTCTATATCGTGGAGCTCCGCCCCATAGGGGAGCTCTGCTCCTAATGGTTTACCCTCTGCCCTAAGGCAGCAGCAGCCTGAGACAAAATTATGCACACACCTACAGCCAATAGGAGTACAGGTGTCCCTATAAGAGGGGATGCCTCCCCTCACTCAGCCTCCCTTTATCTTCAGCGACTGGACTAGACTGAAGAAGCCAAGAAGAGACGAAGAGAAGACTCAGGACGAAGAAAACACCGTCGATTTTCCATATCATCGACGTCGTCCTACAATGAGCACACCAAGCTTATCCATAGGGTAAGTATTTAACAAAAGCTCTTTTCAGAGCTCAATGTCGCTGTTCCCCTTGGCGGCTGTCAACCCCCCCGACATATGTTTTGTGGGTTGAGGGACACAGCACGCCAGGGACAGCTTCATTAATCCCCCACTATGCGCCAGCTGCGCCCTCCTTTTTTGAAGGAGTGGAAGCAGCGTTGGGCATTTTTAGGGAGGATATTCCTCCTGAGGATGTGCTATCAGTGTTAGCCTCAGCTTCTGAGGCATCATCTGAAGGCGCTGACTCAGGAGATGACAGGGCTATTGGGGAAGAAATGAATATTCTATTGGAACAATTCATTACACTGACCCAGATGTTTAACACCCCTTTTCCTTCGGGAAATTGTGAGGTCATTACATCCCTGGATGATGACGCCACAGCCTCTCTGTGCCTGAATTCTCAGGTCTCATTGAGTGGGCTGCTAAATAGCGGGAGATTAAGCTGCCCCCCATTCCCTCCAACCCGGAAGTGGATATGAGGAAGGGCGGCCGTTACTCTCGCTACAGCTTGGCGTCAGACGGCGGCCTCCAGCAGCAAGGGAGCGGGCCTCGCCCCCCCCTGCAGCGCCAGAGGTGCCGGCGAGAGAGGTCATTAAAGCGTCATCCTGGCATCACCCGAAGGGCGGCCAGAAGAGACGCCGTTTATGACAGGCGAGAGAACGGAAGACGGCACAGCGCCTGCTGTGACCGAGCCCCCTGTCCCCCCCCCACTCTACAGTTGAGTGTATGGAGGATAATGTTTTTTGTTGATGTGTGTAATAAAGAGTTGGCTCTACTTGACACTGTCAAAAAAGAGCCCCTTTTTCCATAATACATCCGAGAGCGTTCGACCTTCCTCACTCTCGCTCTCTCTCTTACCACTATGAGTGCAGCTCAGCCCACCATGGTGCGTTGCTGAATGCACACATAAGGCAGGTATATAAAAGGTATTAAGTGTACCTTATAAAGACCTCACTTTACAGACTCCTAGGAGTGCTGTAGTGAGTGTCTCACATAGCAGGCTGCAGTCTCAGCCAGATAATGGCATGATGACGCGACCGCTATTCGGGACGGCGCTCTGTCTCAGGCTAACGCCTCAGTCAGTGCAGTTCAGACCCGTGCTGCGTTCACGGAGGGCCTGATTACTACGGTTACGGGCGTAACCAACGTATCGGCGCCCCCGTTTCTCTCAGAACGCGCTGATAATAACCACATTGGGGATGGCGCACTATCACAGACTAAGGTCTCTGTTAGTACGACCCAGACCCATGCTGCGTTCAAGAAGGGCCCGATTACCACGGTCACGAAGGTGCCCAGTGTATCGGCGCCCCCACTTTTTTCTGAACGCGCCCAGGCTCACCACACTGAGTGTAGTTCAGCCCACCAGAGGTGCAGAGCTGAACGCACACAGGAGGTGAAAGGAGGAATAATACCTATACAGGCCAGGGTCAGCTCATCTGGGTTCCGGGCCAGGGTGAGCAGCTGACAGAGGGCCTCCGTGGCCACGCTGGGGCCGCCGTACACAGACAGCAGACACAGCAGCTGGTGTAGCCAGAGATGGCGCTTCCTCTCCAGCCTCAATGTCTCAGCACACAGCTCTCCCACGTGGGACTGCAGCTCCTCCAGGAAGGGGACCACACGGGGGGCCTTGCAGGAGGGAGAGTGGGGGCGGCTGTAGTAGCCGTCGTCCCCCTCTGAGCGGGTGTAGACCAGTTTGTGGAGGTGCAGCAGGAGCATCTGGAGGATGCAGTCGCAGGCCTCCCGGACCCCCTCGTGGGGGGAAGGCGTTGGGCCTGAGATGATGACGGAGGCGGGGGTGGCTGTGTCGGCGAGGAAGCGGAGGACGCGTGCCCCTCCAGCATGGCTCTGGGCGATGAGGTGAACGGCCAGCCCCAGCATGTTGTCCAGCTCGTCCCTGGGAAGCCCCTGTAGAACAGCCTGGAGCTGGAGCAAGACTGGAGGCTGTAGAGACTCCACCAGCTCAGCAGACACGGCGCCCAGCAGAGAGGGAGACAGCGCCGCCAGCTGGAGGAGGAAGGGCACTGCGCCTCCGCGGAGCTGGGCTGAGTGCTCCCAGGAGGTGGACCCAGAGCTGGGGGGTATAGTCAGGGGGCTGAGGCTCTCCTGGAACATCCTCAGCAGCTCCCGCCGGATGCTGTCAGAGTGCCGCGCCGCCAGGTGGCCAAGGATCCCCACCACAGAGCCTATCTTAGGCACTCGGCTGCTCTTGTCTCCCTGACGCTTGTCAGCCGTTCCGTGGGAGCAGAAGTCTTTAAGACCACAGGCCAGGACGCGGCTGATGATGGTGCCCGGGAAGGAGGATCCGATGTGGGCGACCACCCAGTCAAAGTGGGGGGAGTGCTGCACTGAGGTGTCCAGGAGAGCGTCCACACATTGGTCAGGACACCAGGCTATCATGGCCGCCAGGCACTGGGTATAGGCCTCCATGAGGGAGCGTGTAGCTGCACAGGACATCCACAGCTGCAGCTGCTCGTTGAGGCTGGAGGAGTGGGGAGCTGTCCTACGGCCGGCATGCTTGGAGCTCAGCTGCCCCAGCAGATCTACAGCCCAGGATGAGACAAGGGGAGCCCAGGCTCGGGGGTTGAGCCTGATGAACTCCGCCAGGACGCCATGGACCTCCGTGATGACATCCTCCAGGTTGGAGTCCCCGTCGCCCTCGCCGTCGGTCTCCAGATTGTGAAGAAAGGCTGATACGTGCTCGTTGTACACGCCCCTTAGGTGCTCAAGCACCGCCCCGCGACAGGCAGGCACAGATCGTAGTAGACGCACGGCACAGCGGGCATGCTCACGGACGCTGAGTTTACGACCCTGGGTCTGGTCCACGCCACTGATGAAGGATTTGATCTCCTGGGACAGCTCCTGGGGGCTAAACACACACACACACACACACACACCAAAAGTTCACAGTTGCAAAACATCTATAAACTAACAAATGTGATTCCAATTGGTATAATTGTTCTATTCTCTGACTAGAATATTTCGTAAATATGCTTGAAAAATGCTGACCACTGCATCTGTCCACAATACCCTTAGCATAATATCAGCCTTAGAACTTGTTGGTACAGTGGGGAAGCAGCCACATACTGTAGCTACAACTACTGGCTGGCTAGCATGCTAAGCAACAAACCTAAATGCATTTTGCGGTGTGTGACCGAGAGAGGTCTGCATGGTGACTGTCAGGAGAGTTCCGTCAAAAAAGGCAGACATAGTTCAACTTCCCAAATTGAAAATAGAACATTAACAACTCTCCCCTAGTAACAAGCTACGAATAATCAACCCTACACCTGAAATATGATTATCTTTTTAAAGTAATGTTCAGGAAAAATATCAAAAGGGCGCTCCAAAACCGGAAGTATTTATTTTCTTCTTCTATTACGTCTTCCAAGGGGTAATGCGGAGAAATACATATTTACTGCCATCTACTGGCCTGACAGAGTACTTCGAAACTAACGTCAGCACGCACGCTTCCAGCAGACACGCCTCTCGGATTTGTTAGCTTTTTTTTCGAGTCAGCTGATCGTTGACGTCTGCTTCTGACTTCTGTGTTCGAAGTGAAAGCAAGCAATATCGATGCCACGACACCGAATTTACTGTAAGTTATAAGAATTTAAATTTATTTAAATTATTATCTGGACAGAAATACTTGTGTGAGGAAGATAACCAACAGCACGCAAACGCTGTCTCTGTTGTGTGCCTTCTGTGGTCAGTTAACTTATCTAGCTAGCTATCTATTTCGTTGCACAATTCTTGTTTTTTTATAGACACCAAAACACAGTGAAATGACATCAGTGTCTAATTTATTTGTCAATAGATTGCCTAATATTTTGTGAGCTCATGTCTTATGAAAACAGGCCCCCTAAATATAACCCATAGGTTTTGTTTTGACTTTACAGGGTTGAGATCAAAGCTGTGTAAAGGAAATAACAGTAACCATGGCTCCAACATTGGTAAGTAAAGTCCAGTCCTAATGTTGATTGTGTCCACTGTATCTATGTAGTCTACCTGTTTGTTTTGGAAATATTTAAATATTGTTTGTAAAAGGCTGAGTTTGCATGAGTTATGACTGAATAACTTTTGATAGTTTTGTTCCCTGATCTGAGCACATTCCCTTTCAGAACTGCATATGTGGCAGTTGCATACTTCAACAAGAGGGTGTCTAGCAACACCCCTGTATTTGTAACCATGGCAATACACACATTGCTAAATCATAGTTAATGGTTGTATTATTTTTTCCTTTGACAGTACGATGAGAAGCCGGAGCCAGGGGATCTGATAGAGATATTCAGAGGGACATACCAGCACTGGGCGTTGTACGTTGGTGACGGTTTTGTCATTCACCTGGCCCCACCCTGTGAGTAATAATCTTGATATAGTGCACTCAACAATTGATATACAGTGGCCTATATAGAGTACATACAATATGAGTTATAAAAAACTCAATTTTGGCACTGATGATGTCTTGTCTGTCCACCCCCTCCCATGTCTCTTTGCTCCCCAGCCGAGGCACCAGGGGCCAGGGCCAACAGCATGATGTCTGTGCTCAGTGACAAGGCTAAGGTGAAGAAGGAAGAGATCTGGGACGTGGTGGGGCATGATGAGTGGCGTGTCAACAACCAGCTGGATCAGAAGTACAAGGTCAGTACCAGTAAGTACAGTATGGCTGCGTTCCAAATGACACCCCATGGGGCTCTGGTCAAAAGTAGTGAACTATATAGAGAATAAGGTGCATTTGGGACGCAGTCTGTGTGATCCTGTGTGGCTCAATTGATAGAGCATGGTGCTTGCAATGCCAGGATAGTGTTTTCGATTCCCGCTGGGGCCACCCTAATAAAAATGTATGCATGCAAGTTCGCTTAGGATAAAAGCGTCTGCTAAATGGCATGTATTATATTATTATTATTATTATTATTATTATTATTATTATTATAGGTCAGACCCATCCGTGAGATTCTGAGGGATGCCACGGCTTATGTGGACCAGGAGCTGTCCTACTGTGTCATCAAGGGGAACTGTGAGCACTTTGTCACAGATCTGAGATATGGGAAGGCTGAGTCTCGACAGGTAGGTACAGTGGACTGGTGCTCAATGCTAGTTGTACTGTGCTCAGCGTAGAGTAATCTTGTGAGCCATAACATTCTCAACCTATGAATGTGTGTCAAGAGAGACACACGTGAGTGTAGAGTAACTGGTGTACTTGTTGTTATACATTCAATGCATCTATGCTGTGATACTGTTTCTGAATCAGTCATTCATTCGAGTCATTCAAATTAATGTTTGTATTTTTCTGCCCAGGTTCGGCAGGCTGTGGGAATGGCAATGGTGGGCTTCGGAGCAATTGCTTTGGTAGGTTTCGCGGCGGCCATCTTTGGCGGTGGAAGCAAAAAGAAGAATGAAGAAGAAAAGGAAGAATATATGTGACAACCTGTATGATAGCTTCCTGAACAGCCAATCACCACTAAGCCTAATATAGATTAATTATTTAACTACAGTACTACTGCCCTCGTCACTTGTGTAATTCTGGGTTTTTCCGAAGGGAGGGTTGAGTATTTCCGTACATATTTTTTTAAACTTTCACAGTTACACAGACATGAATTGAAAGCACGTAGGAAACAAGGAAAAGTGTCTCGTTATAATTCCAAGGTATACAGCCTTGAAGGTGCCATAGCCTTGTAGGCTGCTAGACTAAGCTAGCTGACTTAAAATATGTTGTCACTTACTTAGAAGCTATGAAGTTTCCCTACTAAAGTTTTAACATATTTATGTAGACTAAGATCTCTTTATAATGGGGTAAAATGATATTAAACTGAAGTTCTAATATTTCTATCATGAAGTCAATTGGCTCTAGGACCCACACAACTACATCTAATGCTGCTTATATCGCTTTGTAATGACTGACAGCATTAGGAACAAAATCTTTAATTTTTTAAATGTTGGATTGAAAAGATTTGTAATCTTAATTGGTGTTTGATCTTTCAAAACTTGACCTTGCACATGAGTTTTGAAGAGTTTGTTTATGAAGTATATTGATAATAAACTGAACCTTAGTAGCATTTTAGCTTAGTTGATTTAGTCTTGACATCCTCTGTTTTAAGTATGTAAATGTTTTTATAAACATTGTTTGGTCTCTGATGAACTTATACTTGTCTTAGTAAACAAAATAAACACCTCTGTGCTCCCACTGCAAGTAAAAGGAATTTCAGTGGATTTGGATGTTGATACTTGGCAGAAGTAGAAATTGTTCTGAATATATTTGTAAAATATATTTGTAAAACAATGCACACCCTTTCACCTAAAACACACTGTATTTTATTGTAATGGTTTTATTTTGGAATTGTTCACGTTACACAAGATTCCACTCGTGGTCCTCTGTAGCTCAGCTGGTAGAGCACGGCGCTTGTAACGCCAAGGTAGTGGGTTCGATCCCCGGGACCACCCATACACAAAAATGTATGCACGCATGACTGTAAGTCGCTTTGGATAAAAGCGTCTGCTAAATGGCATATTATTATTATTATTATCTTTATAAAACAATGCATCTGATTTTACCATCTTCCTCCCATATGGACTTCCCTCCCCACCCACAACATATTTAAAAATCACAGAGCACAGCTCATCTGACCACACAACACCAGTAAATAGTGCTGCCATCAAATAAAGACATAAACAGAACCTTCCCTTGACCCACCCAACACTACCAATCTAACAAGAAAGTTGATGGTCCGAATGATCTTGCACTTTATGATTAGATTTTAAATAGCTAAGTGACTCCATAAATATACAGGAGTAAAATTGCATGATAACACTGTCCATGCTGAATATGAAGGATTCAGGTCAGTCATCCCACCACCACTACTAATAATAAGTGATTGGCTCAGAGGGGATCTAGCCAGGTCTATATTATTCATCTGCGTAGTTAATCAACAGAGACCAGGGCCACTTTCCGTAGGCAAACGTGGAACATTGAAGATAGAAATATAATGAATAGACCTGACATGATTCCTTATTCTATGCGAGAGGCATGTTTGTTCTACATAACATATTTCTATCTGTTCCACAACGTTGTGCCTTGCTGAACGTGTCCCAGCATTACCCTTCAGGGAGGTGCCATATGCCGTTTGGTAGGTCAGTAACATACAGAATACAGACCCATTCATGGAGACTGTCTTATTTCTGCACCGACAGCTCATCTAAAACTTTCATAAACCATTTATGCGTATATGTAAAATAAACATTCAGCATATACACAATTTATTATATATTGTTAGAGACTATTTGACTTGAGCCCGTTTGAATCTGTTTATAATTGTATAATTAGTCTAGCAGTAGTAATTATCGCGTTATGGGTCAGTTGGAATGATCTATGTGCATTGTATTTGGGCAGTGGAAAAGTACAAAGGCTGAGTACCAGAATAATTCCATAAGGGTTGAATAGGAGCCATGTGTCTGGGTTAGAGCTGAATGATCATAATTACTGTTCTATAACACTGTCTAATATCTTTACAGTTTTATATCATTATATACGCTTAGTATGAATATATAGTTATTTTATATTCTTAGAGATTGAAAGTAGTGTTAGGTTTCAGCTTTGTGTATGAGAAGTGTAATTATTTAGTGGACTGCAGTAGACAGTAGGAATGTGTACTCCCAATAAGTCAAGGCCTCTGACTGATAAGACCCGTTAAAGGCACGGAGGAGCACGAAGGGTCCGGACTCAGGCTGGGACATGATAACACCAAGAGGAGGAACAGACTCTGTTCCTGTCCAGCAACAGAGACTGATTGTTTATCATAGAAATACAAGGAGATGACTCCACCTAGTCGGAAGGTCTACATATACAGCATGTCCTTGTGTGACCTCTAGGTGTGCTGTGCAGCTGCAACACCCAATGTGGTGAATAAATCCAGCTTGAGTTTTTCTCAGAGTACATCTTTATAATTGTACCAGAAATTAGAACCTAACAATATAGATATAATTTATTTATAAAAACATGTTCCGATTTTTTGTCACAGTCATTCAGACAAAATGCGCCACCTATGTACACCTCTTTACAAAGTAAATATGGTTTTTATATAAAAACAAAGATGTAATGTGAATGTGATGTCATGTTTAAACTCATAATAGTCTGGACGAGTCCTGTCACAGCCTCTGCCACTCTGATCCCCTTCTCAGCCAGTGAGCAGCTTGCACAATCATCAAGATCACAGTGTCTCTCTTCTTCAATCCTCTTCTTTTTTTGATTATGGAATGTTGAACCTTCCATACAGTCCACCCTCTCTGCGGGAGTCAGGGAAAAGTCATCATAGCACTCAGTCTGCTTTGCTTCCGGCCTTCCGCCAGCCCTCCTTCCAGTTAGTCCAGTTTCCGAGCGCCCAGTTTGAGAGGACCCTTAGCTGCCTTGCGTTCTGCCCGTTTGGCCTCCAGTTCTTTCCTCCTCTCCTCACGTTTCTTCTTGGCCAGCTCTGCCTTGCTTAGGCCTGCTTAGGAAATAGAGAGACAGCTGTTATCGTTTGGCTTGAGGCTTATAACATGAATCTCGTTAAATGACTCCCTGGGTTCAAATGATTGAGATGGATAATGGAGTATAGCGATGTTAGAGCAGGTTTAGAGACCCACCTTGACTTCCGTTCACAGACTCCCAGCTCTCCTCGGCTCCCCAGTCTCCAGCAGGCTCTGCACTCCAGCCATCAGCAACCTAGCATGAAACAGAGAACACATGCACAGTTCAGATGTATTAAAACACGTATTGTGATGTCCTTCCATTTCCACCTCAAAACTGTTGCCCACTTAGCATCAAAACCAAACTTTTACCTCCATTTTGACAAACCTGCTTGTTAGTTCTTCAAAACACAAAGCCTACTCCTGTCAAAGTATTTTATTTATAAAGCCACCCCTCCTCTCCTCACCGTAGCAGTGGGGGTGGGCGTTGCTCTCTGAGACACGTTGGCGAGGAAGTCCGCCTGCGTGGCCCCCTTACTGTCCCAGTCATACTCGCTGGCTAACCGAACCCCCTCCGGCAAAGCTGCACTCTTAGTGGCTGGAGCGATCGTTCCCTCCTCCTCCCAGTCATTGCCCCACCCATCCTCTCCCGGTGAACTCTGACCCTGGCTGTCAGCCTCCTTCTCATTGGACCAGCTGTCGTCGGCGTCCCAGCCTGAGCTGCTCCAATCGGAGCTCTGCTTTTTCACCGCCTCAGAGGATGCTAGAGCCACCTGGATGGAGACAGCAGTGGATGCAGCTTCAGCACTCACACGGTTTTAGATCATGGACCACTGTTCAGTAGGTTGGAACTTTCAGCACTTAGCAGACAGGAATGTATTTACATATTAGTCATTTAGCAGACGCTCTTATCCAGAGCGAATACAGTTAGTGCATTCATCTTAAAATAGCTAGGTGAGACAACCACACACATCACAGTCATAGTAAGTACAATTTTCCTCAATAACTCATATACACATACAGTGGGGAGAACAAGTATTTGATACACTGCCGATTTTGCAGGTTTTCCTACTTACAAAGCATGTAGAGGTCTGTCATTTTTATCATAAGTACACTTCAACTGCGAGAGACGGAATCTAAAACAAAAATCCAGAAAATCACATTGTATGATTTTTAAGTAATTAATTTGCATTTTATTGCATGACATAAGTATTTGATACATCAGAAAAGCAGAACTTAATATTTGGTACAGAAACCTGTGTTTGCAATTAAACAGAGATCATACGTTTCCTGTAGGTCTTGACCAGGTTTGCACACACTGTAGCAGGGATTTTGGCCCAATCCTCCATACAGACCTTCTCTAGATCCTTCAGGTTCCGGTGCTGTCGCTGGGCAATACGGACTTTCAGCTCGCTCCAAAGATTTTGTATTGGGTTCAGGTCTGGAGACTGGCTAGGCCACTCCAGGACCTTGAGATGCTTCTTACGGAGCCACTCCTTAGTTGCCCTGGCTGTGTGTTTCGGGTCGTTAATACAGGTAATGAGTGGAGAACAGGAGGGCTTCTTAAAGAAAAACGAACAGGTCTGTGAGAGCCGGAATTCTTACTGGTTGGTAGGTGATCAAATACTTATGTCATGCAATAAAATGCAAATTAATTACTTAAAAATCATACAATGTGATTTTCTGGATTTTTGTTTTAGATTCCGTCTCTCACCGTTGAAGTGTACCTATGATAAAAATTACAGACCTCTACATGCTTTGTAAGTAGGAAAACCTGCAAAACCGGCAGTGTATCAAATACTTGTTCTCCCCACTGTATATACACATATCTATACCTACACACATATATATATAAATAAATAAAAGTGTGAGTGTTAGTTACTTTACAGAACTAACATGACAATGCAATGTGGCATTATGTTTGACTCTTTTTCAAACACTCTGCCTCCCTGAATAAGCCTCAGGTCTGGAGAAAACCAGATACGTACTCCTCTTACACTGGCCTTCTTTTTGACTGACGACATTTCTGACCAATCAGAGGAATTCCAGTCATCTGGGTCTGCTGCATGTACCTTCTCTGGGTCCTGGGGGGGGGTAGAGGAGTTGAATTACTTAATTGATCAAATAGAACACTGTTTCCACGTTTCCCATGTTCCGTGACAGTTGACGTCCCACGGTCCCAACTGTTAAAATCCCACCCCAAAACCCATCCATGTCAATTACCTCCAAACTTCCCCAGTCCTCGTCATCCCAACGATCTCCGATTGGCTCCTCGTCCTTCTCTGTCACCTTAGGAGTGTCTGATTGGATAGCAAGGCCAGAAGCAAAGAGTAGAGTCACGGAGGCCGGCGGTGGTTTAACTTCAGAGCCTGGAGAAAGGAGAGATGAAGGAAGGAGAGATCGAGGGATGAGGTAAAAGGTGAATGTAAAGTGGATGTAAGTTGCGGACGCCATTAACTGATGGATACAGCTTTGCCGGCTCTTCCTATGTTTCTATGGGGGATGCCACCCTAATGTATAGAATGACCAAAACAGAAACATATTTAAGATCTGAGTGATTAAGAGGTATCATGTTCATAACTCAGTTCCTTACCCACGGCGACCCCATCGGTCACAGGGCTCCCGGTGCGAGAAGAGGCAGTACCAGCAGCAGCAGTAGAAGTGTTGTCGGCTGGGCCGCCCACCTCTGCCCCCGGGCCGGTCCGGATGAGCTTGGAGGTCAAAGAGGACACCCCCGTCACTGCCCAGCCTGCCCAACTGGCTGCTGCCCCCGCCGGCTGGGCTGATGACATCACATCCTTTTCTAGGGTGAGAGGGAGATAAGTAATATTAGACACTCAAGGGCTGTAATCAGATTCTTAACGAGCTTAGCGCAGGTACAGCTAGCGCTAATACTAGTTAGCATTCACTCATGAAACTACCTAACTTCCTTCATACTGAACACAAAAAAGGACTCTGGGGATGCAGATAAAAGGACTCTGGGGATGCAGATAAAAGGACTCTGGGGATGAGATAAAGTACTCTGGGATGCAGATAAAGGACTCTGGGGATGCAGATAAAAGGACTCTGGGGATGCAGATAAAAGGACTCTGGGGATGCAGATAAAAGGACTCTGGGGATGCAGATAAAAGGACTCTGGGGATGCAGATAAAAGGACTCTGGGGATGCAGATAAAAGGACTCTGGGATGCGATAAAGGACTCTGGGGATGCAGATAAAAGGACTGGGGATAAAAGGACTCTGGGGATGCAGATAAAAGGACTCTGGGGATGCAGATAAAAGGACTTCATTGACAAAATCCCGAACTATCCCTTTAATGTGAGATCAGTGCTTGAGGCCTCGTCTTTGGCGACCTCGACGTTTGCAACTGTTTACAGACCTATTTCAGTCAGCTTGGTTGGATCGTCAGAAACAGTCTCCAGTTTCGTCAGGAAACTCTTGATGGCTTTAAACGCCTGAGGAAGGAAGAACAGAACTAGCTAGGTTTCCATCCAACTGGCGACAGATTTTCATGCAAATATTCTAAAAAACACTTTTCCCACCAGAGATGTGTTTCCATCAAATTGACTTGTGGATAAAAGGCTGTGTGTGATGACGTAGTGCACATAAAAATTACCATGTACCAAATAAAAAATACAGGTTAAATGAGTTTCCATCGCATTTTAAACTCTACTGATGGTTTTGTCACCAGAAATGTTGCGTTATATAGCGAATGGACCCACTCTGGTATTGGCATGTGCGCTCTAGCGAACAGCTCGCAGATACAAAAGAACAACTTTATTTGAATTTGTCAAACGGAAGCCAAGCATCAATTATCATGTCACCAGAATGAGACCCTCAATATTTATTGGAAAGGAGCATCAAGCTCATCACCGTGCACTTTCACCACCCTGTGAAGTTCATCATAACTTATGTAATCTGTAGCCTAATAAACTGCATGCTTTCCCCGACGAGTCGTAGTGGGAGGACCACACAACATGTCATCGCATGACTCCAAGTTTACTTCGATATGATGGTTATTATATCAATGTGTGCATAAAAACGTTTCCACCGACATTTCTAGCATAACTAATTTTACAGACAAAAACACCCCACCATATCCAGCGTATTTTGTTTTACCGACATTTTGAAAGTTTACCGCCAAATATGCTATTTCCATCAGGCCTGTCGAGACCGTTTTTATAGCATAAAAAGGTTAGATGGAAACCTGATTACAGATGGAATGTTGCAATGTGAAATGAGAGAGTAGGGAAAAATTGATTGTCACACGCAATTGCAGATTGAAATCACAGAGTTTCTAAACCCAGAGGCGCAACATTGTGAGACTTCCGGGAACGCTTGCGAAACAGATCAGGCCGGGGTTTGAGAAGTCAATGAGAGAAGTGAAAAATTATTTCTTAGTTGTTCATTTTCTCAAAATCTAAAGGCACATCTCTAACCTTGTGAAAGTGATACGTTTTCATTTGTCAAAAACAACTTAATACCGAAGGAATGCTTTTCATTTGACGGCCTGCACATGCGCAATTTGGCGCAAGACAACTGTTAGAGCCGATTATGTGTTTCTACGCATGAGCTTAGCTAGCCATCATCGCCATGACATCACCTACAAGTGTGATCGGGGATTTCTATTGGAGAAGCACTTTTAGCCTGTCTTTGGTGAAATATTCCTAAACAGAATGTTAAATGTCCCAGTGCAGTGTTTCAATGTGAGGGGTGTAAGGTGTTTGTAGTGCTTCTCACCTGATCTCTAACCTGCTTGTCAGGGTCAACAGTGAGGGTACAGAGCGTTGGTAGTACCCGTGCTGCGCTCTCCGTCACACTGTAGTAGTTGTGCGTCGCTGCGAAGCCCAGAACCCCAGCCGCCCGAGAGGCGGGAAACGGGTCCTTAGCGGCCCGAGAGAACGCAGAGATCAACACTCGCTGTCGTGTCTGTGGATGAAAGAAGATGGGCATGAATACGAGTCAGGGAGATGGAGAAAACAGAGAGAGAGAGAGAGAAATGAAGGGGGAGACCGGTAGAGAGAGAGAGAGAGAGAGAGAGACAGACAGGTAGAGAGAGAGAGAGAGAGAGAGAGAGAGAGAGAGAGAGAGAGAGAGAGAGAGATACAGACAGGTAGAGAGAGAGAGACAGACAGGTAGAGAGAGAGACAGGTAGAGAGAGAGAGACAGACAGGTAGAGAGAGAGAGAGAGAGAAAGACAGACAGGTAGAGAGAGAGACGGGTAGAGAGAGAGAGACAGACAGGTAGAGAGAGAGACAGGGAGAGAGAGAGACAGGTAGAGAGAGAGACAGGTAGAGAGAGAGAGACAGACAGGTAGAGAGAGAGACAGGTAGAGAGACAGACAGGTAGAGAGAGAGACAGGTAGAGAGAGAGACAGGTAGAGAGACAGACAGGTAGAGAGAGAGAGACAGGTAGAGAGAGAGAGACAGACAGGTAGAGAGAGAGAGAGAGAGAGAGAGAGAGAGAGAGAGAGATACAGACAGGTAGAGAGAGAGACAGGTAGAGAGAGAGACAGGTAGAGAGAGAGAGACAGACAGAGAGACAGAGTGCAGGAAGCAGGTGAAAGTTACCCCAGCGTTGAGGTAGGGGGCGATCTTTCCCAGGCACACGGTGGTGTTGCAGCGGATTGGTCCCTGCTCGTCTCTCGCCTGCAGCCGTGCAAAGTGCCTCATCAGCTCCTGATTCAGATTACTCTCATTCAGCTTGGGGGCCAGCAGCAGCATGGACTGGGACACAAAAACAGAGGTAGAAAAACCCTTTAATACCAAGGGCAGACCATTAACCACAGGGAAGGAACCCTTTCAGTTACACTTGAATGAAGTAGTGGTCGTGTGAGTGCATGTTAATCGCAGTCTGACAGACTGGGTGAGCCAGTTATACCTTGACAGTCTGTTCTCTGATGGCTGGGTTTGTGTCTGTGAAACCGTGAACGACATGAGGGAAGATCTGCGAGTTTACCGCTGCATCGTTTAGATACTGAATAAACTGTTCCATCTGAAGGAAATAGAGGGATGAGAAAGGGGTTTGAAAGAGGAATAAAACAAGGGTTCTGCAGGAAACACTCATTCTGGCGTAATGGCCGTCTCTGTACTCTGATGTGTGGTACACTGTACCTGTTGAAGCAGTCGTATCCTCATGGCCCGATCTGTAGAGGAGAACATCTTCACAATGACAGGAATGATCTTCTGCTGGTACTCCTCCGCAGACAGGAACTTCCCCACCTGACAGAGACAGAAAGAAAAAGGAGAGATGGAAGAAGGAATGATCTTCTGCCCCTTCGGACTCCTGCTGTGGGGGAGATCTTCATGGGCTACACTCAGCCTTCTCTCAGGGTATTAAGTTAGTGGTCTGTTGATATTCCTTTGGTGGTGTGGGATGGGGGGGGGGGGGGTGCTTTGGTAAAGTGGATGGGGTTATATCCAGCCTGGTTGGCCCTGTCCGCGGGCATCTGTCCTGGTTGGCTCTGTCCTGGGGTATCTGTCCTGGTTGGCCCTGCTGGTCATCTATAAACTTTTGAACATCATGAAGAACAATCTGGCCTTAATTGCCACATGTACTTTTATAATCTCCACTGGCCAGAAGAGGACTGGCCACCCCTCAGAGCCTGGTTCCTCTCTAGGTTCCTTCCTAGGTTCCTGCCTTCTAGGGAGTTTTTCCTAGCCACCGTGCTTCTACATCGGCATTGTTTTCTCTGAGGCTGGCCAACTACTGATGGGGGGCCGCAGTGGAGAAGGTGTGAAGCTTCAAGTTCCTCTGCGTACACGTCACTGATAATCTTGCTCGTGTTTCTTGGCCCAAGCAGGTCTCTTCTTCTTATTGGTGTCCTTTAGTAGTGGTTTCTTTGCAGCAATTCGACCATGAAGGCCTGATTCACACAGTCTCCTCTGAACAGTTGATGTTGAGATGTGTCTGTTACTTGAACTGTGTGAAGCATTTATTTGGGCTGCAATTTGAGGCTGGTAACTAATGAACTTATCCTCTGCAGCAGAGGTAACTCTGGGACTTTCTTTCCTGTGGTGGTCCTCATGAGAGCCAGTTTCATCATAGAGCTTGATGGTTTTTGCAACTGCACTTAAAGAAACTTTTAAAGTTCAACATTTTCCAGATTGACTGACGTTTATGTCTTAAAGTAATGATGGACTGTCGTTTCTCTTTGCTTATTTGAGCTGTTCTTGCCATAATATGGACTTTTACCAAATAGGGCTATATTCTGTATACCAACCCTACCTTGTCACAACAGAACTGACTGGCTCAAATGCATTAAGAAGGAAAGAAATTCCACATTAACACGGCACACCTGTTCATTGAAATGCATTCCAGGTGACTACCTTATGAAGCTGGTTGAGAGAATGCCAAGAGTGTGCAAAGCTGTCATTAAGATAAAGGGTGGCTACTTTGAAGAATCTGTTTAACACCTTTTTGGTTACTACATGATTCCATATGTGTTATTTCATAGTTTTGATGTCTTCACTATTATTCTACAATGTAGAAAATTTAAAAAAATTAAGAAAAACCCTGGAATGAGTACGTGTGTCCAAACTTTTGACTGGTACTGTAAATATACACGGTGTTCTTCAGATATACTTTATATTCTATCCATCTACTGTCCATAATGTCTATACATCCCATCATGTGCACAAAAATATAAACGCAACATGTAAAGTGTTGGTCCCCAGGTTTCATGAGCTGAAATAAAAGATCCCAGAATCTTCTATACGCACAAAAAGCGTATTTTTCTCAAATTTGGTGCCCAAATTTGTTTACATCCCTGTTAGTGAACATTTATCCTTTGCCAAGATAATCCATCCACCTAACAGGTGTGGCATTTCAATAAGCTGATTAAACAGCATGAACATTACAAAGTTGCACCTTGTGCTGGGGACAATACAAGGCCAATAAAATGTGCAGTTTTGTCACACAACACAATGCCACAGATGTCTCAAGTGTTGAGGGTGTGTGCAATTGGCATGCTGACTGCAGGAATGTCCACCAGAGCTGTTGCCAGAGAATTGAATGTTCATTTCTCTACCATAAGCCACATCCAACGTCGTTTTAGAGAATTTGGCAGTATGTCCAACCAGCCTCACAACCGCAGACCACGTGTAACCACACCAGCCCAGGACCTCCACATCTGGTTTCTTCACCTGCGGGATCATCTGAGACCAGCCACCCAGACAGCTGATTAAACTGAGGAGTATTTCTGTCTGTAATAAAGGCCATTCTGATTGGCTGGGCCTGGCTCCCCAGTGGGTGGGCCTATGCCCTCCCAGGCCCACTCATGGCTGCGCTCCTGCCCAGTCATGTGAAATCCATAGATTAGGGCCTAATTTATTTATTTCAATTGACTGATTTCCTTATATGAACTGTAACTCAGTAAAATCATTGAAATTGTTGCATGTTGCATTTTTGTTCAGTATATATATTACATACTATATACATTTATACTCCGGACTCCAACATTGCTCGTCCTAATATTTCTATATTTCTTAATTCCATTATTTTACTTTTTAGATGTGTGTGTATCTTTGTGTATTGTTAGATATTACTGCACTGTTGGAGCTAGGAACACAAGCATTTCGCTACACCCACAATAATATCTACTAAATATGTGTATGTGACCAATAACATTTGATTTGATTTGCAAAAAGGGCTTTATAAAATATATTTGACTGATTGGTTGATGAAGGGGGGGGTGATTAGTTGCCAAAAGCATTTTTCCCCTGAAGAAATGCCTTTAACCTAAACCACTTCCAATGATTATGCTTCTGCATAAGAGGAGCAATTCAATGCCACGCCGCTGATCCAGGTCAACATTCACAAGGCCGCAGGGCCAGACGGATTACCAGGACGTGTACTCCGAGCATGTGCTGACCAACTGGCAAGTGTCTTCACTGACATTTTCAACATGTCCCTGACTGAGTCTGTAATACCAACATGTTTCAAGCAGACCACCATAGTCCCCGTGCCCAAGAACTCTAAGATAACCTGCCTAAATGACTACCGACCCGTAGCACTGACGTCTGTAGCCATGAAGTGCTTTGAAAGACTGGTCATGGCTCACATCAACAGCATAATTCCAGAAACCCTAGACCCACTCCAATTTGCATACCGCCCCAACAGATCCACAGATGATGCAATCTCTATCGCACTCCACACTGCCCTTTCCCACCTGGACAAGAGGAACACCTACGTGAGAATGCTATTCATTGACTACAGCTCAGCATTCAACACCATAGTGCCCTCTAAGCTCATCACTAAGCTAAGGATCCTGGGACTAAACACCTCCCTCTGCAACTGGATCCTGGACTTCCTGACGGGCCGCCCCCAGGTGGTAAGGGTAGGTAACAACACATCTGCCACACTGATCCTCAACACGGGGGCCCCTCAGGGGTGCATGCTCAGTCCCCTCCTGTACTCTCTGTTCACCCATGACTGCATGGCCAGGCACGACTCCAACACCATCATTAAGTTTGCCGACGACACAACAGTGGTAGGCCTGATCACCGACAACGGTGAGACAGCCTATAGGGAGGAGGTCAGAGATCTGGCCGTGTGGTGCCAGGACAACAACCTCTCCCTCAACGTGACCAAGACAAAGGAGATGATTGTGGACTACAGGAAAAAAAAAGAGGACTGAGCACGCCCCCATTCTCATCGACGGGGCTGTAGTGGAACAGGTTGAGAGCTTCAAGTTCCTTGTTGTCCACATCACCAATGAACTATCATGGTCCAAACACACCAAGACAGTCGTGAAGAGGGCACGACAAAGCCTATTCCCCCTCAGGAGACTAAAAAGATTTGGCATGGGTCCTCAGATCCTCAAAAAATTCTACAGCTGCACCATCGAGAGCATCCTGACTGGTTGCATCACCGCCTGGTATGGCAACTGCTTGGCCTCTGACCGCAAGGCACTACAGAGGGTAGTGCGTACGGCCCAGTACATCACTGGGGCAAAGCTCCCTGCCATTCAGGACCTCTATACCAGGCGGTGTCAGAGGAAGGCCCTCAAAATTGTCAACGACTCCAGCCACCCTAGTCATAGACTGTTCTCTCTGCTACCGCACGGCAAGCGGTACCGGAGTGCCAAGTCTAGGTCCAAAAGACTTCTCAACAGCTTCTACCCCCAAGCCATAAGACTCCTGAACAGCTAATCATGGCTACCCGGACTATTTGCACTGCCCCCCCCCCCTCCTCTCTGCCTCCACAGCACACATACCTTAAACAGAGGTGTGAGGATGACAGCACCAGCGCTGCCAAACTCAAAGGCGGTGAGTAGCTGTGGCAGCACCTTGTGCTTACAGAAGTCCTCTGGGAATGAGTCCAGGTTCTCACTCAGGTCCTGAAAGAACTGCTGCTTCTCTGCTGGGTCTTTGATCTGGATCACATAGATATATATATTAGATAGATATTTCACTAAATTAAACATTTTATCGCTAAGTCAACACATTTCAATGAGAGCTGTGTCATCTCTATTGTGTCAAGCTTTTTCTATAGCGGGGATGGGGGTCATGAATCGCACCTGGATCTCCTCTAGGAAAAGGTTGCTCTCCACAAAGCTGTTGCTAAGGAATCCTCCGGGAGCTCTGCAGTTCTGGAGGAAGCGGGCTGGGTTAGGCCGGGCCCTGGCGTTGGCCCCTACCAGCTCACAGTAGTGAGGCACCAATGCTTTAGGGATCTGAGGGACAACAAACCATAATAAATTTCACATCACTTCCAATTAATTAATGACCTTTGAAGGCAAAGGGTGGGGGAGGAGGGTACCTTTCCGAGGGAGCGTAGGGAGGAGGCTCGGGGCAGTGGACCGTTGAACACTTCCCAGATCAGACAGCCCAGCCGCCACACATCCCCAGCCCTGGAGGACAGAGAGATGGGCTCAGACACTACAAATATGAAGTATCTTCAGACTACATCAAGCATTGAACTAAAACCTTTGTATGTGAGATACCAGCAATACAATTTGCAATGAAATCAGTATTTTACATTCTCTCATTCTTTATTGATTCTCTGTCCGTCTCACCATTTCTCTCCACCGTTTGGTGATTCAGGGGGGTCGTATTTGTCCATGTCAGGGTGAACAGCTTTGGCGGAGGGTAGTGATGTGGAGGCGTCCCCGTTCTCTGGGGTCATGTGGTCCAGACCGCCAAGTTTCCATTCTCCGGCTCGGTCCACGAACACAGCCCAGATACCCAGGTTGTTGTGGAGGAGGTGGCAGTCATTCACCAGGAAACTAAGAGCTTTCTACAGGGGGGAAATAGTGTGTGAGAGATAGTCCATTGTAATGGGAAATGATTTGATTAATTATTTTCCTGTATTTTATTTACTTTTGATATGGATTTATATGTAATAAACATTATTTTAAATATGGGAAGACGCAGACAGGTGTATTCCCTTGGGGGAAGTTAGTCTACAATCATCTGTTGTAACAGAGTACCGATGTTCCTACCTTTGACCTGTTTAACTGCCAGTATCAAATGTCTGCCAGTGTTGAATGTTATGGTTAAAGTTTGGCGCCATTCTGGGCCGGGGACACACTGATAATGTATCTGTGAGACTGTGATTCTGTAGCAGCTGATGTTGTGACTTCCTACGAGCCTTTTGGGTCTGGTGTTTAGAGAACATTCAGTTGTGTGATTAATATATAGAGGGCCTTCTCAGAGAAGATGGTGTCACCTTTCCATTGAGAAAGAGATTGATAGAGAGAAAGAGAGAGACAGAGGAAGGGAGAAGGATAATGCAGTAGAGCAGGGGTGTCAAACGTTCTGGCCCGCGGGCCGGTTCAGGCCCGCAAACGGGTTTAATCCGGCCCGCGAGATGATTTTGTAAAGTATAAAAATGAGCTGCAATTTTTCAATAAAAGAAACTGCTGTTCCAATTGTGTCCACTGGATGGCGCAATATCAATTGTGTTAAGCAAGCAAACTGTTTATACCGGGGCAGAGCAAATAGGTCAAGCAAGTGCAGCCAGTCCGGATGAGCTACTTTGTTTCGCCCGCGATATTTATTACGGCTTCTACTTTTAACATTATGTGCTTTGGCACCCTCATTGCCCCAATATGTCTCTGTCAAAAAAGAGAAAAGTGGACGCAGAGTGCAGAGTGTTCCAAGAAAAATTGTCATCCTTCTATTTATTCACGGAATTGAATGGGAAAGCTGTATGTTTGGTGTGTTCACAGCATGTTGCAGTGCTGAAAGAATATAACCTTCGTCGCCACTATGTGAGTCTTCATGCCGACAAATATGACAACTTTCAAGGACAGCGGAGAAGAGAGAAGGTGAATGAACTGTTGGCGGGTCTGAAGAAACAGCAGTCTGTGTTTACTCACAGCCGAGACATCAGTGACGCTGCAGTGAAAGCTAGCTACCTCATTGCTAATGAAATCGCAGTGGCTTCAAAACCATTTAGTGAGGGTGAATTTGTAAAAACATGCATGATGAAGGCAGCGGAGATTGTGTGCCCTGAAAAGCACCAGGCTTTTGCAAATATCAGCCTGACAAGAAACACAGTTGCAGACAGGATTTCCGATCTTTCAGTGGATTTGGACAGCCAGTTGAAGCAAAAAGTAAAGTAATTTATTGCGTTTTCGGTTGCAATTGATGAAAGCGCGGACATTACAGATGTTGCACAACTGGCCATTTTCATCCGCAGAGTTGATGACACATTGACCGTCACCGAGGAGTTCGTGGAGTTGGTGCCGATGACAGATACAACGACAGCAGCTGATATTTTCACTGCACTCGTCAGCGCGCTGGACAGGGTCGGAGTGGACTGGTCCCGCGCTGTCAGCCTGGCTACAGATGGTGCGCCCTCAATGATCGGGAAAAAAGCAGGCGTTGTGACAAAGTTCAGAGAGAAAGTGCAATCTGCAAATGGAGGACGTGATTTTTGGACTTTTCACTGTATTTTGCACCAGGAGGCTTTGTGTTGCAAGTCATTAAAGATGGATAACGTCATGAAGGTGGTTATTATTTTTATTATATTATTATATTATCCAAACTGTTAATTTCATCCGATCCAGAAGCCTGAATCACCGTCAGTTTGACAGCCTTCTCAGAGAGAAAGACCACATCTATGGCCTGCCATACCACACTGAGGTAAGATGGTTAAGCCGAGGTGCTGTGCTGAGGCGTTTCTTTGATTTACGAGAAGAAATTGAACAGTTCATGGAAGAAAAGGGCAAACCAGTGTTAGAATTTCATTCCGCAGAATGGATGCAGGACCTTGCATTTATGGTGGATGTTACAGAGCACCTGAATAACTTGAACAAACAGCTGCAAGGGTGCAACAAAGTTGCCACGCAGTATTATGACAGCATACGTTCTTTCAAGTTGAAGCTGTCATTGTGGGAGACGCAACTCGCCGGTGGTTGATGCAGCTCACTTCCCCTGTCTGAAAAATGTGTGCGCGACCCAACATGTGGCAGACATGAAGCGGTTCAAAGATAAAATAACGGGACTGTTAAGGGAGTTTGAGCAACGCTTTCAGATTTTTGGTGAACTGGAGAAAGACTTCAAAGTTTTTTGTTCGCCATTAACCGTGAATCCCTCTGATCTGCCCATCAGCATCCAACTTGAAATAATATACTTGCAGTGTGACTCGGATTTGAAGGGCAAATTTGCCGCAGCTGGCTTGGACACATTTTATCAGAATCTCTTGCCAGGTTACCCCAACTTGACAGCCCTCGCTGCAAAACTGTTGTGCATGTTTGGAACCACATATCTTTGTGAGCAAGTTCTCTGTAATGAGCATAAATAAAACAAAGCTGCGCTCAAGGCTCACGCACAAGCACTTGAATCACATCCTGAAGTTGGCTGCCACTCAGGATGTGACGCCTGATATTGATGCGCTGGTGAAAGCTAAAAGATGCCAGGTATCAGGAGTCAAATAAACTATGCAACCCCACTTAAAGTGCTGCATGAGACACCCTGATATAGTTCTGTGATCTGTGATATACTTCTGTGAATCACTGAGGCATTGTGTGTTTGTGTGTGGTTTGTCCTCAGAATTTCAAATAGCTTGAGGTGTTTTATGATTAATAGTGATGTTGTGCTTTTGGACACACTGTCCTCAGGCTCCAGCTTTATGTTTATATGTTTTTATGTTGATGTGCTATTGTTTTTAATTGATTTTATTTTATTTGTATATTTAACCTATTCTTGACTCTGTGGTTCTTGCACTTGTTTGGGGAACAGGATTTCATTATTTGTATCTACATTTCTGCCTGATAAATGACACCCTGATATAGTTCTGTGATCTGTGAAACAGTTCTGTGAATCACTGAGGCATTGTGTGTTTGTGTGTTCTTTTTCTTTAGAAAAAGAACACTGCCCTACCCTATGCTCACACTGCCCTACCCTATGCTTTGACTTCTTTCTCCCCTCTCTCTCCAGATAAAATCTTGCGACTAGTGACTGCAGGCCGCCCAACAACCTGCCCGCTTGACCCCATCCCCTCCTCTCTTCTCCAGACCATCTCCGGTGACCTTCTCCCCTACCTCACCTCGCTGATCAACTCATCCTTGACCGCTGGCTATGTCCCTTCCGTCTTCAAGAGAGCGAGAGTTGCACCCCTTCTCAAAAAACCAACACTCGATCCCACTGATGTCAACAACTACAGACCAGTATCCCTTCTTTCTTTTCTTTCCAAAACTATTGAGCGTGCCGTCTTTAGCCAACTCTCTTGCTATCTCTCTCAGAATGACCTTCTTGATCCAAACCAGTCAGGTTTCAGGACTGGTCATTCAACTGAGACTGCTCTTCTCTGTGTCACGGAGGCTCTCCGCACTGCTAAAGCTAACTCTCTCTCCTCTGCTCTTGTCCTTCTAGACCTGTCTGCTGCCTTTGATACTGTGAACCATCAGATCCTCCTCTCCACCCTCTCCGAGCTGGGCATCTCCGGCGCGGCTCACTCCTGGATTGCGTCCTACCTGACCGGTCGCTCCTACCAAGTGGCGTGGCGAGAAGCTGTCTCCGCACCACGTGCTCTCACCACTGGTGTCCCCCAGGGCTCAGTTCAAGGCCCTCTCCTTTTCTCCCTATACACCAAGTCACTTGGCTCTGTCATATCCTCACATGGCCTCTCCTATCATTGCTACGCTGACGATACACAACTAATCTTCTCCTTTCCCCCTTCTGATAACCAGGTGGCGAATCGCATCTCTGCATGTCTGGCAGACATATCAGTATGGATGACGGATCACCACCTCAAGCTGAACCCTGGCAAGACGGAGCTGCTCTTCCTCCCGGGGAAGGACTGCCCGTTCCATGATCTCGCCATCACGGTTGACAACTCCGTTGTGTCCTCCTCCCAGAGTGCGAAGAGCCTAGGCGTGACCCTGGACAACACCCTGTCGTTCTCCGCTAACATCAAGGCGGTGACCCGATCCTGCAGGTTCATGCTCTACAACATTCAGAGAGTACGACCCTGCCTTACACAGGAAGCGGCACAGGTCCTAATCCAGGCACTTGTCATCTCCCGTCTGGATTACTGCAACTCGCTGTTGGCTGGGCTCCCTGCCTGTGCCATTAAACCCCTACAACTCATCCAGAATGCCGCAGCCCGTCTGGTGTTCAACTTTCCCAAGTTCTCTCACGTCACCCCCCTCCTCCGCACACTCCACTGGCTTCCAGTTGAAGCTCGCATCCGTTACAAGACCATGGTGCTTGCCTATGGAGCAGTGAGGGGAACGGCACCTCCGTACCTTCAGGCTCTGATCAGTCCCTACACCCAAACGAGGGCATTGCGTTCATCCACCTCTGGCCTGCTGGCTCCCCTTCCTCTGCGGAAGCATAGTTCCCGCTCAGCCCAGTCAAAACTGTTCGCTGCTCTGGCACCCCAATGGTGGAACAAGCTCCCTCACGACGCCAGGACAGCGGAGTCACTCACCACCTTCCGGAGACATTTGAAACCCCACCTCTTTAAGGAATACCTGGGATAGGATAAAGTAATCCTTCTACCCCCCCCCCCCAAAAAAAAAATAATTTAAAATTAAAAATTAAATAAAAAAATTAAAAAATTGTAAAGTGGTTATCCAACTGGCTATAGGGTGAATGCACCAATTTGTAAGTCGCTCTGGATAAGAGCGTCTGCTAAATGACGTAAATGTGCCCTTGAGCAAGGCACTTAACCCTAATTGCTCCTGTAAGTCGCTCTGGATAAGAGCGTCTGCTAAATGACTAAAATGTAAATGTAAATGTAGAATTTTCAAATAAACTTGAGGTGTTTTATGATTAATAGTGATGTTGTGCTTGTACTATTTTGGACACACTGTCCTCAGGCTCCAGCTTTATGTTTTATGTTGATAGTATTAAAACAAAGAAAACAATCTGAAGTTGTTGTTTTTAAGTTATATATATATACCATGATTTTACCGGTCCGGCCCACTTGGGAATAGATTTTCCTCCATGTGGCCCCTGAGCTAAAATGAGTTTGACACCCCTGGAGTAGAGGATTGATAAAGGACAAGCAGCACTCAACATAGAGAAACACATGAGGAAATCAGAGCACTCATCCCCCTCCAGTCTACTGACCACGATCTGATGCAGGCCCCAGGTCATCTCCAGATCCCCAGAGCCCCCCCTCTCTGACTGGGCCTTTAGGTGGGCTGCCAGGGGGGTGACCTGCTCTGTGACCAGGTACAGGCTCTTCTCTGTCTGCAAGGCACCAGAAAGAAACAACATTAATGCATTCATGACTTGGTTAAAATGTGCATTACAGTCTAAGTATGTTTCTATTATACAGTGAGTCCACTAACAACTAGCACACTAGCTACTGTTTCTCTCTAGAACTGGTAGACAGGGCAACTAACTGATTCAGTCCTTGATACTCACCACACTCTGCATGAAAAACAATGAAAAGAAAAACAGATACAGAAGACTGAGACAATGGTGACAGAATGAGTGTAATAAAATACTGAATCCTGTTGTTTGCCTTTTAAATATCAGCTATATTGTGATGTTACGCTATTTGCATCTGGGGTGAAACACACCGACACACACCTCCAATCCATCTACGTAGGCCAGGATGTTTGGATGTCGGAGGGTCTTCATGCGTTTGAACGCTGCCTTTGCTAGCTGGGTCTGTTCCTCTGTCCCCGTTGACACCTCGTACACAAACACCGATACTGGCTCCCCACCCATCTGAAGAGAGAGATGTCAAAATGTGACAATGTCATGTTTCATCATTGGTATGAGGAGACGTTGAGGTTTAGGAGAGATGAAGTTACAGTCTCCGTGCTGAGGCCAGAGGCCTCAATCACACTCACAGGAGTGGTATTGTTCAGTTCTGTTCCTTGCAATAAGGGTTGTTGTCATGTCACCAGACAATTTGTCTCAGTCTAGTAGCCATTTCAGGTGAAACACAGAACGACACCTATCCAAGTCTGTCATCAAAGGTTCTACCATTGCATCCGAATGGCACTGAACAATAAGTAAAGTGAACAATGCAACCTTTGATGACAAATTAGCCAGATAACGTTGGCAGCTAGTTAGTTAGCTAGCTACCAGTTAAAAGAAGAACAACAGTGTGCCAACGACATCATTATTTGTCATGACATCAGTGGTGGAAAAAGTACCCAATTGTCATACTTGAGTAAAAGATACTTTAATAGAAAATGACAACAGTCAAAGTTAGTCACCCAGTAAAATATTACTTGAGTAAAAGTCTAAAAGTATTTGGTTTTAAATATACTTAAGTATCAAAAGTAAAATGTAATTGCTAAAATATACTTAAATATCAAAAGTAAAAGTATAAATCACTTCAAATTCCTTATATTAAACAAACCAGACGTCACCATTTTCTTGTTTATTTATTTATGGATAGCCAGGGGCACACTCCAACATTCAGACATCATTTACAAACGAAGCATGTGTTTAGTGAGTCCGCCAGATCAGAGGCAGTAGGGTAGACCAGGGATGTTCTCTTGATAAGTAGGTGAATGGACCATTTTCCTGTCCTGATAAGCATTCAAAATGTAACGAGTACTTTTGGGTGTCAGGGAAAATGTATGGAGTAAAAACTACATTATTTTCTTTAGGAATGTAGAAGTAAAAGTCGTCAAAAATATAAATAGTATAGTAAAGTACAGATACCCCAAAGAACTACTTAAGTAGTACTTTAAAGTATTTTTACACCACTGCATGACATGACAGAAATACATTTCGCATGTAACTAACGTTGTTAGCTCGTTAGGTGACATCAGTGACTGGCTAGCTAGCTAACGTTAGATAGTTAGCGAGATTGACGTGGCGAGAATACATGGCCCTGCATAAACAAAAAACCTAGTTAGGTAGCTAGCTATCTATACTAGCCTAGCGTTAGCTAACCGTGCTGTTTTAGCTACTGTAGGCGATAAATATCCTGACAACGTTATATTTATATATACACATCGTGATAATCGTGTGAAATCCCAAAAATAACAAGGGTGTCCTGCCTTGAAAGCATAGCTAGCTAGGATCTTGTAGCAAGCTAACAAGATATATTCTGTTAAAATATATTTCTGCCCCCACAATTTGATTTACCTTTCGTTTGCCCCGATGTAGTGTCCATATTCCGGATGTTTGAGTCTCCGGTAAAATGTCATAATTAAAGTCTTTGACTGGATCCCGAGCGAAAAAGGACCACATCTCTCCTTTCTTCCAGCCTACATCAAGCAAACAATAACTATGCTATGGCGAACCGCAGCCTGCTAGCTAGCAAGCTGGCTACTCCGGAGAAATCAGATACTTCCCTTACGTTCCACGGCTTGGGGAAAGCAGAGTGAGGGGTGGGTGACTCAAATGTAGACCAGAATTAATATTTTAATACCGATAAATAAATTATATTTGCCTCTTCTAAGTGGTCATGGGCCCTGTCGTTTTACCTTTTAGAGACGCTCTTATCTAGAGCGTTTTACAGCAATGAGGAAGAGTGGCCCAACTCGGTGGAAAATATGTCTCCCTCCAGCAGGTGGCGTTTTTTTCGTTGTTTCGACTACCAAGCAATGATTTTTGTGTGGAGGTCAGTGTCGAATTTGGTCAAATAAAATGAATGGCTTATTTGCTACGTGAGGTTTATTTGATCTAATAGAAGTTTCGTAATGGTTAAGTTGTTACGAGTGTAATTATATAAGTAGGACACGTGACATCCCGGCAACTTTGAGAAAAAACACTTTATATCGAGATGGCTGTGCATATTCATCAAATGGGCTAGTAGCATAGCATCGCTGCAACCACATCTCTCTCCATTGAATACAGGGGGTAGACGTCAACACTCATTGAATATTCAAAAATAGAATTACAATAATGAGATATATGCACCAATACAACGAAAGGATAGACGGCGCTAGACCAGTGGTTCCCAAATTGTGGGTACCTCCTAGATGCACAAGGTGCAATTTCAAAATTGGGTAGTGCATCATCAGTTCCTCTTGTCATGTGAGTCATTGCATACCTTAGAGAGCTATTTAACTACATTTACATTTTAGTCATTTAGCAGACGCTCTTATCCAGAGCGACTTAGTGAGTGCATACATTTTCATACTGGCCCCCCGTTGGAAACAAACCCACAACCCTGGCGTTGCAAGCGCCATGCTCTACCGACTGAGTCAGAAATGTCCAGATCAACTAGCTCGGGCCCCCCCGAGTGAAAAAGTATGAGAACCCCGGACCTAGACAGCCCACGGTGCCGCTTTGTGGACGACTGTTGGACATGTATCCTTTCAGTATATTTACGTCATTTAGCAGACGCTCTTATCCAGAGCGACTTACAGTTAGTGAGTGCATACAATATATATGTTTTTATCGAACCCACAATCCTGCTCTACCACCTGAGCTACATCCCTGCCGGCCATTCCCTCCCCTACCCTGGACGACGCTGGGCCAATTGTGCGCCGCCCCATGGGTCACCCGGATCTCTAGTGGCACAACTAGCACTGCGATGCAGTGCCTTAGACCACTGCGCCACTCGGGAGGCCAGTATATCCATTATCTTTGGTTTACAGTAGTGAGTGCATAGCATACATATTTTCTTACTGGTCCTCCATGGGACATCGCAAGCGCCATGCTCTACCAACTGAGCCAGACGGGACCCTTTTGTATATTCAGTAATAAATTAGAAAATCAGTAAATGAGACATACTGAATGCCCTGTGTAAATTGTAGTCTTGACATGCACCATTGGCTCTAGTACTTATCAGTAACAGGCCTTATATGGACATCCCTTGGTTAGGTAGGCTTACTCTACTCACTAATTAAAATAAACTTTTCATACTGGCCACTAAAATTGGCTGTCAAATAGGAGATGCACATCCTGACATGTCACGTCAAATTTTATTACACATAACCCCAATTAAAGCCAGGGAAATAAAGGTCAAGATTTAAGTTCATTGTGATAAGGTATGACAGAAGGCACAACACATTTTGTACAGTACAGTAAATTACATTTCCTCTCATCTCTTGAACTGCAAGTCATGACTAATCCCAACCAATAGACAAAAATAAGCCATTTAGCAGACGCTTTTATCCAGAGCGACTTGCAGTCATGTGTGCATACATTTTTACATATGGGTGGTCCAGGGGATCGAACCCACTACCCTGGCGTTACAAGCGCCATGCTCTACCAATTGAGCTACAGCGGACCAATAATGTATCCCAGTAGAAACAAGTTTCTCCTAACATACATTCATGGGTTGGCAAGCAAGACTAAGTAAAAACGCCTTCGAAACGGTTCATATTTGGTGGTGTAATTGAGAATTGTATGGAAACAGACAGTTGAAGACCATTTCAACCGTTTTCCCACAAGTGTTGCATACTAAAAACAGCCACAACTATGGCAACTTAATATTTTAAGACTCAATACTTGAATGATTTAAAGCGCAATAGGACCCTATAACTTATTTTAACTACCTAGGTTCCCATTTTAACTACCTTCCCCCAACTAACAGCAGGTTGAGAAAAGCAAAGACACCGCAGGGAATTGAACCCTGTCCTGAGGAATATCAGGAGTGCCACCACCGGAGTCTTTTGCTTTTTTTGTTGCGCAAGGACAAAAAGCAAAACCTGGAGGAACAAAAACCAGAGGGTTTATTCCCCCAGGAAAAGAAAAACCCTTAGCGCCTGCTGCTCTACACGAACCGGAGGACTTTAGCGCCATCGCGAGCCTGAAACTAGAGGAAAAGACAACTGCGGTTTCCCCCCCCCCATCCACAACAAACCCCAGAAAGACACTTAGTGCACTTAATGCCATGAGAGCAATTCCACAACATTACTAGGTTTCAGCCATGATACCAGTATGACAAATTCAAGACATTACTGTAGATCTTTCTTATCATTGACATTGGTCCAGATTCAGGTCAGTCAAACTTGCGAGGATTGAGCTGTTAGATTTGAAGCTGTAACGAGAAAAGAGGAACAATTACCGCCACCCCACCACCCTCCCGCACAAAAACAGATCTCTGAAATTGTAATCCTTTAGAGATGGTAATTTACTGTGACTGACAGAAACAGTACAAACCGCGACCAACCGGTTTCTCTACACTGATGCTCTCAACTTCCTAGAACTGGATCAAACCAAGACACTTCGTGACTCCTTGCACAAGTTGACAAGAGATATCTGAAAGGAAGAAAGAATTGCCCCCACCCTCCCAACATCTACTGGAATGTGCCCATTTTATACATTAGCTAAATGGAACAGTTAAGATGAGCATTTCGAAATTCAAAATGTTATGCAGAGGTGATGTGCATGCAGAGTCAAAAGGTTGAGTGTTACATATAGCCATGGTGTTCAATCAAAAGGGAACCAACATTACTTAACTTAGTAACCAAGACACTGACGTGATGCGCAATTATCAGCAAGACAAGCTTGTGGCTCTTGATCTGAAAGTGACTGGGTTCTCAGTGTCCCATCACGCAGTTAAGAGGCGGATCACAGATTACCAATTCAAGACAATTTTACGTCGGATGAGAAATGGTCACCTGAGAAACCAAAAGGGGGGGGAAGGAAAGGAGCACAGCACACAGAGGAGACGTCGGTGAAGAACGTTGGGCGGGGGTTGACTAAGCTCAAGCGCAGAGGGGTAGGTACTTCATTCAGGGGCCACACTCATTTGATGAGTTTCCAGCGACGGCGTTACATTCAGATGGAGGCGCAATCAGGACAGTGAGACAAGATAATGATCTGAAACAAAGAGGTTTCTACACAAACAGTCTCCACCACAGTACTCACATTACATACATGACGTTTTACTAAACTTTGTTAAAGATGCAAAGCAGTAGGGCTCTGGGGCCAAAGAAAAGGGGCATATGCCGGTAAAAGCATGGCTTGACAATGGTTATTAATGATTGAGGTTAACAGAAAGCCAGTTGAAGATGTCCATTGAACCAAACTAAAACATGGCAGGGGTCAGGAGTTTGATTTGAAATTAAGACTGTAAAGGTAAACCAACACCTTACATGCGCCAGGTTAGAAGACTTCATTCGTGCTCACACCAAGACGCACTCAGATTTCTGTAGAGAAAAAGTGCAGAATTCCCCTCCCAACCCCAACGACCAATCCAAAAGCAACACATTAGCACTGCACTCAGTCCAAATTACAGCTGCACAGTTGCGCAGTGTTCCTCAGCTACCTTAATTTGGGAAAGCCATCACACAGTTGCGCGACGGCTGCAAAGTGAAACCAAATATGCTATACAGTTGAAAAGCAATGAAAGGCTACTACAATACAAGACTGCTTGCTCCTTGCACAGTTGCACAAGTGCTGGTAGCTGAGGAGATCCAAAAGCAAGCTAGAAATGGTCTAATGTAATGAAGGTGTTCAAACTGTCCTGCCTGTGTAGAGTTCAAAGGACGGGGCGATTCCTGTGGTCATGTCATGGGTAGATGGCATTCCTCGTTAGGGCTTTTGTAATTCTGCAAGATCAAAAGCAAACAACCAACACCCCTATGCCCACCCTCACAGCACTGAAATTTGTTACCCCATACCCAAAATATGCTTTATAATTAGCATTGTGTTTAGAATTGGAAAGTTTGCACCAAATCCTCCTGTTTGAACAGAAGAGATTTGCACATAGGGAAAGCACAGCAGTGCAACTTCCACATACCACAAGTAGTGCAGTCGTTGCATTGCTAGGTAGACGCTTCTCTATTCAAGACCAATCAACTGAGGTGGCAATAGGGCCCATTCAGACAACCAGGTGCCATATCTAGAATTTCCCCACTTTCGGACATGGATATGAGCTGGATTGAACTTATCTGAAACCTTCACTTTCCACCTTGTAAGAGCTGCCATCAAGCCCAGGTCACTTCCGTGCTCTAAAAGCGCCAAGCTAAGTCACATCTGAAAAAGCACAAGAAAAGCCCCCACACAAGAGTCCCCCAAAAGAACAAATGCATACTAAAACTGTCTTCAATCACAACAAGCTATGCATTTATTACCAATTATGATTCCTTTACAGATAGTTCTGTTGCATCAATACAAAACATTAACTAATTTGCAAAGGAGTGCAATTAAGGAAAGTTGCCAAATGTTATATTAAATGAAATATATATTTTTTAAATGGAAACGTGAACACGTTTGTAAGTGACCTTGAGACCTAGCGAGGTGTTCTGAAGCGATTGTAAACCTTTACATACAATGAGTTAGGGGCGTTCCTGTTGGTCTTGTGTATTGAAGGCGCAGTAGGACACAGCACACTGGAAAATGCAAAAGGGAAAACAAGCCTTCCACCATTCCCACCCACACAAACCCAAACAGTAACCAACCCACTATCAAAATTGTATTAACAGTTGCTAAAATACAATTAAAATAAACAAATTCCAAATCAATAACTTTCCACAAGAAACAGTTAAATACCACTGGCCTCAACGAATCACCTTTTCTCCTTAAGACACACGGGGGTAGATGTCGACCTCCAGTTGATTTCTTTCATTGAGGAGTGGGTCATA